GTTCACTTCGCTCACTTTCTCTCTCTTTTTTCCTTTTTCCCTCTCGCCCACAAACACAGGCACTTTTCGGTCGAAGAGTGTCTTTTCCATCACTGCTCTTCAGCTACCTTTTCAGTTTTCTTTGTACCGTGCCAGTTTCGCAGCACACGCGACGCGTGTGATTTTGATGAAGCACGTTTGCTCATTTCGTCTTCGAAACGCCGTGTCGAAATCACTATCGGTAATTGTCTTAATTGTGAAAAACACGCTCTAGTGCTAAAACGTGGATTTTTTTCCATTTTTCGTTCAATTCTTGGCCACGAAAGCAAAGCTCTTGCCTTTTTTTCCAGAATTTTTATGTAAATAAGGCAAAATTTCAAAGCCACCCGATTCCCAGTGCTTTTCTTCGAATTTCTTAACGCTCTCAACTTTTCCGACATTCTTGGGTTTAACCTGTGAAAGTGAAAACTGTTCGAAAAAACGAGCGACGAACGGCCGTCGCGCCGTCTCCGATTCCCGAATTCTCTATTATTCTTTCGTCGTCGCATCGTTGTCGTCATCGGATCGTTATCCGGGACACAGAGGGTCTCCGTGTTGTTCAGTGTCACTTTCTCCTTCCTTTCGTTTTCGTTCCCCCCAACCAATTCTTCACTTTCCTTTCCTTTCGCCTTCCATCCTCCCATCCATTCCTATCAGGATCGGCTTTTCAGCAAGGGGAAAGATGAGAAACGAGAGCGAAAGTGAACACTTTTTTTGCGGTCGCGCATGATACTTTGACATTCCCGAATTCGAATTCGAATTCCATTCGTTTCAACGAAATCAAATCCGATTTATTTTGTATTTCGAATGTCCGCTTTTCACCGCCAACCTTCATACCTTCTGCTATTGCAATTTCTCAAAAACCTGGAATGTTTCATTTCATTTCGATCCCCGCCATCTGTTCTTCTCATTTCGATCTGTGCCCTCACTGCCATAAATGTCATCATTCTTCGTACGACATGGCACACTCACACAAATGTTCCGTTTATCACTTTTGTGACGTAAACCGCCAGACAGGGTTCTGTTTTTGATTTCTCTCACTTTTCAGGCAGTTCCGGGCACTAACTAACTGAATTCGATCGTGATAGCAATTCAAATGCATTTATAGGTTGTGAAACGCGTCAATTATTATTGAGTTTTGGTTAAGAATCGCACCATTTCGTTAAATTTCTGTCTGTCTTTTGCGAAAATTTTTTTTGAAAAGCGTTCTTCTTGCACACGGTAATTTTTCTGGGGGCGCAGTGGAGAGATGAGGAAAGTTCGGCCCTCTTCCCGTGAACTGTCGTCTGCTTATTTCGCCAGCCGGCGGCACACTCCCCAAGCCTTTTTCGGCGCGCCAAAACTTCTGATGCGTGCTGTTCGAAGAATGCTGATTCATTTTTCGTAATTTTTTGGGAATGAGTTCATCATGATTGAGACTCGCAAGCGGCAACAAGAAACTGGCAACATTTTCCAGTGGTCACTGCCGAAACAGCTTTTTCCGAAATAAGGCTGGTCGTGTGTGCTTTTTGCGCTCTCCAAGCCTTTCTCCGTGCGCCAAAACTTCAGATGCGTGCCGTCGAGAGAATACTGATTGATTTCACTTGATTTTTTGGAATTAGTTCATTGTGATGTGAACTAACAAAGAGACACAAAAAGCACGCACGAGAAGCCATTTTTCCAGTGACCTATAGACATTTTTGCGAATTTCTTGTTGCTCTTTGTTAGTTTTGATCATGATGAACGCATTCACTATGACAATGAATAAGATGAACCAGTATTTCTCCGACGGCGCGCATCTAAAGTCCCTGGAACGCTGCATCTGAGCCTTCGTGGACGACCGGCTGACGTTCGGGACAAACTTTCTAACAATCATTTCAAATTTCGACTGGTGCAACTATCCGAACTCTACTAATTTGTCGCGCGGCTCTAAAACTATGTCCCATCAGAAGAGAGGCTCAAGGCGATCTCATGTTTCACTGGATACACACACACACGCTTATATTTTTCCCCCTTCCCTCTTTTTGTTCCGAACCCGAGGGACCGCCCATGCTTCCGTCCATCCGAATTTTAGCCCTTGTAAGCTTGAAGCAGTAAAAACAGAGGCACTCGGAGAGAGAATGTGTTCAGTTCTCGCGCCGCCGCCTTTTTTTCGGACGCCACTGGACAGCACAACTGCTTTATTCTTCGTCTTCTTCTCTATCATGAGAAACAGAGAGGGACCAGCCCGGGAGAGAGAGAGAAGAAGAGAAGCGGGACGTCTGTTACCCCATGCTACGCCCGTCCTTGCTCGGGCGGCTCCCTCTGGCCACTACTAGAAGACCCGCCGGCTGCCTGGGTCCCTTTCTTCCCCCGGACACCGATGGAACTCTATACTATTGGCCACGAGGGGTGAGCCATACGGGCTATATACTAAAGTTTGTGTGGGTGTGTTTGCGTGGAGAAGTATTAGTTAGGTATAACATTTAAAAGTTGTAGTACTCGAAGGCTTTTGATTTATTTTCTCAAAAAAATGAGTCGGACGCTCATGTTGCAGTTGGAGCCCATTTTCAAACCAAATGACCGGGATACCCAGTAAAATTCCGCGAATTTTACGCAACGTTAGAAGCTGCGTACTTTTACCGAGTATGTTTCGATAAAAATCTACGCAAGTTCATATTTTGTGCGCTTCTGCCCGCCTTTGTCACTTTCCTAGAACTTCTGAGAGAATCGACTGTTTTTTGCGTGAATTACACAAAATTTACGCTTTTCGGTGATTTTTTCAAATACCTCCCAAATTTCGCGCATTTTCGTGGCCCTAGCGGCCGAGGTTCAACACTTTTGAAAAAAAGTACGCAACAAATGTTGATGCGAGCCTAGAGCGACTTGCAAAACTATGCGGGGTTAATAACAACAATTTTTTTTGTGGAAAAGTTGTAACAACGCGAACTTGTCTTGCAGGAGAGCGCGAGAGTGAGAGATATGACTAGGCCGTACACTTGTTTCTCGGACACCGGGCGCCCGCGGCATTTCTCTCTTTCTCTTGTCACTTTCCGTGCTCACACTCCTCCCAAGTCACCTACTTGATCGTCTTGTAAACTTTTGTTAGAGCTTTACGAAAAATTTTGAAATCCATGATGGTTTTTTTTTGTTAAATGAGGCCTGTTAGTAAAAACAACTGTTTCTAGCATTGGATAGAGCGCCGAACGCAACTTGAAGTACCTTTTGGCGCTTTATCCAGTGGTATCAGTTCCCTAGGCCTAAAATAACGCTCAGTTCTCCAGTTTCTCACTTTCTCTTTCTCTTTCTCTTCCCCTCCCGACTAGTTTCATATATAATCCGACCGTCGTCTCCATCCCAAAGTGCGAAGAATGAATCGTTCCATCATTTTTGATTTCGCCAAAACAGAAACCATTTTGAGAGGGAATGGAACGGCGAGAAGGTACTTTTGTGTTCAGTTTTCGAAAAATCATTCGTCTTCTCCCACATCGCTTTACGTTTATTACTTTTCGATGCCTCTCTTTTCCTCCCTCCGCGCCGCATCGTATTCTCACCGCCCATTCCATTTCATTCTTCTCTTTCTTTTTCTTCTTTGCTCTCTCTCTCTCACTCTCACTCCCGACTAGTTTTTATTGATGCTTCTCGAAATGGATGGGGCGAGGAATCTGGAAAGTTCTAGAAACTGCCTTGATGCAAACGCGCTCTAATGAAATTGAAATTTGTAGGCGGCAGGTCAAATTGTGAAAATCAATGGAAGAAACCGTTTCTAGGAAGCCAAGTGTCGAAAAACTGTGCCTTTTCCAGTAAAAATGTAGAAACGGAGATGTGTCTTTTAGGTAGCTTTCAAAACCTGACATTTCCCAACGATTTTTGGCTTCCCCGAAACAATTTCCAAATCCACGCCCATTTTTATGACTTTTGAGCCGTTTAATCCTTGTACCTTTCCCAAAGCTTCAGATGAACTAGTCAGTACTCGAAGGATATGTTCCCTCGCTGAATGCTTCCGTTTTCTTATTGAATAGTCATCGTTTTCCCCCCTACTATTCCATATTTCTTCCTCTCCGTCTTCTTCTTCTTCTGCTCCTTCTCCTTCTTCTCCTTCTCCCAAGAAGCCCGGAGCCTATTGTCTGAGTATCGCCAGCTCACGTACGCTTTTCCTGCTGGCTGCAAACGAGAAGAACCAAGTGCTCCGGCCGCTAGTCCTCCCTCCTGGTGTTTAGATATTTTGGGAAGAAATAGATGACGATGTGGCATTGCGTCAGTCACTAGTACAAATGTTTTTGTTTTCAAGGTTGAGCACATTTAAATGGGTTTCCAAATGGAAAAGTTTGGAAGTTTCTATATCTTTTCGTGGAATTCTCCTCGGTGTGGCCCGGAAATGTTCACACCTAGTCGTGAAATTTCTTCTAGACGAGTTTTATTTTGAAAGTTGTAATCTACAAATCGGAAAACCCCGGCTCCACATTTTTCAAATCAATTGGACAACTTTGTGCTTCAGCTCTCGTAAAAACCTCAAATACATTGTTCGTCCTGTTATTTCAATACAGAAACTGACGATGAGTTGAATAAATTAGGTCTCTAACGCGAAAACCACGGGAAAACTTGGCCACGAAATGTGTACGGTAGAGCGCGATTGCCGCAACCCTCTCTCTCTCTAACTCTATTCCCTACCAAATTTTAGCTCCTTGTACAAGTACCGTAATCTTTTTTCAACCTCTTTCTCCCGCAAACTCCTCAATTTCAGTAGTCAGCTCCCATTCAAATCCCTTGCATTTTTCAGTGTTCTTTCGGGTCCAAGCGTCTTTCAATTATCGTCGTCAGCAGTAGTACAGCAACACACTCAAACACACACACGCACACAAAACAAAACACAAAAACACCTTGGTATAAGCTTAGTGGACGCAACAAAAAAAAAACAGGTATCTACTGTTTACTCCACACTATTTTTGTGAGGTGCCAATTGAAAGTGTTTACAGACTGTATCGAGGTCAAAATCATCCACGCCATCAAAACGAAGAAGAAGAATGGGACGTAATCAGGAGGGACAATTCAACGGAGCTGGAAACTCCGAATCGGCGGGTGCGTTTCATCCGAAGTCTCGTACTGGAATCGGGAATCTCCCCGCCCGTGTTCGGTAGTAGAGTGGCGAGCGATACACACACACACACACACGAAAAGTGAGGGGGAGCGTGTGTATACAAACATGAAAACAGGCAAATATTCATCACATGCACGCGTCGGACGTCCAGACAGATTCTCATTGACTGTGTGTGTGTGTGTGTGCGTACGGCGCGCGCCGCAGCCGCATTCCGCGCCGCCATCCCAAACTATTGTAGTGACGCGCGCGCGGACGCGAACTTTTTTCTCGCGCTTCTGGAAAACTATCGGTTCTTTAATCATTGCTCCTCTCCTACGTTTGCTCCCACGAATTGGGCTACGCGCCTTTAAATGAGACGGTCCTCGACTATTATATTGCAGTTTTCTATCTCCGCCCCCTCGGACCCCTCGAAATTGCTGAAAACCCGATTTTCGTGCTAATTCGTTCTGTTTTTGTAGCGCCAGTCGTTCAGTTTGTGAAAAATTAGCGGTTAGCAGTTTTCCGTACAACTTTGGTCAGAATTCTGATCCTTCATGATGGAATATGGCTCAATTTCCCATTGTTCTTTAGATCTTGAAATACTTTTTCCAGTGCTTCTTTGGCAAGTTGGCTTTTAACCCAGACTAGGCTAGAAACCATATAAATCATAAATCATCGCATAAATAGTATAAGTATAGTAAAAAGTTTCGGGCGGTCTCTCCCTCTCTCTCTCTTCGACGCGCAACTAACCAAACCAGTTCACTTTCTTCGATCTTTCCCTATTTCTCTTTCTCACGACGACGACGTCGACAATGAAGAAGAAGATGACTGACGACGGCTTCTTCGTCGTCTTCTTCTTCTCCTGTATTCTTCTGTCTGGCTTACTGTGTTGTTTACGCAAAAATCCCTGACGTCGTCGTCGTCGTCACCAAAACTGCGACGGTTTCGGTTAGTGCTGCTGTCGTCGTGCTTCTTTCTCTTCTTTTCTCCTCGTTTCTTGTAACTAACCAGGATCTTCTCGGCTCTTTTGACCACCACCGTCATCAGCGGGCCGCCGGTGCGCAGCAATTACGCAAACACAGAGCAAGCACAAACTAAAAAGAAGTTGTTGGCTTCTTCGATTTTTGCGAGAGAAACTGGTCCTCCGGGCGGCCGCTTTTTGATTTCCCGCCACGTTTCTGGAACGTTCAATGCGTCGCTGGTGAATACGCGCCTCCGTCGCCGCCGCGCGCTTTTCCGCCTCTGACATCATTACAGAACGCCTCAATGCACTTTTACGCGCACGTTTCAAGTGGTCGCGCTCACCGGCAGCGGCCCGCCCGACACATCTTTTTCCCGCATTTTAGTTTTGGCATAGATTTATGTACCCAGTAGTGGCAGATTAGTCCGAAGCGGACACTTTTTTCGTTCCGGTCAGAAAATATACGAATTGAAAGCTTCTGGCTCATCGGAATTCGACTGTAAAGCACTCTGTTGAAATAGTAACCTCCGGACCGACTAAAAAAGCAACTGACAAACTCTTTCCGCTGCTGAAAAGTCTAGAAAAAGACTTAAAAATGATCATCAGTGCCTTTTCTCGAAGTAATCCTGAAAACCAACCATCTCTGCTATCTTTTACCGAGATTTTCCTGGAAATGTCCGAAAAACAGCGTTTCACATTTCGCTGGCCTTGGCTAAACGCCTAGAAATGCTGGAAGACTGTAATTTAGAAGTAGATAGAGCGCGAGGACCAAAATTTTGTACTTTTTCGCTCCCCACTCGAAAACCGTTCTCTGAACAATTTTTTTGCAACGTACGCACTAATACACTCGTTTTTTTCACTCTCCCACCACACTCTCTCAATTTTTTCATCACTGCCCGCGCAATGGTTTTTCACCGGCGGTGGTCGTCGCCGCCGTTGCTGCTCTTTTTTATGGCTCTGCAAGAGAGAGAGAGAGAGAGAGTGGTGTGTTGACTCAAATGGATCGGTTAGAGGGGTGTACCGGCTGGTACCCGTACCATTCCACTTTTTCGCTTCCATCTCTGCGTTTCAATTTCCATTTCGCTACCACCTTCATGAATGTTCTCAAAAGCTTCTTCTTCTTCTTCTTGTCAGTTTTCGGTCATCTGTTATGTTATGCCATCTGTCCCGCTGCTTCGTTTCGCATTTAAATGAGCGTCCAGAGCAGCGGCAGCAGCCGCACATACACCGATTGGTGCCAATTTCAATGTGGTCTCTGCTGTGAAATTTCGAAAATTTGAGAATTGAGAACGAGAAGACGGCACGAAGAGTGTGATAATGTGTCCAGTCTGGTGCGCTCCCCGAGTTTACGAACGGGCGTTTCAATGTCCGAGATCTCTTTGCCACTCTACTAAATATGCCTGTGCTCTTGCTCTCTAGTCCCAGTTGTTATTGTTATTGTTGTTTATTTAGTTATCTGCCTCTCTCCCTCCCTCTCTCTCTCCTTTTCTTTATCCCTTGCCAGCCAGACAGCTCTCATTGTTCTCTGCCACCTTTTTGAGCCAACGAGCTCGCCAGCCGATAAGCTAGCGTTTTTTTTATACATAAGCGCTCTATCGCACCAATTTGCGGCCGCCCTTCCCTTTTTAGCAAAGTTTCAGCTTTATCTTGAAACAACGCGCAAAAAAGCGTTTTCTTCCAGTTTTTCACCAAACTTTCGGGAAAACAGCGAATTTTGAATGTGCTCTCTTGAAATTGTGAACTCCGGCTCGGCACGAATTTAAAAACAGCTGAAAATGACCATGATGGCCAATTTTTGTGATTCTTTCACGAAATGATCAGAGAACCCATTGCTTTCGGCATAATTTGAATCAAAATGGCGAAACAACTCAAATTTCTCGAAGAACTGCAATTTGAGCGATAGGGCGCACTTTCATCACTTGCACTACATCTTCTTATTCTCCATTGTCGAACCACTTTCTCTGATCGGAGGCTAGCAATCGAAAACGGTTTTCCGAATCGCATCAAACTTTCGCCCGCATCGCGCGCATTTCTGAGACCGGCTAACCAAAATCCTAGCAAGTACTGTGTAAGCCGAAGCACTTGTCCTAGTTTTTCGCGATTCAACGACGGCGACGATGCTAGTAGAAGAAGAAGAAGCGAAGCGAAAGCCGAAGAAGCAATTGGAAGCAGAAGCAGAAGCGGGAGAAGAGGAAGAAGTGGCGGTAGACCTGTTCGATAAGCCGCCACGTCTTCCTCGTTTTTTGCCTCACCATCCTCCTCACTTCACACATTCACTCGACGCCCTTAGTCAGCTGACGACACAGCGTCTTCGGCAGCGACGACGATCGCGCAACCTATTCGACGACTACATTCCATCAAGCATCAGGACGTGTAATCAGCGATTATCTGGAATGTGGGCGCTGAAAGTGAAGCGAAAGCGATCTGCGATTTCATTTCACTTTTCCTCATACTACTACTGCTACTACTCCATCATCCTTTTCTTCTCACTAGAGCGAACATTTCTTCACATGCACCGTAAATACAGTATTAGAAGGGAAGGGCATGTTCTTCTATTTTCCAACGTCCGAAAATCGACTTAAAACTCTAGCTCACTTTGCTGAATGCCCTTCTATTACTACCGAGACATTTCAATGTGAATGCGCTCTGAATCCCCTCTTTTTTTAATCTCCGGGCCTAATTTTGCAACGAGTTTCAGTAGGCGTCGGACCAGAGGTCGAAATTGCAACAGAGCGCATTCACTTTGAAATGGCCCGATTGTATATGAATCCATGCTCCTTTCCGCCCCGCATCGTTCCAACATTTTTCGCAACAACAGCAGCAGTCGGTCCGCGAATAGAAAGAAACGGTCAGGTCACGGAGCGCGCGCGACTAAAAATAGAAATGATCCCATCGGCTGAGGGTGAGCGCGCGCGCGGAACGGTACACGCTTTTGCGAAACGAAACGAAAGAGAGAACGCAAATACATTCCGGAGCATGCGGTCGGGGCGTCTGCACACCGGAAAGGACGGCCCAGTTCGTTTCTATGTTTAGAACGGCCGACTCTATTCTTAGCCTCCATTTGTTTTCCGCGCGCCGCCGCTCTTTTCCGCGCTCCCCTCCTTATCAGCAGTTTTATCACTCGCGCCTCGCTTTCTTCTAAAATACCGCCGCCGCCCCCCCCCCCCTTGGCCACAAAAGTAGCTGGGGCGTTTGAACCTAATTCGTCTTGTCATGGGTTGGGTTGGCTGCCGACCTTGGTGGTGGTAGATATCTTTCATTTCCCCAATTTGTGTCTCAATTTATTATTCATACAAATCAGTCGCCTAATCAAGATCGTCTGTCACTAACGCCCACCGGACACGGTTTGACACATTCCGTTTCTGTTCTCCACTTGTTGCCTTTGACTAATTGTGGCTAAAATCGGCGACCGTGGCCGAGTTTTCACCTGGAATTTCTACTTTTTCTCATTGCATTCAGTTCTTACACGTCATTAAACATGTTTCGACTCTTTTTAGAAAACGTATGCCTTGAAATTATAATACTGCAAAACGGTGCGGTCCCTGACAAGTCTGGCGCAATTTGTCGAGCATTTTCTTTGTGTTTTTGCACACATTTCTCTGAAAAGTTGAAAAAATCGCACTCTATCGCTCAAATCGCAACCGCTTTTCCGTTCCTATTAATTTCTTGGCCAGTCGTCGGCGGAATTCGAAAACACTGAAAAATACATTAATTTCTAAAATTTCTGACAAACTTTTCGTGTCTAGCGCACAAAGTCCGTGTCTTTTTACGAATTTTCCGGCCCTTTCAGGAATTATTTTGAATTCCAAGCCTAAATTGTCAAAACCAAGTTTTCGATCTACCGTATTTGAACGCCCGCCATTTGTTTTTCGCCATTGTTCCGCAAAGCGCGCTTGCATACCGCCCGCCATTTCTCCGCTAATTTGTCATCATTTTCTCGACATTTCTTCGCCAAAGCCGTCCATTTTTAATGTTTTCGCCGTCGGAATCCCGTCCGAAATTTGTCGCTGACCGCTAATATTGCCCCGCTTTCGGTTTTCTGCATCTTTTCGCTGTTTTTTGTTTGTTTCCTCAGCATTCGTCTCCGCTCTCCCGTTCTCCGTTCGTTCTTGTATAGTAGTCGCGCGGCAAAGCAGTCCGTCTTTTTTTGCTTGCTTGCTTGCTTGCGCCGCCTCGTGCCGAAAAACAACAACAAAAATACCACGCGGCACGCGAATTTAGCAAGAAAACGCAAAAAAAACGAAACATCGCCGAGAAAATGCTCTTTCACACGGTTTTTTAAAATTCATGCCCGTGCACTCGAACTTTCCTGGAAGTTTGCATCGAAATCCGAAAGCCGGAACACCCGTTTTGTGAACTCAAAATTACAAAATGTACGATTCTGGAAAAGCTCCGGAATCGTGTTTTGAAATTTCAGTACTAGAACCAGGGTCGGTGGTCAGCATAATAAGGGAGTTTCAGAAAAGTTCAAATTTCGCCTGAATATCTGTAAATTTGGCAGAAAATTTGAAGCCAGCGACAAGTCTGGAAAGCAGCAGTTGGAAGCGAATGCAAATCGTAGTAGTAGTAGTAGTAGTAGTAGTAGCAGTCGTCGTCGTCTTCTTCTTTCCCTCACAAGCTTCTGCCTTTCTCCGCCCGTTCTCCCTCCCTCCCATTCGTTTAAGTGTGTGTGTGGTCATATGGGAGAGTATCACTCGTACTTCTCGTACTTCCCCTCCTCGCACTCCCTGCGCGCCCGCCGTCTTGACCATTCTCTCGTGCCACCCCCGCTCTCTGCGTCTTGGGCTGTCTCTCGAGCGGATGTGTGTATGTGTGTGTGTCCATACTATTCGAATTCGTGGTGCCTTCCATCTGTCTGGGAGGGCGTCTGGCTTCTCTTCGCCCGCTAGCTGAAAGTCTACAGTATGCCTGTGCCCACTCTAACTACTTCTAATTTGCATCTGTTCTCGTGCGGGGCGGGCGGCAACTAGCCTAGGAATGGAATTGGGAGAGAGAGAGAGAGAATCCGGTTCTCTTAAGTCTTCCAATTCTATTCTTCTTCCAATCGAATTGGATTCTGGATTCTAGATTCTAGATCCCAGATCCTAGATTCTGTAGGTTCTAGATTTGAGGTATTACATCTTAGATTTTAAAAACTGCATCCTAGAAAAAATAGCTGAAAATACCTAGTATACTGTAGCTCCTCCCCCTCTCAAGTTTAAATATTACGAAACTCTTCAAAGGACACGATGATGATTATTCTGGCGCCCAGCACTCCCGCGTTCTCGGTCAGGGTTATAGACGCGGGGGCCCCCGACCGGTAGGTGGTACGGCGGCAGGTATAGGGGTGACCGAGGGACAGGCACAGTCTCTCGGGGGGTCGGCGACCGGCGTGCACCTCCTCCTCCTCCTCGCCATCTCCATCTCGCGCTCTCTCGTTGGCGCTCTACAGACAGATCCGAGATGGTACACGGCGAGACGCAGGCGGAGTGACGCGTGGACACACGGACGGGGCGCGCGCGTACTATCTCTCCTCTCCGCGCGATTCTTCACGTTCTTCTATATGTATATAGATTCCCTCCTCGATCCATCCAGCCCGATCCGTCTCGATCCCTTCACACTCACACACAGTCACACTGAGACACGGAGGACACGGGCGGACGTGGGAGGAAAAGGGGAGGAGACAACATTCCCGAGAGAAGAGGTGAAAAATAAGGATGAATTCTCGAATTCCTTTCTTCTCCTCCCCCTTCCTCCTTCATCAGAACTTCCAGAAAGTGCGCGGGCTCGCCGAGCTGAAAATGAGTCATGTCGCCCCCACTGCCCCCCCCCCTTTCTTCTCTGCTTCCTCTTCTTCGGAAGACCTCGTCATTCTTTATCCACTTCCGTTCTTCTCCTTTTCAAACTTCTGCTTTCAGGCTCGAGCAGTTCCTCCGGGTGCAGCTCCTCGTCCGTCGAGCTCTACGACCTCGCCGCCCACGCAGCTCTCATCCGACAACAGCAGCTCCTGAACCAGGGCCTTCCGATACTGCCGGATCAGTTGGTCGCCCAACACCACCATCATCAACATCACCCGCTGCATCAACACCCACAACATCCGACCGGTCCTCCGCCGCATTTTGTGGTGCAGCAGCAGCAACAGGCTCAGCAGATCCATCCACTTGTGGCAGCCGCCGCCGCCGCCGCTCATCATCCGCATTTGCCACCGGCAGCACACCTTCCACGCGCCGAGGGTAGGTCATCGTACCTGACGAACTGAAAACAATGTTATCTGTTATTTTCAGTGATCCAACAGGCGCCGCACTTTGTGCTCCATCAACACTTGCAGAATTTGGTACAACAGCAAGTGCACCATCCGCATCATCCGCTAGTTGGTAAGAGTTTTGACCTCTTTTTGTGCGTGATTCGCTCGATTCGATTCGATTCAAAGACCAGACAGAACAGTAAACTTGATCAGTTCGCCCTTGCAAAGTGCACACTTTGCTGCCCTTTTCCGTGGCTAGAACCGTGTGTATCTTCCCGAACACACTGGCTTGTTTTCCACGTCTTCTTCGTCGTTCCGCGTTGATGTTTTTGTTGTTGGCGCGGCGAAGAACGCATTTTGTCGTCGTCCTTTAGAACTAGTGCCAAAGATCGCGAGTTTCCGGAAACTGGGCGAGCACGTACTACGGGCAATGAGTCAAAATGCGTTCTTCTAGAACACTCGACCTCTTCAACGTTGTTTTTGTGTGCTCCCGAAGACCACAATAATAGATTTTTGAACTTGTAATCTGAAAAACAAGTCGGTATCAGTTGCCGATCACATTTTTGTAGAATTCTAGATTAAAATGTCAGCCCATATCATATTACTCAGACTGCTTAGCTTGAGATTTTGAGGACTTTGACGAGTCTTTCTGTTAAATGACTCACACCAATTCCTAGAGTCAGAACTTGCTCCCACACCTCCTTTTCCGTCAAACATAGTATGATTGGCTCGGAACCTCATCTAGGACGTCACACTCACACATTCCGCGATTAACGTCAACGACGACGGAGTCAGCAGCCGGGGGAAAATTGGATTTTGATCTCTTCGCCATACTACTTTTTTTTCCTCTCCCTCCTCCGATTCTGGATGCGTAAGCAGCCAGGTGTCCGCAAAATTCACTTTCAGTGTAGGCGTCCTTATTAGCTTTGCCTGAATTTGTTGAACTTGTACTTTGGAGGCTTTTCCTCTGGGAGCGAGCTCTCTCTCGATCGAGCAAGCACGGAGTACAAGACAGAAAGACGACACAAAAAGTGCAATATCTCCGTCCTCTTCTTCTCGCCGCGCTTCTCGTCTGACAGAAGGGCATCCCGAAAGAGGCGTGCCCCCGCCTCCCTCATTCTCAAATCGCCGAGGTTCTCCTCCCCACACCCTTCCATTGCGACTACTACCACCACAAGCTCTTGGCCTAGGGAGGAGTAGTCACCACACTCCCTCTCTCTCTCTGTCTCCGTTTCTCTTCCTCCTCCCTTATTTTTCTTTCTTTCTCTCGGTCCTACATCTCGCGGGGTGTGTGAGAGGGAGGAACTGCCTGGCATTCAAGGTTAGCCCCAAACGCCCCCAGTGCGACCCCATCAGACCTTCTTCTTCCTAATTCTTGCGTCGACGCCGTTTTGCTCTTTTTCGGGCAATATATTTGACTAATTTTCGCAAGGTGTGTGCGCATTTTAAAGAAGACAATTGAAATCAAAATCCAAGAAGAGACAAACGACGAAATTGCGAAAATGCGGGACATGATCTATGGTAATCTTTTTTGTCTGGTCTTTGAATTGAATATTTCAAAAAGGTTCAGTGTTTCATTCCTATGTAACGAAAACTATATTTACAGGTGACATGGCCCTCGTATCACATACACATCCAGCCGCTGTCGGCTCGACGACATGCTACGAGAAGAATCAGCAGAAGCAGCAGCCGCAGATTGTACAGCAACCACAGGTTGGTTCTTTTTTCATTATCTTAACAAAGGAAAACTTCTAAAAATTGACCCAAATCCGAATGATTTTTTTAAATACTATGCGATAAAAAGAAATGGTCTGACTGGTTCACCTCCTTGATCGCTCGCACTTTGGGGCGCGCCAAAGTGTGCTGCCCTTTGCGTCATTGCACTTGGCTTAAACACGACGGCACCGCGGCTGCACGTGCCCTTTTAGTTCGTCTCCTTCCCATTCCCCTTCTTCTTCCCCTTCTTCCTCTGAAGCCATTGACATATCAAGTATTCACAGAGTTTGAATATCCGCCGAAAATATTTGTGTATGTGTGCGCGCTCGACAAAGTTCATTCGCATGAACTCGAACGAGGAAGCAAGCTCGGAAGCATTCTTATTTTTCCGTCATGACTCAGACTAACTAGTCATCATCACCAGTCGGCGTTCCGAATGAACATCCCCTCACGCACGCACTTTAGAGATTCAGACGAGGGGCGCATTTCCTGGAAGTCTGGAACGGGCGCGAAATGCACTCTATGCGTGTATGTTTTTCGATGCATTAGTTCTTTCAAAATAGCAGCTGATTTGAAAGTCGTGTGCCGATCGACCAGCTGATAGAGTGATGCTGATGGTCATTCGTTCGGAAATTCCTGACCTCCTAGCCTGTCTGTGTGTGTCAACTGCCGCCGCCGCTTCCCGAGCACTTTGTGCTCCTGAAGCCTGAGACAACACTCACACTTTGATGATAATGATGAAGATCAGGTGATCAGGCTGTTCTGGACCGGCTACACAACACTTGTGTGTGTTTTGTCTCCACAAACTTTCTGCGTCTCCACTTCGGCCAGTGGCGCCACCAAAAAGTGGAACCACACACCGACGGCGGAATATTGTGATCAAAACAGATATTGTGGCGACTAATTTGTTGAAAGCTTCTTCTTCTTCCTCTTCTTCGTCCGATTCTTCTACGATCTGATTATTCTTCACCATTCGACTTCTGCAATCTTTTCGCTATTTTGCCGCCTGATCAAACACGTTTTTCGTACATTTCGGGGGCCACCCGCCATTCGACACCACCACGTGACTATTCGACCACGTGTCTCTCGATGTCTGTGAGGCTCGTCATCTGCGTCTCCCCGTGATTGGTGCACTTTTTACGATCAGTCAGTCATTGTGTGCGTGCTGCCATTCCTCGATTTACTACGACGACTACTATTGTGTCATTGAATTAACAAAAATCACCCCATGATTCTTCTGGCCATCATTGAATCACTCCTAGAATACTTCCGTAAGCTAGTCTGGGTACGCAAAAACAAAAATTACCGCTTTAACCGTACTCTCTCTCTAATTCCTATTTAGTTTCAGGCAGCACACGTCTCATCGAATGCGATTCTGGCGGCCGCGCAGCCGTTCTACCCGCCGCCCGTCCACGACACACAACCGGACCGGGCAATCGGATATGGTGCATTCGGAGTTGTTTGGTTAGTGATTCAACCAATATCTTTTTATCTAAAGTCATTTTGTTGCAGGTCATGTACAGATCCGCGATCCGGCAAGCGAGTGGCACTCAAGAAGATGCCGAACGTGTTCCAGAACTTGGCGTCGTGCAAGCGAGTATTCAGAGAGATCAAGATGCTTTCCTCGTTCCGCCACGACAACGTGCTCTCGCTGCTCGACATTTTGCAGCCGGCCAATCCTAACTTTTTCCAAGAATTGTAAGTGAAGACAGCTGACGACGTGTCCCGCGGCCATTGAGAACGCGCAAAGTGAAAGTAGTGAAATTGGCGGCGGCGCTGGAGAAACTTTCGCTTTATTATGTGATACGGTACCAATCGTCTAGCTGGAATGGGGGACCAACACCAAAACGCTTGTACCAGGTCGCACCAATTGTTGACTGTCAAGATTGATTAGTCACCACCACCACCCAAACTTATTTGCTTTCGGTTTTCCGGCGCAGCACTCGCAGATGTGATGGCATTGCCGGCAAGGCGAGCGCGCGTGGCATGGCACCACCTTACCCCGAAGGCGACGAAGAAGATAACCGGCACCAGCCCGGCCATCAGCCTTGCGGGAGGGAGGGGGCGTACTGGTACGCGCGCACAATGATGACCTTTTGGCGGGAAGAGGACCGTGTGGCGGCGGCGGCGAGAAAAGCGACGAGTGGTGGTGCGCTGGCCGGGGGGAACGGCCTGTCACCCAATGGTACGTGCCCTTTGGGCGACGGGAATACACACGCGCGCGCACTGAAGAGACGGAGACGGTGCAAGACGGCGAGACACAGGCAGACACCCGAACGGAACGGGAAGGACCGGCCGAGGGGACACCCGCCACCACCACCGGGAGCTGTTTTTGTGTGTGTCTCGAGTTGTTGTTGACCTATGAGTGATGGCAGACGGAAGAGGGGATTTCGAAATGTGTCGAGAATGCAACAAAAATTCTTTCTTTTCAGGTATGTGCTGACCGAGTTGATGCAAAGTGATCTCCACAAGATCATCGTCTCTCCGCAAACCTTGACGATTGATCACGTCAAGGTGTTCGTCTATCAGATCCTGCGAGGACTGAAATACCTGCACACCGCCAACATTCTTCATCGAGACATCAAGCCCGGAAACCTGCTTGTCAACTCGAATTGCATCCTCAAAATCTGCGATTTCGGACTTGCGCGGACGTGGGATCAACGGGATCGGCTGAACATGACGCACGAGGTCGTCACGCAATACTATCGAGCTCCAGAACTCTTGATGGGAGCCCGGAGGTATACAGGCGCCGTGGACATCTGGTCGGTCGGCTGCATCTTCGCCGAACTCCTGCAACGGAAGATTCTGTTCCAAGCGGCCGGCCCGATCGAGCAACTGCAGATGATCATCGACCTGCTCGGCACGCCGACTCAGGACGCGATGAAGTACGCGTGCGAGGGCGCCAAGAACCACGTCCTGCGCGCCGGACCACGAGCATCAAACATCCAGTCGCTCTACCGACTCTCGCCGCAAACCAACGACGACGCGGTGGATCTGCTGCTGAAGCTGCTGCAATTCGATCCCGACAAGAGAATCAGTGTGCAAGAAGCACTGCAGCACCCGTATCTGGAGGAAGGACGGCTGCGATTCCACTCGTGCATGTGCTCCTGCTGCTACACGAAACCCAACGTGACGTCGAGGATATTCGCTCAGGATTTGGATCCTTGCGTGAGTTTTTGTGCGACTACAACCCGACGTTAATCCTCTCGTTTTCAGCACGACAGCCCATTCGACCCGAAATGGGAGAAAGACATGTCGCGATTGTCAATGTTCGAGCTGCGCGACAAGATGTACCGATTTGTGATGGACCGAAATCCTCTGTACGACGTGCCGTTGTGTATCAATCCACAATCGGCGGCCTACAAGAACTTTGCCAGCTCGTCAGTAGCACAAGCGTCAGAATTACCGCCATCACCACAAGCATGGGACAGATGATGAGGAGCCCCCCAAAGGATTCTCTCGAACTTACTCACCTTTAACCACTTTCAGTCTTTCTTACTTTCTTTACCATTGACTCCTTGTTCATATGCTCTCTGTGTATGTATGTAAGAGTTTTCCAACTGATGAGCTTCCTATGTGATTCATTCTATTCCCTCTCTCCTCCCTTCCCATGTTTAGCAATGTCTTTTGTGATTGTGCTGGTCGCTTTTGCATCAAAAGTCGGTTCCCAGTCATCGATCCACCTTCCCCGACTTTCATATATCGATTGACGAAAAATGCCACAGTTCTTTCAAAAACTTCAACAGCAACAAAAATGTTTGGTCGTACACATCGCGGTGAATTCCCAGTCTCATTTCTTTCTTCCCCTTAACTTAAATTATCCTAAAATGGCTAACTAACAATGTACTTTTTCTCATGTTTGTCTCTGCAAAAATCTTTCATGTTCATCCGAATGCCCTAAAGTGTCTTTCATCACCCCCACCAGCTTCTTGTTCCTTCTTTGTCTCTATAATCTGCCCATTCTTTCGGACCGACGCGGGCGGTCTCAAAGTGCCAATACTACCAAGTTCTTTCATTTTGCTTTGCGCTGAAACTGTTTCCTCCCATCAATTTGTATACAATCGTGCTCACAATCTTCTTACCGTTTTTCGAGGATTCATCAAAATTCAAAATTAAACTTTCGGGTTACTGTAGACACAGTAATCTGTTCACCGCCTTACCATGAACCATTTCGTCGTTGTCGTCCGTGCGCTGAAAAGTGATCGGAACCGAAATGCATTAGATTTGAGGAATAGTTTCGCCAAATGCCCCCTGGAAATTGACCATAATATATTTGATTTTGATTTATTTCAATTCTCTCTTCTTGATTAATAAAAGTTCTCAACTCTGCTGATCAGTGGTCGTTGTTTGTGGGTGGAGTGTAGGAAGTAGTAAAGGAATGGAATGAAATGGAAACACAAACATTCCGACGAGCAGCATTTCGAGTGGTTTTTGAACAGTTTCGGCCGTGGTTTGCCAACATTCTCTGCGAAATGCCAAAGTGCTCGTGGAGGTCAAACAGAGATCAATTGTGATAGCCATGTGATGAGCAAACAGCAAACCTACAATACTTTCGCTTTCGTGAAGCAGTATGCAAGTGCGCTCTACCGAAATACGGCGGAAGATTGAATATTCGCTCTCTTTTGCCGGTTTTAGGCCGTTTTGAGTCAAAATGGAAGCGTTTCTCGAGAAGCGGTTGGTTTTCGTACATTTCGCCGTCTTATACGTATTCTCAGAACCGTGAATAGTGTGAAAGAAGAGGAGCATTGCACACTACTCATTCAAAACGATCTATATATCGGGAGCCGATTGAGTTATCAAAAAGTTGTCAACTAAAAAATTGTTTGCAAAGACATTTTGTACATTTCAGCACTTGATCACTTTTTGATATTTCTACAGACAGCGGAGATAAATCACCGTGAATGAACAATATGGGGATGCGGCATTTGTTTTCCCAAAAAGATACCAAAATGTTCCAACTTTATACATTTTTCTGCTAAGTCTGCTTCCGAACGGTCCTATTATTGCTATAGTCTACAAAAACTTGATAGGAGTGAATGGAACCTGAAAACGACTGAAAACGGGCGCCGGAAAGTGATCATCAAGCGCATTGGAATTGGATTTTCTTTTGGCGGTCTAGGACAACAACCGGATAGTTTCGGAACAAAATTGAACGAAAAAAAAAGTTCTACCGAAATTGACTTTTTAAAAAACTTTTTTGCCATCTAATAATGTATGCCGAAACGATTCTACTGTTTTCCTAGATGCCGTAAATCACATTGGAACTCACTGGAACCCGCTAATCTTTGAGAAAATTCAATTAAAATCGTCGTGGATTCATCTTTCAGACGCCCGTTTTCATTGATATTGAGGTTCCCGTGGATCCCTCTTCGTTTTTTGACGTTTAGGACACCAGTAGAACCATTTGTGAACAGATTTAGCGAAAAAATTTTACACGGAATCTGCGAAAATTTTCGGTTTCTTGAAAAAAACGTTTTTCGCTGGATCTACTCCGAAACCATTCTATTGTTGTCCTGCCGTAAATCCTGCCGTAAATCAGATTGGAACTCACTGGAACCCTGCCAATCTTCGAAAAAAATTACTTGGTCTTCTCAAAATGTGTTCAGCAAAACATATCAATGGCTGGCCCGGAAGACGAAATCTGCCAAGGCTACAACACGTTTTTCGGGCGTATATCCCTTCCTATTTACTTTCTCTCTGTCAAAAATCGGTTCTAAATCGCGCGGGCATCGATATCGACGCATAAAAAGTAGGGTATGGCGGCATTTGATCGGCTCCTCTCCTGCACAATTTCCCCTCGACCCCCCTCGGTGCCGCATGTAAACAGTTGAAGAAGTGAACAAAAAAAAAATTGTGGTGTTTATCTCTGTCACCACACTCTAAATCCGTCCGTGTCAGTTACTCTCACAGTCTGTTTACCTCCTCTTTTTGTGAGAATGAAAAAAGGCACAAAAAAGTGAGTGGAAAGAATGTTAGTCGAATAAATAGAATAGTGGTGTTCGTTTTCTTGTTACCCATCCAAAATAACTCCCCAGCCGACGATCATGACGTGGCTTCTCACGCTGAGGTGTGTGAACAAAACAGAGATTAGTGGTGAGAGGGGGGACCGGAAAAACTGAACGAAAAACTAAAGAGATGGGCAAATACAAAAAGTGAGGCCGAGGCCAGACGGATGGATCGTTTTTTCTTCGATTCAATTGTGAATGATTCGTTTGATTCGATGCTCTCACGCGCGTGAACACGTACAAGACAAAGAGAGCGCGCGGAGGTGGTTCTACAATAGTAGAAGTGTGTTGTTGGTCATTGACCAAGAACAATACATGGAGCGGGGCGCCAAGGATCACGGAGAGGAACAGGAACACGTGCCACACACAATCCATGAATGAGATGTCGTTCTGAAAACTTTTGTGCAAACTCGCCATACCCAGGCCTACAATTTTTGTGTGTTCACAACTTTTCTCTACGACCCATTTCAAGCGATTTGCGGTTTACGCAAGTGAAACAGCACAAAACTTGTTCCAGCTCCGATTCACTTTGAGCAAGTATCGATCGCTTCAGAGGTTCCTTACAGAAAAGTTGTCAACAGAAAGAGGCAAGGTCTATGTGTGGGAAATACGTGAGAAACGTTTCAGAGTGACACACACGACACAGTGCGAAAAGATTTCAGACTAACTAAGACAGCAAGCCTACAGCAAGCCAAACAGCTTAAGTATTTCAAATAAGAAACTGCTGAAATGAACCACTTTGACTACTTTGTCTTACCTGAAATGAAATTTCAATAGAGCGCGTTTGCCGAGACGCGAATTTCCAGTCCAGGATGCCGTCACCGAGACTATTTTTTGTAGATTTGTGCTTCTTGGCGCGCCCTTGCAAATCGAATCTTCGGCAGACATCCGATGCCTGACCCTGCTCCTCCTCCTCCTCCTCCGCCAACAAGATTTCTTTTTGCGACACCCCTCACTCGAGTACACTCCATCCTGGCCCGAGGCGTCGAAAATTGAAGAAGCGTCTCGGATTTCGTCGCGAGGATATCCAGTCCGATGAAAGCGAGGCGGCGGCGCGCGGATTACACGTGTTCGCCTCGATTCCGACAACGACGAGGCGCCGTAGGAGCAGCGGGGGAAAAAAAAGTGGGCGGGCGTGAATCGAAATGTTCTTGAGGAGTAACCGACCGAGGAGCAGAGCACAAAAAGGAAGCCAACGCCTGGTATGTTTACCTATTATTTTGTGCAATGTGTGCCAGCGGATCGGCCGAGAGAAGGCTGGCCGCCACGCCCCACTTTTCCACAGGTATAAATGGCCGGCTCGGCACTGTTTGTGAGCCGTTGTGAAGAAGAAGAAGACGAAGAAGAAGAAGAAGAAGATATCGCCCGCACTACTTACAAACATGATGCTTCGAGTTTTGTGAGTCATTTCTTGGTGTTTGGTCCTAAGGTTTTTTCTCAAGCTCAAATCTCTTAGCCTGTTGTGACAAGCTCTACTTTCTATATCTCGGCTACTGGCAGCAATATCAAAAAGTTGTCAACTGAGAAATTGCTCATTGAAACATTGTCTACATTTTCTCAGTTGACCACTTTTTGATATCTCTACAGGCAACCGAGATACAAGAGTCCTATCCTATCAAATGTTCAGAGCTGTAATATAATCTCCACGTTTTCAGGTTCTTGGTCTCTCTGTTGCCACTGCTGTCAATCGCCCAATTGACGTCGTCGTGCACTTCCTGCAACTCAAACTCTAACTATGGTAAGACTAGACAAAAACCAATTCAAAACAACTGACCAACAACTACTAGCAACAATAACTTACATCAGATGACCCTTCTCCTCACCAACACCAACATCACACATTCTCATCACTCGGCTCCTCTTCCTCCTCTTCCTCCGCTTACCAAGTACCCGGCTTCCTTCCTAACTTCCAAGGCGATCAATTCGTTTCGGACTCGCGTCGTCAGGAGACTTTGCGGCTCAACCAGGCGTTCTTTGACTCACTGACCCAAACCACTACTACACCGTCCGCCTCCTCCCAAACGGCCGTACAATATTCACCGGACGACACCGCTCAGCACACTCATCTAACCTTCAAAAACCGTCCGATCCCCGTGGTTTTTGCGGATCCGCAGTCGGAAGCGATTGAGCACACGCACCGGGACGAGACGGCATTCGTGGAGCTCATCGGCGACGACACAAACGCGACGACGAAGAGCTCGCCGACGCTGGAATTCGTAAAGTTCGTCATTCAGCCGGACGGCCAGACGGTGTTCGGCGGGGCGACGGAGCAGAATTACGAGAGCGAGGCGACACGGGCCATCATCGAGGCGCTCACTCGAGACGATCCACGCTACATTCAAAAGGATTTCCACGTGGATTTTGTGGATCACGAATAGTCGCATAATTAACATTAACATGTCTGTACATAGGGCTCTCTCACATTCTATTCTATGGTACATTGCTTCATTTGCTGCTTGCCACACACACACATGCAATACTACTAATTTTATGAGAATAGTAATAATAACAATACAAATAAACGTATTTATGACGAAATTTGAGAAGAAAAATGTGTACTTTCATGTCCCCAACCCGTTGCCTGAGACCCCTGAGAATGTGATGTGATTTTAGGAACATCGGGCACCTCTTCCTCTGCGTACAACACAAATTCGGTGCAACGCGACTCGAGTGCCTCCTCCTCCTCCTCGTCATCGAACCAACCCGGCTATCTGCCCGACTACCAGGGCGATCGCTACACCGATCCGCAGCGAATCGCCGAAACGCAGGCGCTCAACAAGGCCTTCTTCGACTCGATCGGCGGCGCTCCGTCGCCGCCGCCAGAGACTCCGGCCCAGCAGGGAATGAACAGTTCGACCTCCTCCTACTCCTCTGGTCAGTACTACAACAGTCCCCAGGGCCACAGCACCAATTCTTACTCGTCGAACGGTCAAGCCGTTTATCAAACTGCTTCCACTTCGCAATACCCGACCCTCTACCAGGGATCCTCCTCCTCCTCCTCCTCCACTGCCCAGTACAGTAACGGTTGTTCCACGTGTCGTTTCAGACGTCATTTGGGACTGAGTGTTAAAGTTTAATATCAAATTGTAACCTTGCCCTCTTATCCTACCCCATTTCTTGATGATCCTTTTGTAAATAACATTGTTTTCCTTGCTTGAATGGATGAATGGATGAATGGATGATTGAATGAATGAATGTATGTATGTAGCACAGCATTGTTTCTCTTAAATATCACTACTAGATCATGATTATTATGAAAAGTGGTCAACTGACCAATTGTGGGAAATTTTGTGCTGAACAAGTTTGCAATTGAAATTTTTCTTTCAAAATGTTTCATTCTCGAGTTATGAGCCAATTTCCGAACAGTTCTCATTTGGTTCTCATCTAGGCCAAAGGGCCTGTATCTTGAGAACCTTGCCTTATCTGAACTCATGAAAAATATTCTTCTATATCACTTTTCACTCTAAACAATAAAAAGTATGAAAAGTTGAACCACAAACTTAATTCCTTCCAGGCTCGACCACAACCACCTACTCGCCGACGTCTTCCTACGGATACTCGGCCCAATACTACAATCCATCATCGGCCACGTCATACTCGTCGTCGACCGGTTACTCGAATCCGTCCACGTCATACGCCAACAACAACAACAACATGAACTCAAACTCCGGTCAGACTAACTACGTGGCGTACGACACCACCAACCAGAACTCGCCGTACTACTACCAGCGCGTTCCGTCGACCGCTCAATACAATTCGGTGCTCGGCGTGAATGCCGGCTTCCCGCAATATGCGAACGGAAACAATCAAGGAGGAGTGATGTACGACACTAGTACTCAGGGTTATGGTAGCCAGGGAACGTACACTAATCAAGTGGTGTATGCCCAAGGGTACAGTAGCCAGACGAGTGGAAACGGTCAAAGATACAATAACCAGGCCATGTACAACCCGAGCACCCAAGGATACGGTAGCCAGAACACCTACAGTGACCAGGCCATGTACAACCCGAGCACTCAAGGAGACGGAAGCCAGAACACCTACAGTGACCAGGCCATGTACAACCCGAGCACTCAAGGATACGGTAGCCAGAACACCTACAGTGACCAGGCCATGTACAACCCGAGCACCCAAGGATACGGTAACCAGGTCTACGCCAGCAGCACCCCATCGCCACAGTACTCTGCGGATTCTATTTCGTGCTGCTCGCAAGTGAGCTCCACGTGCTGCTACCAAACCCAGACGCAACAAGGATACGGTACCCAGTCGAGTTCGATGTACTCGCCGTCCGTCTACCAGTACGGTAGAAAGAAATAATAGTTTTAGGATTCAGGATTGAACACTTTCACTTTTACTTGCCATATCAGTTGTTCTTTGATCTAGAAAATGCAGTCAGGCCCACCGGAATAAAAATTTTCGTTTTACACTACCAGACATTATTATTGTTGTTAGAGCGGACATGTGCCAGGACATTTGACATCCGAAAGCTGCTCATTTTATGACCCCGCTCTTTTTTTTTTTGTTGTTTTGCACCAAAGAAAAATATCAGTGCAAAATGAGAAATGTGAAATGAAATGTCACGCTATGGCCCGTTTTCCAGAAAGGATCCAATTTCTGGTCTGGCGGCAGTTCCGTGGGAATTCCCCGCATCTTTTCCGCGTTTTTTCATTCTCCCGAATTGGGCCAAGCTTTCAGAACATTCAAAACAATTCCCCAGCGACCTTTTTACCCATCGTCTTGTGTTTTTTTTCTCATCCACTAAGCTCCCCGTTTTACTCTCCAACTCACAGGTACCTTTGTATATTTCTCTCTAACGATTGACAAAGTTTTCGGCGCCCCACAAAAACCAAATTATCAGATTAAATCGTGTTGCGAAAGACTTGGATTGGAGACGAGAAGACGACGCCGTCGGCCCGAAATTCGATGAGGATACGAAGAAGGGAAGCGGAGCTCGCCGAGCAGCAGCACCGAGAATGAATCACAAAAATTCGTATCAGTATTTGGACACCGAGACGTGAGTTTTTTTTTGCCGAAAGTGCAGAGCGCGAAATGTTCTCGCATTTTGCGTGCTGCGCCTTTAGTGCTAACCTATTTGTTCGTAAAGAATGCATCTGCACAATTTTCACAGAAATCACTAAATTTGAAACGTTTTCGGAGAAAAATCGAAGAAAATTTGTTTTTTTTCAGTATAAAAATGTATACGTTAACTTTAAAAGCGCAGCACTCAAATTTCAAAGAGTTTCGTGGAGAAGTCGTGAGGATCCTGTTGTCTGGAATTTGTTTGCAGTGCCGAATTTTTCTAGTGCTGAACTTCTCGTTGCACAAGTTCATGTCACACACAATTTCTCCAAAAAATTCAGACTCGCGAATATTATCTGCGCGCCGACGCGGAGTGCATCAAAATCGGTCCCAACGGAGAAATTTATCCACGAAATTTTTATTCAACAACTTTTCTCTCTCTCTCTTGTTCTTTAGACTTTTTTGAGGGTTCGGGTTTAACCTAAAACTTCCGAGTTCGCGCCGATATGCAAAGTTAACGTTTTTGGGGCGACGAATCTTCGAATTCGGGCGGCGGAGACTTTTGACATCGTCTGCGAATGAGATTACCTCGCCGCCGCCGCCGCTGAGTCTTCCTTCGTCCCTATTTTCCATTTTCAAGTCTTCTCCGCTCCTTTTTCGTCTTTTTCGTCTTCGTCGTCAAAAAATAAAACGCTGCGACGGCGGCGGCGGCGGCGTAAATCTAAAACAAGACCGGAAAAGTGGGTGGGGCGCCGAGTGTTCGATATCAGAGCACGAAAGCATCGGCTCATCTCGTCTGTCAAAAGTATGTGTGTGAGAAGCCGCCCATCCGAAAGTGAGGGCGAAAAAGGCGACATCTTCTTCGTTTTTCGCTCTTTTCTCTTTTGCTGCGTGCCCGGCTCATCATCATCTGATTTCGCCTCCGGCCACGTATTTCTCTCTTGCCGAGAAAATGCGGGTTCTGCTGTGCAGTCTGTGATTGAGAGGCTTCCGAACGCCAACGTGGCAATTTTCATGTCTTTTTCTTGAAGCTTCTCGCCAGGAGCATGCTTTTTTTTTAGAATTGTGTACATTTCTAGAGTTTCGATTACTAGACGCTTTGATATTCTCACTGGGGTTCATAGAGCCGAAAATCTGTTTTTACATGCATGTTCCCCTCAAAAACTGTCATTTTCAAGTTCAAACATCTCCGCATAAAAAACCGGAATGTTAGCTAAAATATGCAAACTTTTTTATCCCGTTTCGCACTTCCGTACAACTTTTTCTCTGTATTTTGTTTGCTCTTAAGAATTCTCTTGAAACTTTTCCGAAATCGTCTCCACCGAAAAGAAACTAGCTAAACGCAGGTTAAAAAACTGACGCAGACAGAATTTTGAGAGAGTAAAAACCAGTAATGACTGCTAGTTTTTCAACCGAACTATTTAGTTTCGAAAATTATACAATTCTCCTCGTCTACACGCGATTTTTCTTTGTTTTCTTGCAAGTCCAATTTAACAGAGAACTAAGTGAAACTTGTCTGACTTTCAAAAAGCGGAAGTGAACTTTTGCGGCCGAAAAACTTCTCGATTTGTACGCTCAATTTCATTCGAAACTGTTCAAAATTATGATCTTGCGCTCACTATTACTAATTCTTGTCCGCTCAAACATGTGTTTCCAATTGCTCTCCTCCCTCTTCCGTCCGTCTTCTTCTCAAATTATCACACACACACATGTGTTGTGTGTTTTTGTTTTGCAGACAATCTTTTCTTCATTTCATTTCCCCTGACGTCTTCTTCTACTTCTGTCTGAATCGCAACCGCTTCTTCGGGATATTTGGAGAAGGAGCACTCGAAAGATGATTGGAATGGAGGATGGCGTCCGGTGCGCGCTTACTTTTCATCACAAGAAGATCTCTGGGGGGGGAGGGGCGTATCCACTTGAGTTAATACGTTTTTGGGGAGGCATAAAGAGTGGGTGTAATATGTTAGGATCAACGTTTTGTTCGGATATCTGGAGGGAGAAGAGCGGCCATCAAACTTTTAGTTGGGCGCACGGACAATTTGATTTCGTTTTATTTGCCGGAGCCAAGGGGAATCGGCGGGGACATAGCTAACAAAACACGAAACAGATAGAGCACAAATGATTTGGTTTAAAACAAACAACTCTTTGGAATCAACTAAGACGCTTTCAGAATGCTATCGGCGGCCGGACGTCGATTCTCGCGATGCGCGCCCTCGCCACGGCCCAGGAACAGGAATTACGCGCTGGCGAACATTCCGCCGCCCGCCGCGGTACACATTCGCACCAATGACATGATCAGTCCCGAGGAGCGCAGGTTTGTTCCTTCTTTTTGAATAGCAAATAGATCTAGGTCATGAAATTTCCGCGGATTCACCTTTTACGCGTGAGAAGTGAATGCTTCTCGAAATTTCTTGACGAAAAACTGTTTTCTACGCTTCTCAACGCACCTTTTGCTCCTGTCCAACTCCCAGGAGACTGCTCATCGAACTCCTTCCCCCCTACCACCACACTTTCATTTCCCTATGAATTTCAGATTTCTTGAGGCGGCGGAGCTTGGAAACAAACCAACGCTGCAGGAATGCTTAGGCTATGTAAGTTTAAGAAAACGTTTCTCACTTCATGATGACAAAACTGATCCAGCACGATGGAGAACGGCAGCTCAACGTGAACTGTTTGGATTCGATGGGACGGACGGCGTTGGAGATTGCAGTGGACAACGAGAATATGGAAGTGGTCGAGCTGCTCCTACAACAGCCGAATATTAGAGTCGGGAATGCGCTTCTCTGTGCTATACGAGAAGGTGAGATCAAACATGTTTTATTGTCAACCACTCCGAACTATTGCAACTATGATTCAACTTAATAGGAGAGTGGTTGTATGAAAATGTTATAAGTAGAACTACCTTCAATTTTGTTTCCAGGAGTGTACCGACTTGTCGAAGTGCTCGTGAACCATCCGAATATCAATCGCGAGATGCTCGGCGACGGATGGAGTCAAGCTCTCGATCCCTCTGAGGCCGCAAGCGCCGAATATTCGAGTGACATCTCGCCGGTCATTCTGGCTGCTCAGCTCAACCAGTTCGAGATTCTTCAAATGCTCATCAGAAAAGATGCGAGCATCGAGAAACCGCACAGGTCATTCATTGTGTTATTTCTGTGTCTTCCATAGCGCGGGGGGAGATCACAAAGATAGATCACACTATAGATCAAAAAGACATAGATCATAAAGAACTATCATACGTCTACACGACGCAACAGTAATAAAATCGTGATCCGAGCTAACGTTTGAAAGCGAATTGACCGCTTGTTGCATTCTCATAACCGCACTTCTCATTTTGCGCTTTTTCGTAAAAGCAATTCGTAAAAATTCGTAAAAGCGTATACAATCGGTCTATCGAGAGAAAAATGAGAAATTATCGGTTTTTCGTGGCTAATCTGGCAAAAAACACTAATTTTGCTGTTAAAATTTGATTTTCGCGCCAATGTATCGCTCTATTGGGCGGGGCGCCTTTGCGCCCATTGTCAGCTCTGGAGACCGTGAATATTCTAATTTGCAGACACTCCTGCGTCTGTGAGACTTGCGATCGTGAGCGCCTCAACGATTCGCTGCAATACTCGCTGAAACGGATCAATACATTCCGCGCGCTGGCGAGTCCCGCGTGGATGTCCCTCACCAGTCCCGATCCGATTCTCTCCGCCTTCAAACTCTCTTGGGATCTGCAGCGATTGGCGTTCGAGGAGCACGAGTTCAAAGAGACCTACTTGCAATTGTCCGAACAGTGCAAGCAGTACTCTTGCGATCTGCTCAGCCAGTGTCGGAGCTCCGAAGAGGTCATTGCCATTCTGAACAAGGACGGCAACGCCAACGACGATAATATCGATGTGTGGGCTAGCAAGTTGTCGCTGTCACGGTTGAAATTGGCGATTAAGTACGAGCAGAAAGCGGTAAGAGGCCTGTAATACCGGTTTTTTTTTTGGAAAATAAGTTCAGTTTGTCTCCCATCCACATTGCCAACAACTCTTGACCTCCATCTGGTACGAAGGCATTCCGTACCGTCAAAGAAGCGGAACGTGGGCCAACTTTTTTCTCTACGCCTTCCTCCTTCTCTTCTGGCCCTTATTCTGCCTAATGTACATCCTGGTAACTAATTTAAACGTTAACTAATAAAACAATTTATCGTACAGATGCCGAAAAGCCGTCTAGGCCGTCTCGTCCGCTCGCCCTTCATGAAGTTCTTCTACTATTCAGTCTCCTTTGCCACATTTTTGGGCCTACTCACTTGGGCCACTTTTGAAGATTATCGATATGAGAAAGGAGAGCGGGTACCTTTTTTTTTACCATACAATATATTCCAATATATATTTCGTTTTAAGGGTGGAATGACGAGAGCGTCGGATCGAGGTCCCCCGGCCACGTGGGTCGAATCGCTCGTGTTCACATGGGTCATCGGAATGCTGTGGTCGGAGATCAAACAGTTGTGGGAGGAGGGTTTCAAGCGATACATGCGGCAGTGGTGGAACTGGCTCGACTTTCTCATGATTTGTCTCTATCTATGCACCATTTCAATCAGGTTTTGCCTTGTTTCTTGTTTTTTTTTTGAGGCCAAAGAGTCACCCTATGGATTTCAGACTTAGCGCATATTACGTGTTCACATATCGCGAGGATCCATATCGATATACGGTCCGAACATATTGGCAGTCCGAGGAGCCGATGCTCGTCGCCGAGGCACTTTTCGCCGTCGGCAACGTGTTCTCGTTCGCGCGAATCATCTACTTGTTCCAGACGAATCCGTACTTGGGACCATTGCAGGTTAGACAGGCCCAACCAAGGGTCCAATCAAAAGATCCCCGATTTCAGATCTCCCTCGGGTGTATGCTTGTCGACGTGGCCAAGTTCTGCTTCATCTTCGTGCTCATCATCAGCTCGTTCTCGATCGGTCTCGCCCAACTCTACTGGTACTACGACCCGAACACGGACGTCTGTCTGCCCGGCTCCACGTGCAAACACAGCTCCAACGTGTTCTCCTCCATCGCCGACTCCTATCTGACTCTCCTCTGGTCTCTCTTCTCAATCACAAAGCCTGAAGACACAGATGTGATCGAGAATCATCAGATCACGCAGTGGGTCGGGCAGGGAATGTTCATCATGTACCACTGCACGTCGATCATTGTCCTTCTCAACATGCTCATCGCCATGATGTCCCACTCGTTTCAAATCATCAACGATCACGCGGATCTCGAGTGGAAGTTCCATCGCACGAAACTGTGGATGGCGCATTTCGACGAGGGCTCCAGTCTTCCGCCTCCTTTCAACATTGTCGTCACCCCCAAGTCGCTCATCTATTTTCTCAACTCACTTTTCAATACGGTCAGATGGTTGTTGGGCAAGTATACCTATCAGAAGAACCGGAATCGGGCTACCATCAGGGTGAGTTTGCTGGTGACATAGTGAAAATCCAATAATTCCATTTCAGCGCCCCGGCTACTCACGAAAACGAAACGAGTTGGAAAAATCGGGACACGACGAAGATTCGCTGAAACCGCTGACCTACGCGGATATAATTCAACGTCTAGTGGCCCGATTCATACACCAAACCAAGAAGGACATGAAGATGGACGGAGTGAATGAGGACGACTTGCACGAGATCAAACAGGACATTAGCAGTTTACGGTAATTGAATCGAATTCACTGGCCTACCAAAAAAAACCGCTGTTTTCAGATACGAACTGCGCGACGATCGACGCCGCGAAATCGTGCGTAGCTCTTCGCACATTGACGCCGTGAAACGAGACATTATGCGAACGATGAGCACGACTTCGAAGAGAGTCTACGGTGGGAGTATGCGTCTGCCACGTACCCGTCCTTCCGTGGCCGAAGAATCGGAAGAGGAGGAGAAGGACAGCGAGGAGATGAGCTCGAGCGACGAGGAAGATGCCGATGAGACCAGGTTTTTCCTAAAGTACTTCTCTCTTCATAACTATTGCAATTTTTTCGGCGTTTTAGTTTGATCTAGTTTGCATGTGCTCAACACTGCTTCTTTGTCCGTCATTTTGTCCGAAAAACCATTCAACACTCATTCAGATCTCGAAAATCATCAGTCCTCTACACGCCGCCCGTCAACTCGACCCTTCCGGGAATAATTTCCGAAGAAGCGGCTCCGGCGCAACGCAAGAATCCGCGACGTCGGATGAGCGAGGCCGACTCGAAAACGGTGCCGGACCGCCCGTCTTCCGACTCGCACGCCTACACGGCCACATTCACGGTTTGTAATGGTTTTGTAGACTGAAATTGTTTTTATCTTCAGCCAAAACTTCTGCCGGTCTACGCTCAGCCTCCGCACAGTGCATTGCGAAAAACAGACACTTCGATGAGTTTTCCGATAAATGGAACCGTCGTCGAGGCACTTGTCAAACCTCCGAGGGGTGTCTTGAGGTCAGATTTCATACATTTCCAACAAAATTAGCCTGAAACTCTGTAAAAGCAAGGGTAAAATCCGAATTTCCCATCAAATTTGAGTGTGGAGCGCACTTACCACACAACTCCTCATTTTTAGATCGTCTCAAGAGAACCTCGAGTCGGTGACGCTGATGGAAACGCTGAAAAAAGAAATGAACGAGAAATTGGATCGAATAATCAGCGGAATGCTGGCCGAATCGACGACGACGACGACGACGAAAAGCCCCGCCGCGCACAGTCATGTCGGTTTCAACGTGGAGAAATAATTCCGCACTTTTTTGTGTGTATTTTTTTTGTCGCGATTGCAAAAAATACGGGTTATTATCGAATTTTTTATGAAATGAAATCGTATGTGGTGCACTTATGATCGTCTTCTGAATGCAAACGTTTGAAGGTCTCAAGCCATGAGTGAATCCTTTCTGTCTATCCTTTCTTCTAATGAGAATGTCACTGTTTAAAGGTATTACTCACAAAATGGTGACCCTGCGAAAAAGCAAGAGAAACGCACACATTTGTCTTTTCGAGGAACTTTATTCATGGCTTCTACTTGTGCGTGCTTTCGAATTTTCGCGGCGGAATTGATAGGATTTGTTGGCAAGACATCTGAAAGATTTACAATTATTTTGAAATGTTCACTACAAAATGTTAAGCCTACATCGTTCGTCAAATTACATGGGAATCGGCGTCGAACACTTTTGCAGAACGTCCGTCGCAGAACATCATCGTTCAGCTAGAAAATGCAATTTTCACGAGGCCCACTTTTTATGTTTTTCTTACCGTATCAATCGCGGCGCCAATAATCATTCGGAGAATCCAGCCAATTAGAGCAGCTGCTAGATTCCACGTGTAGGAAATGACATCTTCGAGGCATGTGGGTTCATTCTGCAAAAAAAGTAAAAATACATCGATCACTTTGAAGCACAAACCAAACTGTGTTGCTCGCAGAAATGGCCAATCGAGAAAGAGCCGAGATAGGCGGTGCCGGTGAGCGCACAAGTGCCGGCGAAGAGCAGCAAATGGATTCCGAGACGGAACATGGATCCCCAATGACGGTGGTACGCGGAGGACTTGCGTCTCGAGAGAAGCAGCTGGATGATGAAGACGTAGCTGACGACGGAAATGATGTAGAAGAGGAGGGGCGGCACGATGGTCACGATGAGGCTGCGGGTGCCCGGATGCGAGTTTATGTGGATGCACAGGTCGACCAGCCATTCACCGATGAACTGAAGATTCAAATTAGAAACGTCTTGAATAGAGTCTTAAAATATATCAACTGAAAATCCGCGAAATCCGCCCATCTTTGAAGACCTGCATCTCAAAAACCAATAATGATTTCAAGAAGTGGTCAACCAAAAAGTTGTTGGAAATCTTGTGCAGAACAACTTTGTAATTGACTATTTTGTATCAAAAAATTTCATTTTCGAGTTAGGAGCTCATTTCTGAACAACAATCCTTAGAGCGTGAGACGGCAAACAAATCTCGTTTTTAGCACTGCCTAGTTTTCTATAAAACGATTCACAAACCTCATCCGAATCGAAATCATCCAAAAACAAATGAATGACCGAGTTGCTATTGTAATTCAGTTCTCCTCGATGCACCAGAAAAATGCACAGCAAAAAGGAGACAAATAGCACGAGCCAGCCGAGCACAATGTATTTCGCAACTTTCCAAGAGGTCAAGTTGATCTGTAATGATTTTTTTCAGGGCAATAAATGAATATCGTCTAAAAGAAAACCTTGTACTGAAGCGGAGCCCTCACAGCGTAATTCGTAAGGACGGCAATTCCAGTGTACGACAAACTCACACACCAATAGTTTAAAATGAAGACGACTTGAAGAACGTATTTGGATAAATCCGTTTCGGCCGGCAAGCAAATGTGCGAATCGCACCGCTCCAACTTTTGTTTCGTAAAAAAATAGGCGCCAATAATGATTGTGAAAATGTCGGCGAACGTTCGGTTTATCGCAAGCGCATACCGCTTCAACGGTAATTTCCCTTTTCGTATGCCGACTGTTACCACTATTAGGTAGGTCGTGTTGGCTGGCAAAAATTAAATGCTTTTATTCAGTAAGCGGTGTAAAACTGACCTAAAAATGCGGCGAATGCGCTGAACGGCAGGAAAAAGTAAAGCGTGGCGAACATTCGCTCGATCGCTTCATAGTTTTGCGCTTCTTGTTCGGGCGAGCAATATTTTCGGGAAGTTACGTTCAAACTCATTTGAGATATATTTCAGGAATGGAAAAATGCGTGAAAGAGGTCACGAGAATCAATTATTTATATTCTTCCATTGATCTGAATAGAAGGGGCTCCGAACGCAACTTACGTTAGAAGCTAGAAGATTAAAAATTACGAAGCAATGGCTGGCTTTTCTGAAGGACTACTTGCCGGCTAAAGCGCAAGCACGTCAAGGCCAAATTAAGAAGAAGAAGAAGGAATTCTGAAGCGAGCACACAATGTTGTGTTCGTTAATCTGTCCGACCGACGAAGAAGGATGGAAAAAGAAAGAAACAAGTTGCTCGTCTCGCCCTTTTTTAGCCCCTCAGTAATCACATTCGGCAGCCGGGACGGACGACTTTTGTTCAGTTCACTTCAGGAGAACGTGTCTATGCTACTGATTTTCGGAATGAGAAGTTACTATTGGGGTCCAAAATACTTCGATCCGAGTCTAACAAGAAGGCTGCAAAGTTTGGATCCGATCGGAACATTTCAAGTGGTCCAAAAGCGTCTCCTCTCTCAAAAACCTCTAAAAGCCTGGGCCGTAATTTTAAAATTCGCAGTTGCCAGATAAGATAATCCTTTTCAGGACAAAACTTTCGAGCCTTTTTCAGGGCTCTCTCAGACTTGAGGCAATAATTCGGATAAATATATGTTTCGTGTCATCTAAGGCAACGGTTTAACCCGTTTCGGAGCAAAGTCAGGAAAAAATTTCTGGATTTCGCAGAGTTTCCGCAAATTCAAATTGAGTGGAAAACCATTTTTGCTGGAAAAAATTCCTTCTGCTGAATTTGCTTAAAAATGGGTTCTACTGCTGCCCTAGATAACAGAAAACAGTATGGGACCCACTGAAACCCGACCAAATTCGAGAAAATCCATCTCAAAATCGGAATAATAGACCCAAAAATCTCGCACCGTCGAACCTGTAACAAAGCGAGTAACAACTGAATGGGGCTTCGTCCACCGAAAGAGGGCGAAGGAGAATGATGACAAATAAGCGAGAATAACACATAACCTAGCGGGTAGATCAGAGGTAGATCACTTAGCATTATCCTACAAATTATCATTCGTCTAGAACGACGTAACAATTTCCATGGGCTAAAATCGAGAAATAGTGCAACACGCGTTATACTCTTCCTTCCAATCTACAGTAATAATCAGAATTCAATGCTATCTAATCGAAGTGTTCAAACTTTGGTTTCTATTTCGAATTCCGTGTTCCCAGAGCCGACGACAACACAATTCGTTTCAAAAGTGGTGTTGATGTTATGGAAATCGGAGAAAGAACATAAAAGTGTTCGCGTTTTTCGTGGACAATAAACTTTTGCATAAAATCGAGTATAAAAGGAGGCCGCCCGGCTCGAATCTCCATCAGAAGCCTCTCTGGTTTCAAGGTAAGCTCCTCCGCCTTCGCTCTTTTCGCTTCAAGACCCCTATTTCAGAATGGTCGTCTTCTCGCTGGAGCTACAGGCCATCGCTGCCGTCTCGGAACACCGTCAAGGAAGAGAGGACAGCGATGGCGGCATCTAATCGAACATCAATCGTCTTACAATCATTCCAAAAACGTCAAAAAAAAATTTTCCAATAAAACATTTTAACAACAACAAAAAGAATTAAACGACTTCTTCGTTGGCCACAGCCGGCGGAACTTCTTCTTTGATTCTTTCGGGTTTCTGAAAAGAACAAGAATTAATCAAATTTCTCGATTTTTCACGAACCGTCTCTTCTGTCGCCACCGTCTCTTCTTGCCGTTTCTCGCGTCGGAACAATTGATTTTTGATGATTTTGTTGAGGATGTTCCGAACCTCGTACGGCTGAATGTAGAATCTCCGATCGTTCTGATTGCTCGCTTCTGAAACTGTCGTCTTTGAGGAAAATTTGGAAGTGTTACGTTTCAGATTTCGCACAATTTCCTCTTCGTTGAGTCCCTGCACAAGAAGTTCGGCGATTTCTCGTTTGATGACCGTCGAAAGCGGCAATTTCTGAAGATGGGCCGATTCGTGGCCACAGTGCGTCAAACACGCGCGCACCGAGATTTCTCTGCAAAAAATGGTGATGTTGCAAGTGCGGTATACCGGGAATTGAAAATCAGCGAAACACGCAAATTTAATGAGAATTGAGCCTTTTCACCCTCGACTTACCCGAAAATGTCCTTAACCGACATGTGGGCGGTACAAGTGCTCTCCTGTTTTCGCGACAATTTCGAACGAATGCCACGTGCCGGACGTTTGTACGAATCGTTTCGGCGCGAGAAGAAACACGACAGTCTTCTGCAAAAACAAATAACTTTGCTAATTTTACAGGGAATTTTACGAAAAAGCGCATTCTACCGAGTCTTGCCGAGCGTGCACGGCTTTCCGGAAGAGTGCACGAAGCGCGACGACGTCGAATCTTCCAGATTATCCTTCCAACGCTGAAATTAGACGCATTTGCTGGAAATTTTAAGGGAAATGACCTCAAATTCGGTCCAACTGGTAAAACTGAAATGTTCGATGACGAGATCGCCGCGATTGTGCCGATCCTGAACGTGCTTGTTGACGGTCGCCTGACAATCGCAGCGGACGTTGCATCCGGGCATCGGACACAGAAAGTTTGGAATCGGACTGAAATTGAACCGTTTTTCAGCGTTCTTCCGTTCATTTTGTGTTAAGAACTGATAGATTACTTTCACACGACAAATTCACCCGATTTCGGCCCAAAATATCACGAATTCCTAATTTTTTTTAATTTCTTGTAAAAATCTCACATCTCCAATCCCTTGTCGTGTCGTTTTTGATGGAGAGTGTACACGACTTGCGATCGGAAACATTGTTGGCACGTGGCACAGAACAACGCGTCCGATCGATCGGCATTCTTCCAATGACGCAGTTGCGGCGACTCCTCGCTCGATTTGTCGGACGGCGTGCCCGCCAGAATCTTCGGAACCACTGTTCTCGCTGTTGAGCTCGAGCTGGAACATTCTAGAAAGAAAAAACAATAATTGAAAATTTTTTGGCCCGAATTACCTTTGTCGGCAGTTTCCTTCTCATTTTTCTGTTTTTTTGCTCTTGAATTTTTTAAACTGCGCAACGGCTTCACCAGTTGCATTTCTGAATAGGCGGCCAATCGGTCGGCCGTCGAAATGGGCTGAATTGCGAGCAGTTCGGCGAGATTCTGCTGATGCGGGCCACTTTTAGGACTTTGATCCATTTCGACGCCCTCCACGTCGATTTCTTCCTCTTCTTCGCAGTATTCATTCGCGTACTCCATTACATTCTGAAAATATTATTTAAATGAGAACATTTCAAATTTTACCGTTGCATAATTGAAATCTTCGTCGTCGTCGTCGGTGGAAGCGAGCTCGAATTGCGGGGAAAGCAGGAAATCCTTGTAATTATCATCGTATTCCGGATTCAAACTCATTTTCGTGCAAAACCTTCAAGGCTTGGAAGTGCCTCTTCCCCAATCTGAAAAAAGGAGGAAATGATGCAAGTGCGCTCTAACAAGCATAAGGTCTCGCAGACGTTAGAAACAAATTACTGTAGCTGACAACGCGCGCTATTTTCAATTAAGACGGACCAAGCTTTTCGAGTCCAAGTACTAACTCAACTTTCAGGAAAATTTTTTGCAAACGTCAAATCTTATAGGGTTTTTTTTAAATTCTGACAGAGTCAAATTTTGTGAGTTGGACACAATTTAGCACATTGCTTTCGAGTAAAATCCAGAAATTTTACAGAATTGTTGAACCTGAAAACATAAACGTAAACTAATTCTACTCGCAAAAGTTATGGTAAATGGAAAACCGGAAATATCGCGGGCAAATCGTTTCTAATCTAACTAGCTAATTCTCGTTTCTAACCGGACCTAGTTAGATTGCTACCGAATCTTGAGTGAAAATTTCGGAATTTTCATACCGGCCGATCTGGATAGTTTTGAGACGAAGTGAGTGTCGGAAGTGATTAGGCACGTTAATACAAGTATTTTAAGCGTTCAAACGACAAAAAGTATCGACGAATGACTGAAATTCGCTCATTTTCAGCACAAACATCCATTTTCAGCACAAAACTCAGCACAAACATCCATTCCCCCTCATCCATTCTCCTCTCTCTCTCTCTTCTCTAATCGTTAAAAAATAAAACGTTAAAAAATAAAAAATAAAACTTAAAATCGATTCAATTGATTCATTTCTGAATGAAACCTGCTCGTTTAAAGGTCAAAAAAAGCATGCATTTTTTCGTTACTTTTTCAAAACGCTATTTCCGATGCAAAATCTTCAAAGTCGGAACGATTTTCAATGGTGGATTTTTGACAAGTTTTCCGCTGCCGAAATCATTTTGTAAAAGCGGAAATAGGCCAAGGCGATTATTATCGATAGAGGTGACGCTGCGCCTGCGAGACAATTCGCTTGAGGACTATGCAAATGACCGAGAGGGCGCTGGCCAGGGGCCCCGGGGGTCGTGGACGAAAAGTCCCAGTCCCGTGAAACAATGCCATAGGTGTAAATGAGAATTTCTACAATAGAAACGTGTCAACACGAAAGTTGGAAAGAAAAAACTTGAATTTAAATTATCAGCAAAACATCAAATGTCACTTTTATTCGTTTTTAATTGTTGATAGGAGCTAAATAGCGATTTATAATCGAGTTTCGCAAGTGAGTGAAGTCAAGGTATTAGAGGAGGCGTCCCCGTAAATTTCAGTGGATGGAAACTACGTTAACCTGGGCGACATACAGGCGGCCGCTAACAAACCGCACGGCGGAGAGACCTACATGAATCTGAAGGATTTTGGGCCGGCTCCTCCTCCGCCGCCACCTCCGCCACCCGCTCGGACCCCTCCCAATCCTCTGACGCCGCGCCGACATCGCCCAGTCACTTCTGCCTCTCCGAGCTATTTCACGCCGCCCAAGCGCCGTCCAGTGACTCCTCCGCCAGCTCGGACTCCTCGTAACCATCTGACGCCCCCGCGGAAACATGAACTGTCTCCAGCTCCGTCTCCAGCTCCCGCTTTGGCCGTTTCACCGAAAAAGCACAAAAAACATCGTCCGCCACCGTCCCCGTCGCCCGCCCACTCGCAAGTTCAGTCCCATCCAGAATCCGTTCCGTCCACCGCCGCGGCCACTCCCAAGTCTTCGGTCGCCTCGACGTTTGGCGAATCCGCTCCGACGAAGCCGCCGCATCATCGGAAAATGGCGTCGGAGGTGTCGGTGTGGGGCAACGATTCGGAGCACAAGAAAGAGGCGGCCAACGTGGTTTGCTGGGTACGTCGCATTGTTCTCGCTCCCTATGGCTCTTCCAGATTGGCGGAATAGCTGGGCAGGAAAGTGGTCTTAGTAGGATTTTGAAAGTTATCGACAATTCCCGGACCAAATGTTCTATAAATTTATCGACAAGATTAATGAGTGCTCAATGTCAAATCTTTGCAGATCCGCGCCATTCACGGCGTCTTTTTCGTGCTCTTCATGCTCTGTTTGGCCGCGTGGCTTCTCACCACTCTCGTCAGCCTTCACTACATCGAATTAGAGTTTATCGAGAATAAATTTATGGAACTCGGGGATGAATAAAAATAGAATAAAATCATTTTGTTCACCTCAAATCGCCGCTTCCACTTTGTTGATGAGTCCTTTGGCTCCGGTGACCACTGCGCTTCCTGCGTTTTCCACCGCGTTCAGGCCTAAAATTACAAAAATGAATGAATGGTTAGAAAGAAAGAGGTTTTCTTTAAAGAGCCGCACCTTCCTGTCCCCATCCCTCGGCCGTATTGACGGCTCCTTGTCCGGCGGTTTCCACTTTGTTCAGAGCGCTCTTTCCGGCGTTTTCCACGTCATCGACGATGCTGCGACGGCTTCTCGGAATCTCTCCTTCATCTTCTTCGTCGGATCTATTTCTCGATTGCAAAGTCATGTTTCGTGGCATCGGCGGCATTTCTTCGGTTCTGTTCATCGGATGCGTCATGTTATTCATCGACCCGCCTGGAATAGTCTGGAAAGCTTCCGAGATATTTTTTGTTGCCTACCATTCATGAGACTACGTTCCGAATCTACGTGGCCCTGTTTTCCGTGGATGATAGTAATAGTGATGAACAAAAGCGAAATGAAAAGGTAGAAATTCATGAGTGAGGTAGTCGCGCTTCGGATATTCTGTTATTCCCAAACGGTGCCCTATATATATACTGGGTTAGATCTGGCGCATTGAAAAGTGCATCAAAAAGCGGATTAACGGTTGTTTTGATGATGATGATGAGGATATTCGTCATATGCCTCGACTTAAAACTATATTTCAAAAAACAACAAAATCTATGATCCATGTCTCCGCAACGATCGTTCGACGTCTTCCAACTCGACGCGCTTCTGCGTGGCGTCCACGATGATGTTGCGCATTCTCGTAAAACTTTTCGCGTGTCCCTCGCGCAATTTTGCAGCCAATTTTTCGTGTTTCCGCAAATTCTCATCGACAATCCGGTCGATTTCCGTCGCGTCGTCGATCCTCCAGAAGTCGTTCTTCTCGACGAACTCGACGACGTCGCTGTGCTCGTGTTCGTCGGCGCTCGAGTACAAACGGAGCAGCTCCAGAAGCCGGAGACGCGTTAGACGGTGCTGTCGGGCCAAAAGGACGATCTGCATGAATTGCTCGGCGAAACGGACACTGAAAACATGGAGTTGTGGGATTATTAACAGTGGGAAATCGCCAATTGCATGCCTGAAGATTCATTTTTTGTATTGACAACTTCTTTGTACAGTCCTATTTTGCAGAGCTATGTTTCGATGAAGCTCAAGAACCTTTTCGATACTTTAACTTTTGACAAACTCGATAATCGGACCCTGATTTTGCACGATTATCCGACTTTCAATATAGACACTCTGAACCAAGAATGATAATCGGGCACAGTCAGGGTAAAGACGGATCGGAAATTTGTCAAAAATTCAAGTGTCGTAAAACTTTGAGCTTCGCGAAAAGAAGCTTTGTCGGAGCATGAGTCAAAAAGAAGTTTGCAAAAAAGTTGTGAACACAAAAATGGAGCTCCAATCATCAGTCTCATCTTGCTTTTTAAGTACCTTTGCGGCGGATAGTTGACTTTCGAGCGTTGCATACTCGTTTTCAGCTCTTTCATCCAGTACAAAATGTCGTCGGCGGTGACGGACGGGTGTTTCGATCGAGTGCATTTTTCAACGAAACTGAACAGCTCCGGGTCTTCCTAAAATGAATGTTTCTCAAAATTCTAGACACCCAACAAACCGCAATGTGAATGGAGCTCCTGGCGTCGAATCCGCACTCATCGCGGAGCCATTCGAATTTCGGCTTCCCGCTCTCCTCCAACTCGCGCTCGACCTGCTGCAACCACTCGGTTCTCACGCGGACCGCTGGAAGATTCGGTTCGGCCATGAACCGATAGTCGGTCTCCTCTTCCTTGTCCCTCATTTGTACCGTCCGTCCTTCGGGCGTCGCCGCGCGTGTCTCGTTGCTCACTCGGCCGCCCGTCTTCAGAATTTCAAACTGGCGCGCAATCTCGAAATTGATGGCCGTGTGAATGCACCGAATGCTGTTCATGTTCTTGATTTCGGTGCGCGTGCCCAACGCGCCGTCGTAAGCGAGCGAAACGTTGGCGTCGACGCGCATGTGCCCCCGATGAAGGTCTCCGTGGCAGACGTCGTGGTGGATCAGGAGGAGACGGAGGTGCTGCACGAAGCGGATCGCCTCGAGGGCCGTCGTGAAGCACGGAGTGGTGACCACTTCGACGAGGGCGCATCCGGCACGGTTGTAGTCGACCAGGGACCGCCCGTCGATGTGGATCGTCTTGCCAGAGTCTTGTTCCAGTTGCAGTTGGATTATATCTACCTAAATTATTTGAAAGTCGTTTTGTTTTTACAGTGCAAATGGTAGATAGAGTGCTACATAGCAGAGTTGAGCGGAAATGGAATTTTGAAATCCGGAAGACGGCAGACGGCAGACGGAAGAAAATTTTTTTTACGGAACACGGAAAACGGAAGACGGAAGAAAATTTTTCTCACGGAAGACGGCAGACGGAAGACGGAAGAAAACTTTTTTCCCGGAAGACGGCAGACGGAAGTCGGAACAAAAAAATCGTCAATGCAGAACCTTTTTTTCCGATTAAAAAAAAAAAATAACTAAAGCAACAAAAAATTTGGATCTGGGTCACTGCCCGTGGAAATTCGCGTTCTTCGGGGCTAGTAAATAGCTTCTGAAAAGCTATTACTCTTTTACGGTAAGAAGAAAAAATGCCGGAAGACGGCAGACGGCAGACGGGAAAAAAGTTTTTTTACGGAAGACGGCAGACGGAAGACGGAACAAAAAAATCCACGGAAGACGAAAGACGGAAGACGGCAGACGGAATTCCGCTCAACTCTGCTACATAGCCTTTGGAACACCGTTTCGATTCAGGAAACTAAACAATCGAGCTCTACTGAACAAATTAAGGCAAATAGATGTTTCGTTGAAGCCATGCTCGATCTGGGTGGTCACAAATCTCACAATCGAATATATCCTTTAAACAAATCGCATTTGCTTCCATACTTGGTCCAATAAAGCGCGATTGCTCACCCAGAAATTCGTGATTGAAAAAGTGATCCACAGACATTACAGCCCGAGATTGTTGATATGAAACCTTGAACGTTTGTTCGGTTATTCAACTTCTTCCTGTTTTCGGTCTACTATAGGTCCCCCAAAAATATATCATGCGAATAGTTATCTATTTCCACCGCAGAACAGCAAGACGACCTTCGAAAATGTTTTCGCCAATCGATCATTTCAGTTTGAAACCGACGGCCAAACTGACAAGTTTCGTGCCGTTTCGCATTCCACCCCAGAAGATACCGATCTTTTTTTGCCGATTAGTTTTCGAAAAGAGATACGTGGGTTACGGTGGGTGCGAGATCAAGAATCACTCAAGAATTACCTGTTTCCAGTAGGGTTCGAGGTGCTCGTCGAACACGTAAAACCCGAACTTTCCCCCTCTCGCAATCGGATTCTCGTTTTGCGTGATCTGATATCCGGCCGGCATGTCCGCGTAGAAATAGTGTTTTCGGTCGAAGCGCGACCGTTCCGGAATGTGACACCTCAGCAGACGCGCCATTTTGAGTGCCTTCAGGACGCATTGGCGATTCAGAACGGGCAGGACGCCCGGAGTGGCCATGTCGAACGGCGACACGTGGCGGTTCGGGGAGGCTTCCGACGTGGGCGTACGCGAGAACAGCTTCGTGCGCGTGTTCAGTTGCACGTGTACCTGCAATGACCGTAGAGAAATTCATCGGAATTCAGACAAAACAGACAGATTTCTCAATTTTTGAATAGTCATTTCAACAATTCAAATCCGGAAAGATTTCCTTGGTTATTCTAAACTACACAAAGTAATTCGGTGGTTTCAAACGTTTTTATCGCGACTGAATCTCACTGCTATGTACACTTTTCTCGGTTGCTTTGATTTTTCAGGCAAATTTCAATTGAGACATTTGAGAGGAGCTAGCGAGTTGAACCGAAAATTCGCGTCCATGAAACAGAACGAATTGCATAACTTTGCCATCTTTCTGGAGAGCACATCACATTTCAGAGAAAATATTCTCAAGAAACCAAATCTTGACTGGGAAAATGTTCCCAGCTACAGTACCTCCAGTCCAATAACCGGTTTATATCGGCTCTTGTCGGCCCGTGCCTCCGTTTTGCTTTGTATCGCCATCGCCGTCATTCTTCTCGTCGTTGTTAACATTTTTCTTCAAAAAACACCCGCTAAGGTTCTAAATATCACATTAAAAATATCATCGGATCACCAGCAGAGAATACGGTATTTCTAAGTACATGTTTTCCTTTTAATTTTCAAATTTATCTTAACGTAGCGTAAAACCATTTTTTGAATCCGATTTTTCGGAATAGGAGGACCAGGAGTGGTGAACAAAACAACCAAACAACACGGGCTGGGGTAGCGGGTATGAGGAAAACAAAAAAGAGGAACAACAATATTAAATTTCAAATCTACTAATTAATCGAATCAGAAAACCGAAAGAGTGGTGTCGAGTGGCTCCAGATCGAGATCGCCGGCTCTGACGGCACGTGCCAAATTGACGCGCACCTCGTCGAGATTCCGTTGGACGACTCCTTCCAGCGTGGATCGGTAGTTCTGCAAATAAAGCCAGTTTTTAGTGAGAAACGACAAAAAGCTAAATCTACAGTGTAAACACGTGTGAAACAACATAATTTTCCGAAAGAACTGCTTTAGATTTGCGAGCTTCTATAGAAATGAACTAAGAATAGTATAAATAATCAAAATAGCTAATTTTCGACTGAACTTTTTGGCATATCATCTTTGAATCACCTCAAACTTATCCTCGTCCTCCGCCATTCGCAACACGTGCACCAGCGCCAGTTCGGACGCGCTTCTCACAGCCGTATTGCTCTCTTTGCAACCGTTCACCAGCTGCGGCACCACCAACTTCAGCACGTCGTTCGTCAATTCCTCGTGTTCTCCGACGTGTCCCAACGCCAACGCCGCCGTTTTCCGCACGTCGACAGAAGCGTGGTTGAGCGCTCGCGCCACTGCGGACAGGAGATCTCGGTCGATTGTGCTCTGAAGGACGTGGGCGGCCGCACGGAGCGACGCCATCGCCACAAGCGGGTCGGTGGCCGTGAAGCCGGAGGTGAACGCAGTACGGCACGACGAGTTGGCCTGCGAGAACCAGAGACCTTCGGCCGCGCACAGACAGATCTGCTGGAGGGCGGTCGCCTTGGCTTGTCTCACACGCAGTGGCGTTCTCGCGGATTCGACATCTGAAATTTGGAAATGAGCATTTTTATGTCAAGTGAGCTCTTACCAGCCAGGACACTAGTTTCGGCAGTGTTCCAGTCCTCTTTGCGCGCGATGGTTTCTCCGAGAAGAGCTCCAGAGCAGGCGGTCAACGAGCCGTCCAACTCGGTCGGATTCTCGAGTGCCGGCGAATAAATGATCTCGGTGACACGGTAGATTTCATCGACAGTCGGCTGCGACATCTTCTCGGCACACGTCTGAACGACAGCACGCGCGGTGGCCAGCGACGATTCGATGAGCTGTTCGTCCGAAGAAGTGGCGAGCAGCTTCAGCAGTTCGGTCATCGTCGCCTCGGGTTTCGGATGGAGTCGGAGAAGACGGGCGAGAGCACCTCCGGCGGCCAGACGGACCGGACGGGACGACGGCTCTTGAAGGGCTTTGATGAATGTGGTCTGAAGCTGTGGGAGGAACGGACGGAGCATCACGTCGACCTTATCGAGCAGTTTGCTGAGCGTTTCGATGATCGGCAGCTTGACGTTCGGCGGGAAACGGTCTCCGAGCACACGAATCAGCGGTCCGGTGATATTGACGACGTGCGGCTTGAGCGCCGTCACTTCGGACACCTTCACGACCATTCCGAGAGCCTCGGCGGCCAATGCCTTCATCTCGACTTGTCCCTGAAGAATGCTCTCGCGGAGCATGACGATGAGCGGCTGAAGAGATTTAACGTGTGCGAATCCCGGAATCGGCTGTCCTTTCGCTCCGGCCACCACAATATTGATGGCTTTTTTGACGGTCGGCAGCACGCTCATCAGATCCTTCTGGTCCATAGACTGCGTGAGCGCCACCGCCGCTCCGATGATGTGATCGACGATTTGCGGATTCTCCGAGGCATACAGGTTGATGAGGCCCGGCAGAACACTCTCGGCAATTTCGGCCAACGACACTCCGCTCTTTGCGATGAAGGTGTTGAGGAGCACTGCGGCAGGCACGTTTCCGTCGGAAGCCGCCCTCTTGATGAGATAATCCACGAGAACCGGGACTCCGTCTTCGTCGGTGACAGCGATCACCACCTTCTCGCACGAGTCGATCATCGGATCCGCCTCGTCGTTCGTCTCACAGGAGGCGAGAAGCGCGTCGAGCACCTTCGGAAGTTGCCGGGACAACGAGTCTCCGGAGACAGAGGCCAGCGAGCAAAGGGCGTGCACGTTGACCGGCGGCTTCGTGAGTTTCGGCAGCAAATAGGGCAGCATCGCCTTGGCGTTCTGTCGCATGACGTCACAGAGTCCGGCGAGAATGTGGTCTTGTTCGGGCGTGAGCTCCTCCAGAAGCGGACAGATGATCTCGTCGAGGGCCTCGTTTCCGACGACGTGGAAGAGCACTGTGAATGTCTCGGCAGCCGCCTCGCGCACCAGCTCCGACTCGTCGCAGATCGCGTGACGCACGGGCTCGACTATGGCTGTCAGGTAGTGATTGGTGACCTCCTTGCTCATATTTCCGATGATTTCGTGGAGCGCAATCGCCACTCCGACTCGCTTCGCAATATCCTCCGACTTCTGATTGAGGTCGAGCACCGGCAGAATCTCGTTGATCACCTTGTCGCCCATCTTGCGCACCAGTTCTCCGAGACACCTCGCGCCCATCTGCTGCCGCTCCTCGCAACTCGAGGCCAGCGAATCGACGACCATCTCGAACAGCACCTTCGTCACCTCCTTGAGCGTTCGCGGTGTGTTCGACACGACCATCTTCCAGACGTGTCCGGCCGCCTGACGAACGACCAACGCGACGTCCGATCGAGTGAGGTAGAGCCCAGCGAGCACGCGGTCGCGGTCCTTCTGGCCGAGCGCGCGCACGATCACCTTTCCGGCCTGCTCCATTCCCATCGTATCGTCCTCGTCGGCAGTGGAGGACGTCGATTTTCCGGAGATTCCGGAGATGTTGAACAGGAAGTCGCCGATGAGTTGGACCGACGCATAGCGGATTCTCCAGTTCTCGTCCATGAGCGCCAGTTGGAGTTGCGGCAGGAGCAATTTACGAGCGTGTGAGCAGTATTGCGAGATGAGACGTTGACCCGCTTTCAGCGCCGACGCGCGGACGTATCTGGAAAAAGAGAGGTGTTTTAGAAGGTTCTAGATAGGAAATTTCAAAGTTTCGCGCTGAAACGGGCGATTTTCAGTCTTATTTTATATTTTAGGTAGTTAGAATGCAAACATTTTTGTTCAAAAACGTTAAAACTTACTCATTCTCATCGGCGAGCGCCTTGAGGATCGGCGGAACGACTTGCGGCAGATACGGGACGAATCGATCGCCGAACACCATCGGCAAGTAGATGTACATGAGGATGTAACCGTCTCGTGTCTCCGCGGACACTTCGGTGCTCTCCGTCGCGTGGATAATTTCGGGCATGACGTAATCGAGCTGCTCAGTGCCGACTCCGGCGAGCACCTCGCACAATCCCTGCGCGGCACCACTTCGGTCGACGGTGGATTGTGGCGAGACGAGTTTCTCTTTGAGCCACGGAATGACCTGGTTGCGCAGATTCTCGCTCGTCGTGCCGCCCGATTTCGAGACGACGGCGCCGAGAGCACGCGCAGAAACCGCACGAATCTCAGGCACTGGGTCGAGAAGAGAACGCTGAAGACCGGGCACCATGTGCGCCAGGTAGGGCTCCATATCCTTGTTCTCGGTCAGCGAGTAGATGTTGGAGATGATCTGTGCGGCGACGCGACGCGTCTCACTGTTGCGGTCTTCGAACGCGCGACGCACGATCGGCATCATGAGCGCGAGCGACGGCGCGTCGATGTAGTGGATGAACTTGGTGTTGAGCACCGCCTGCAGGGCACTGCTCGTCTTGTTGGCCGGATCCAGAAGCCCGCTCATCAGCTGGTTGGAGACTCCGATGATTTCGGGGTTTCGGACGACACTGGCAATTGAGGACAGCGCCTTCTCGCCCGACTTTTGCACCTTTGTCGACGAGTCGGCGAGGATTTCGATGAGTTTCGGCACTATGTTCGGCAGGCACGAGGAGAGCTGGCGTGGAGCACAGTAGGCCATCGAACCGAGAAGTTCGGTCTGAAAATGGGAAGCTGAGATTTTTGATTTACTTAATCAGATCAATCAGATCAGATATCATAAGACTTAATCAGATCTGATCAGATATCATAAGACTTATTCAGATCTATCATCAGATTGTCCAGCAAAATTAGGGCCCGATTAGATTATGAATAATATCAAACGCGTCAAAAGTCGAAAAGCTCACCGCGGCACACTTAGTCCTCCATGAATCGTTGTCGATTCCGTTGAGAATGAGCGGAAGGATCAGTTTCGTTCCGTACACAGTCATCGAGCCCATCATCGCCTTCGCCGTGTCCTCGGTGGCCGCGCGCACGTTCGCATCTCCGTCTCCGAATGTTTCGAGCAGTTTTGGGAAGGCTTTGATGCTGTACGGCTCGAAAAGTTTTCCGATTGTGCTCGATAGAATCTCGAGCGCTTGAAGGCCTCCTTCGCGATGCTTTGCATTCTTTTTATCGCCCAAATTCTTGTGGATCGACGGGAGAAGGTCGATGTCTCGCAGAGCGATAATACCCATTCCCTTGACGAGTCCGGCGATTCCGTACGCGGCTCCACGACGTTCTCCGTAGGATTCTCCCTCGAAAAGCGTAAATTGGAGCTTGCTGACGAGATCCTTCGCGTCTTGTCTGATCTTCGGCACCAACGGCGACAGACAACGGGCCGCCGAGGCCTGGACAGTCTGACTGGGGGTCGAGAGGGCTTCCACGAGACGAGCCACGATAGATTTCACCTTATCCGTCGACTGAATGTACTGGGCGAGTGTTCCAAGCAGAACGACGAGTCCCTGCCGCCGATTGTCGTGATCCTCCGTGGAGGGCGTCGAGTCGGAGAGCTGCTCGAGGAACGGAAGAAGCTGCGCCATTCGGTCGGCTCCGTGCCTTCTGATCGTCTCCACGGCTGCGTTCCGCAACTCGTTCCGGCACTCGACCGATCGATCCGCCAATCCGTCGGGAGCAACGAGTCGGATGAGCTGCTCGGCGTCCTGCTCGCGAATAAGAGAAGAGAGGGGCACGAGCGCTTCGCCGACGCCCCGTCTACGGTCCCACTCGTCGACGGCCTCGCGTTGAAGACGTCCGACACTGTCGTAGATGGGCTCGCGAATGAGTACGAGGTCCTTGTATGTCTCGTCGAACTTTGTGAGAATTGTGCTCATCTCTTTCGGATGCTCTTCGATGTAGGTCGACATTGCCTGGGCGGAGGAGTTGCGGACCAGTTGCGACGGCGAAACACATTCATCTGGAATTTAATTAAGGATTGGAAGGTGTGGAGCCAAAAAACATTCTTTTTGGCACTAGCCTTTCACAGTGATAAGTGAAACTTTCACTATGATCAATTTTAAATTAACGAAAAAAATAGATAAGAATACCTGCGAGAGTAACTGCCTCTCGAGCTTCACTCAAACATACTCAATGCAAGCCTTTCTAACTCTAGGAACTAGAAATGATGACAAATACATAGGAAGCTTGTCGCCATGTAGTTCAAATACCACTGTAGGTCAAAATTATGCTAAACAATATCCATGTTGTTGTCTAGGATTATACCACACAACAACATGTGATTATTGCGCAAACAGAATTCAAATTTCCAAGTAGAGTTCGTCAAAAACATCAAGTATTTGGTCAAGCTACAATAGTGAAAAGTCAGATAATCTTTGAAAATCGCATACCAACAAGCGGCAATCCAATGATGGTCTTGATCTGCATATGATTGTCGGTCCACACTTTTTTGGCGACCGTCGCCACTTGCTCCGTGGGATCGTGACGCGCGACGAAGATTCGGACGAGGATCTCTCTGGCGATGGGCGTCTCACTTCCACACTCCACAATTATTCGCATCAGAAGCTGCGGAGCCGACAACACCTCGAGACTGGCCTTGCGCACCGACGGATTCTCATGGGTCACATAGTTGAGCACCTCCCTCACCATTCCCAGCACTCTTTCCCCGATATCATTGGTATCGTTGACGAGACGGAACAGTTGCTGAACAGCTTTGAAGGCGGCAACCGCGGAAGTGTGCTCGGAGAAGTATTCGAAGAGCATCGAGGCGTAGTGCTCCATGGGAAGGTTCAGAACGTCTCGATCCCGCAGGAACTTTTTATGAATCGCCGATTGAAGGAGTTGGAGGGCGTCCGCACGCGCGTTCTCTCCGAACCGCGCGTTCTTGAGAATGATGCGGATCATCGGGAAGAGAAGCGTGAGATGAGTGGCTCCGACGGTTTCGTCGTCGAAAACGATGCCGTCGTCAGCGTCATCGTCGCCGGTGTCGACCACGAACGCTCTTTCGTTGAGCAACGAGAACATTCTTTTGAGCGCCACGTCCAGCGCCTCGTCGCTCCATCCGGCGATTTTGTGCTGCGCTCCGATCACTCGAAGCCAATTGCTGCCCACAAGTTCTTCTGAAAAAAAAATTGGCATTTTTTCTATCAGTTCCTATTTTCTATTTCTTAGTTCAAATTCCATTCCCTTTTACTGTATGTCCATAATGAGTCACAAGACCTTTACAGTCCTCCCTTTACAATCGTCATTAGTCACTTTTTGTTTACAGACCCTGAGTGTAAAGAGAATACCAATTTTTTTTCAAACGATATTTGTTTTGTGTTGTACAGCACTATTGTTTTTGGTGTTCAGCACGCAGACGACGCAATATCAACAGTTCAACTATGTTCAACCTGGTCGGCAAAAACAAGTGAAGAAGCTGACAGACAAATCGAAAAACTTCAGAGTCCAGACCATTCGGATTATCAATACAAAGCCTAATGAACAGTTCTGGAAGGTTCCAGCAAACTCTGGCCTCACATGCAAATGGAGTTTATTTATCAGGTTTTAAAATGATCAGCGGGGAGTCTTGATATGCATTCAGTGGACATATTTTTATTTTACAAAGTAGGCCTTTAGAGGATGGCCGAATAGACTATCGTAAAATGTTTGACGTCGTCGGAATACGCTGAATAGTTCTATCTGATTTTATGTGTTATTTCAACGTCAAATACTGTAGTACAAGAGTGAACTGGCTAGAATAACAGACGCATTGTTGTACAACAGGAATTGACTTTTAAAATTAATACATAATTAGGTATATTTAGTAGATTCTGATAACGCCAATAACTTTATCACAGTCTATGGGTAGTGGCAATGTCCTCTTCACAATAAATAAAGAAAGAAATCAATTTTTAAAAAGGACTACTTTTGCATGATGTTCTAGAAAACACACTCCGCTCTGTTGGCAACAGTCCTGTATTTCTGGTCGATATTGTAAGCCGGCTTTGAGATACTATGATCTCAAAGTATGTGATCACAGACAGAAGTCACTTCCACAATGGGCCAACTAATCAATGAAATCTAAAAGAAAACAAATGCAGGGGAAACGCCAACTATGCCACAGAAGTATATGGGAGCTATTGTCTGGCCGCAAGTCCCATACGCTTTTGTGTCATAACCGGCGAGCCCACCTCTCTTTCTCTCACGCTCGCACTGGCGAGGACTCGGCAAGCCATTCTTGACACCGTTGCATGTCTGTATGAAAACGCGTGTTCGGTCCAACAGAGCCATGCATACAGTGTCATGAACGGCGCATTCGCCTCGTCACTTTTTCAACAATGTCCGGGGGCGCACGCCGACTATGCCACGGGATCAGGCTGAATCCACAACAGGTTCAGCCGGCTCCTGTGTCATAGCCGGCGAGGTCCCCGGTAGATGGAATAGGAATATTAGAGTATCATAGGACTAGCAGAATAGTGGGGACACTGCTCGGCGCTCGGATCTTGACTTGTTAAAAACGACGAGAAGCGAGCCGGGCGATGACACTGAGTCCCTGTCGTCTTTGGCGATGGTCCGACGAAATAGAAAACAGTGTCATGCCTGGCAGGCTCTCTGGATCCGAGCTGACTGCAACGCGCCAGCTATGCCACCGAAGAAACATCGATCTCTTTGCGAATCAGATCGGTGGCTCGCTAGGGTGTCATAGCTGGCGGTGCGAGTACAACGTGCCTAGCAGGAATTGGGGGAGAATAAGGAGAATAGTCGACGACTGGGTTGCGTGCTGCCACCACGAATGAATGAATGGTTTGTCTGATGGCGGAGACGTCTCATGGCGAGCCAACGGGGAGGAGTCTTCCCCCGCGGGCGTTTCCCGCGCACACCTGGCAGAATGTGGGCGGCGCTTCGGTGGGTCAACCCGCCCGTCTCCGGCGAGAGTGCCGCACTGCCACACGGCAACGTGAGGAGGATGCAGAGACGAATGAGAAGAAGAGGAAGAGACACACTCGTTGCGGAGTACAGTAGAGGCCTTTGCGTAACCGCTCACCAGACACTCACACAACGCTCACACTCACAACGTGAAGGAATGCAACACACAACCTTTGGGTCGTGTGTTTGTGTGAGCGGTCGCCTGCTGCTGCTGCCCTGTCTCTGATGAATGTGTTGGAGCCGAGGCCGCAACAAGAGGACGAGCAAAATGTAATAGATAGAAAGAGCAGTTTGGAGGCGACGCCCTGTGCTCCGAGCGGAGCAGTTGGCTGATAGATGGCGATGATCGGAGCCCCGACGGCGGAGCCGCCGCAATTGATAGCGACGAAGAGTGAGTGAGAAAGAGCGAGAGCGACGAGGCGGATGGAAATAGGCGGCGAATCACGGGAGGAGCAGATCGGGCGCGGCGCATCGAAAATATTTGTGCGTCGTTTTTCGGTTTCGTCGCCGTCGTTAAATGATTATCAGGCGCAAAAACGAGGAGGAGAGGGGCGAAGAAAGAAGCGTTGGGAAGAATTGGATTCTTCGAGGATTCGTCACTTTTTCAGGAAGTATCAAATTACACGTTGCTACTTGCATTGGTAACTAAAGCCTGGGCGGTTTGGTATATAACTATGTCTTCTAGAGTTCCGCATCTTTCAGGAAATTGAATCAGCGGTATCCGGAGGCGCTCCAACTAAAAACTGCTCATAAAATATCTGTTTTTATGAAATCAGTGTGGTAACCCCTAAGATCTCGCCTCGAACACTTCTTTACACTCCTTGTTGCCACTGCTGCCACTGCCATCTTATGCTGTATTGCCATCAATTTTACTATACAATACTGTGTCCGGTTTCTCTCCACATTTTTTGTCTGCAAGCGAACACACCAACTATACGTTTTGCCTTCTATCTCTCAATTCGTCTCAAAAATGAAAAGAGAGAGAGGCAGGAAGCAAAACATTAAACAAAAATTCGCTTTTCTTCATCATCATCATCATCATGTGTTGAGTAGTCCCCCACTCCTAAACAATCAATTTCTTCACATCGTCGTCGTCGTCCCCGCCGGCGCCATTGTTTTAATCTCAAATTTTTTGAAGACGGGGGAACAACGGAGGTTGTTGTAACAGAGGAGAGAAAGAGAATTTCACATGTTGGAACCGAGACGTCCTTCAGGCGGCAACCAATATGTCCGACACCGACTGAGAACCAGAGAAAGATAGAGCGATTGGCCTTGGGGGCAAAAACGATTTTCGGTCGAATTTTTCAACAAATTGCATGGTTCGAAAGATTTTGCCAAAAGATCCCAAGATTTCCCAAGATCTTTCAAACTAGCCCTAGAGTATGCTGTAAAAGTAATCTTTGAGAGGCCAATAAAGTTACACACCCAATTCCACTCTTTTCGCGATGAAACAATAGCGCAAATGTACAAACACCACATTGAACCTAATTATTGTCCCATTCAAATGTATACACTTACCCAGATAGTCGTCGGAATGCTCAAAGCAGGCGTCTCTGTAGGCGAGGAACAGACGCGCGGATTGTTCGCCGACGAGCAGAGAACGGGTGAGGGGCATCGCGTAGTCGAACAGGATGTGCGGTCTGGAACGTTAGACGTTTTGGAAAGAACATGTACGTTGAATTTTGGTCAAGTTTCTGTTTTAAATTATCAACTCCGCGGTCTCCATAGTTTGCGTCTCGCCACGAAAGGTCAGCATTCCTGGCTAACTTTCGTTTCAAGACACCTTTTATTTATACTGGATGCAGGTATCTTTTCCAAATAACTTTCAGAATGATCCAGAACACGGGAAGAACATTGAAATTAATGAGAAGCCAGCGGATCTACCGACTAGACCGTACTTCTTACCTGGCAAAGGCTCCTGCCGGATCGGCGACAACCATAGCCCTGGCCTCGTCCAACTTGGCTTCTGCCGATTGGAACAGCTCCGCGAGCGCATTCCTCGTCTCCTTCTCGCTCGCCAACTCCTTGTCCATCACCTGCTTCTGCTTCGCCGACAGTTTTCCCTCTTTTCTCCGCTTCTCGGCGAGCTCGCGACTGGAAATTAAGACAATTTCAAAAATGCTCCCCAAACTGTCGTTTACATGAGCTGAATCTCGGCGAGCTGATCCTGAATACTCGCGCCCTTTTGACCTTTGATTCCGGCGGCTTCGTCGCTAAAAGAAAATGATGAGAATTAAGTGGATGTTAATCAAATGCGGAAGACGCACAAATCGAGCACGGCCGTGTTGTAGAGCTGTCCGTCGGCGCACTTGTACACGGCTATTTCCTTGTCGGTGACGCGCGTGTATTCGGCGACGGAGAGCTCGTGAATGTTCGATTCCACGTGTTTCCAGAGATCCGCGCGGAGACGCTCGTCGTGCAAAGCGATCAGAGTGATGAGGGCCGTGTTTCTGAAGAGCAACCGGCTTCGAATTGCCAATTATACTATCTCTAACTTTCAACTTCTCGAAAGTTCCGGCTCAATTCGAGCAGATCAGATTGTCTGCTAATGCCGAATACCCCAATTTTCAGTTTTTGGCCTAATATTCTCAGATTTGAGTTGAGCGGAACAACACGGAACAACACGGAATGCATTCCTGTCAATAGAATGTGATTAACTGACAAAATATACAACAGAGTGAGCTCTTTTCATTGAAATAAGAATAGTGAAAAAAAAAATTGTATCGCCCATTACTTGATTACATTTTTATGAAAGAATGCATCCCACAATTCAGATCTGGAGATATTAGGCCAAAAAGTTGAGGAATTTCGGCCTTTTCAGATGAATCTTCGTCAATCCCTCAATTCAAAGTCCGTTCAAAGTTTAGACCCTTTCAAATGTCTCCGCTCTTACCTGATGCCCCTGTGCTCACATCCGAGCACCCTCTGAATGGCAGTCTCTCTGAACTGCTCACTCGCCTGCCATGTCTTCGATTCGCGATGTTCGTGGACCCATCTCAGCCACACCGACCCGTCCACCTCGACCAATCGTTGCACAGAAGCGAGCAGGAGGGTATGAATCGCCAGCTTGTCGAGTTCCGGTCCCTTCGGCGTCAACAACAATTTCAGCGTCTGCACGTACCACTCGCCGGGCGCTTGCCATTCCGAAGGCGTCGGACAACAGGGGACGCGTCTCAAAAGTCCGTCAATCGTTCCGTTCGCCGTGTCGGAGTAGATGAGATCAGCGAGCGCCTCGGCGAACAGCGCCTTTTCGACCGAGAGAATGTTGAGGAGACTTTTCGACGCCTGCTGTCGAACTTTCCAGTGTGGCCAGAAGAGGAGTAGGGAGAGCGACTTGAGCGCCGAGGAAGAGTACGACGGAGCCGCCGATTTGTTCACGACTGGACGTTGGAGCACGACGAGCTCGGCGAGTTTCGCCCACGCAACCGCTTCTTGCCATTTCGTCGTCGCCAGCGATTTCTCCTGAACAACACTCAATTTTCTACTTGTCAATTATAATTCCCGGATAATCCCTTTTTAATCACTCACCGCTCTTATAATTCTAATTAGAATGCTCAAAATTTCCGAAAAGCATTTCCACCTGTCGGACCATATGTTATTTCTTCAAATGATCCGCGTATGTATAATCCGATCAGTGGATTTCAGTACGGTTCGCGGAAGCATAATTGCGAGGACGGCACCTATTTGTTCTTTTGTCGTTATATGACAGATGGGTTTTTTGAACAATTCGTTTGATCTCTTTGCTATTAATAACATAGGTATCCGAAAAAGGCAGGGCTGGGCAACTGGCCGGCACGGGCTTTTCGTTAGCCGGCCCTTGACCTGGACTTTTGAACCACTTGCAGCATTCCGATCGGACCCAAACTTTGCAGGATTGTTGGACTTGGATTGAGGGCCATTGGGTCCAAGTTTCAGCCCGATTGGATCGTCGGGTCCCGAGATATGTGGATCATTGGCCGTTTTTTTCCAAAAAGCCCGGGCTTCCGGCCAATTTCGACCAATGATCCACATTTCTCGGGACCAAATAATCCGATCGGGCTGAAACTTGGTCCCAATATGCTTCAACCCATGTCCAAGAAGCCTGCAAAGTTTGGGTCCGATCGGAATATTGCATGTGGTTCAAAAGTCCAGGTCAAGGGCCGGCCAACGAAAAGCCCGTGCCGGCTAATTGCCTAGCCCTGGAAAAAGGGGCGGGAGAAAAGGATCCTGAAGATTCTCTAGTTCTAGATTTCGACAAGCTTCCGTCTAAAATCAAATATTATCTTTTCGCGTCCATTCCATCGTTTCTCACATCTGTACGCCGGTCCGTCCTCAGCCGGCCCCAGATGACCTCCTAAACGGGACCCTGACCGACTACGTGCGTCTGTTGGGCACGCAGTAAACCCGTCTGCTGTGCTGTGTTCATCGTCGGTTCTCCGCCACCATCACACCACGGAGGACATGACGTCATTGGGTGGTCAGCGCGCGGGGCAGCTGGCGAAGTGCATGCACCGAACATGTGTGTGTGTGTGTGTAGATACCCATCTAGTACTGAGCAATTTCTAGAATAATGATGACGGACAGAGTGGGGGAGAGCACTGGAATCTGGGCGGCGGTTAATTGCTCTTAGAACAGTGTGAGATTGGGTGACGAGCACAAGGGCAGGAATGGATGGGGGCATGGGATTCTTGTGGTGGTCATCTGTATGCAGTCTACAAAGTCGAAAGACACTAAGGGACTTGGAAAAGGGGTAAATTGAAAAATTGTGGCAGAATCTTTAAATGTGTTTACGAAAAGAAGACCCCATGGACACTGCCAAAATTTTTTTCCGAACCAGGAGTCTCCCAATCGCCTGTCGCGAATTGCCGGCTCTCAACTCAAGACACCTATGCAGATGACAGATTCGTATTTTTTCAGAATGATTGCCCATTTTGCTGATCTTGTCGTCTGTCTAACCTTGAAAAGCGACTCGGCATGCGCCGCCCGACTCCACGCCTTCGTGTGCTCAATTGAGCCCTTCTTACTGCTGCCCAGCACGAGAATAGCCAGTCCGATGGAGCTGAGCTCCCCTTTCGGGCTTGTTTCGAGCTCCGCGAGCAGCGGTTTCACGTCCACACCGTCCGGAAGATCTGCCATCGATCCTTAAATGTTCAATTTACCCTATTTTCCGACTAAAAAGGCGATACTTTTCTGTTGAATGTCTGAAAGTGCTCTGAAGGCAATGTATCGGACGGCCGGCTGAAGTTTGGCCGCTTCTTTGAACGCGGTGGTGAGAGCCGGTGAAGGTTTGCTCAGACGGCCGGCCCATTCGACTGCTGCCGACCATTGGGCTTCCACTGTTCCGTCGTGCGCTGAAATGGTAGAATATTAGAAGTCTTGTGGCTTTTGTGGGCCTATTTTCGCAAATTTATCAGACTAGGATTGGTCAATATTTAGCGACAGCTGCAGCCTAAATACAAGCCCGGGAAGCCTGGAAAAGTTCAGGATTTCAAGTTTTTTCGAACCGAACTGTAGCTCTCACTGAAAACTTTGCAAAGTCAAGGTCCTTTTCAACGCTTACAATAAATTCCGCTCTACTTACTATCTTTATCGGCCTTGGCAGTCTTTGCAAGCACATCATCGGCAATCTTGTCAATATCCTGATTCTGAGCCACATGAGCAACTCTCGCCACGCCTTGCAGCAGGGCGATCTTATTTTCAGGTACTTTTGCAGCCGAAAATTGATCGAAAAGTGTGTTGACAACACGCGCGATCACCGGAGGAGCCGCCCGTTCCGTGAGCGCGACCGCGATGGAAATTGCCGCGTCGCGAACGGATTCGTCGGCCGACTGCAGCGATCCGGTCGTCGATTTGAGAAGATCGGCCGACGAGGGATCCAAAGAGAACTCGACGTTTTCGACGACGGCCAAAATTCCGTAGATGGCGACTTCCGGAGAGCGCAGCAACGATTTCTTGATGTTCGGCAGGAGATTTTCGTTAAAGTCCTTCTCGCTCAGAAATTTCACAAAAGACGACGTTCGTTCCACCAGAAATTGTGGGGGTCTGAGCTTCGGAAGCAGGATGGATTTAGTCAGGAGATCCATGAAAACGGCGGGCAGAATCGCCGAGTTCTCCGCCTGAGCCATAGCCGACAGCAGAGCGATCGTCTTCTCCGGATGCTCTTTTCCGAGGGCGCCCGCCTGCGCTTCAATCATTTTCCCCAGATTCACACTGGACTTGACAACGTTTTTCAGTTTTCTGCTGAAAATTCTCCACGCCTTCGCACTTCCCGCCATCCAATACGAGATTGTGGCCAGGGCGGCGACGATTTCGGCGGCGTCCTCGTGTGCTCCGTGCGCCAAAAGTGTCAGAAGCCATTTGGCGGTGGGCAACTGGGAGAGTGCCTGCGATTCGCTGAGATTCGGAGCGATCGGAAGCGCGGCAACGATGGTTTGGAGCAGAGACTTGAGAGTTGTCAGGGGGTCTCGTTTGGCGAGCGCGTGAAGCAGACGGGCCACATACTGAAAAAAAAACGATTTTTACAGTTTTTAGGTTAAAATACAAGAAAAAGCCAACTTCCGGCTAGAAAACGAACCTGGAACGATTTGGGCTGTCCGTAGATGCGAATCGAGCTGCTCACACTCAATTTCACGAGTCCCTTTACAAATTGCGGCGGAATCGCCTCGGAACGCTCCACGAGCTTCGTCACCGAAGTGTACGACATTCCGTGAACTCGGACACTCGGATCCGACACGGCGCCGGTGAAACGGCGGATCTCCTCCTTCAGCGCATCTTCCTAAAGCACAGCATGTTGCAAAACTAGAAATTTTCCCACTGAACCTCGCTCAAATTCTCGGTTGTGTTGACCTCAACATCGTTTTCGGTAGCATTAATATCTTCATCTGACATTTTTTTATATCAGCGTAGTGTAACCCGTCGTATGATAGTCTGAAATTTGAGAAATGTTGCGCAACTCCTAAAAACAACGGAAAAACGATAGGGCGGCGGTGAGAACGTGTGCATGTATACTAAAATAGTTAAAACCTGTCTGGAAAAAATTATGAACAGCGAAAATATATGGTGAAAATTGCGAGGAAATGAAGAAACTTCAAGTTTTCTGATTTTTTGCAGAATAAATAATCAACATGTCGTCGGTTAAAATGCCGAGTATGCCAACACCGCGGCGCCGATTTACGCGGAACTTCGAACGGAAATTGCTGTTGTCGAGTACTTTTAAGCTCAAAAACCGTTTTGGCACGGCCGGCATTTGAAAAAAGTAATGAAGTTTGGAAGTTCTGAAAAAATATTGGAAATGAGAGTTCAATTTAAAATTATTTTGACAGATATCATCAGCATCTTTCTATTGTCTGCAATTCCACGGCGAATGTGTGGTCCTGAATAGGAAAAGTGGTCCTGAATAGTGGTGCCTGCCAGAGTTGAGCGGAATTCCGTCTGCCGTCTTCCGGCTTCCGTCTTTCGTGGATTTCTTGTTCCGTCTTTCGTGCATATTTTGTTCCGTCTTCCGCGGATTTTTTGTTCCGTCTTCCGCGGATTTTTTGTTCCGTCTTTCGTGGATTTTTTGTTCCGTCTTCCGTGGATTTTTTGTTCCGTCTTTCGTGGATTTTTTGTTCCGTCTTCCGTGGATTTTTTGTTCCGTCTTCCGTGAATTTTTTGTTCCGTCTTCCGTGGATTTTTTGTTCCGTCTTCCGTGGATTTTTTGTTCCGTCTTCCGTGGATTTTTTGTTCCGTCTTCCGTGTATTTTTTGTTCCGTCTTCCGTGGATTTTTTTGCTCCGTCTTCCGTGGATTTTTTTGCTCCGTCTTCCGTGGATTTTTTTGTTCCGTCTTCCGTGGATTTTTTTGTTCCGTCTTCCGTGGATTTTTTTGTTCCGTCTTCCGTGTATTTTTTTGCTCCGTCTTCCGTGGATTTTTTTGCTCCGTCTTCCGTGGATTTTTTTGCTCCGTCTTCCGTGGATTTTTTTGCTCCGTCTTCCGTGGATTTTTTTTGTTCCGTCTTCCGTGGATTTTTTTGTTCCGTCTTCCGTGGATTTTTTTGTTCCGTCTTCCGTGGATTTTTTTGTTCCGTCTTCCGTGGATTTTTTTGTTCCGTCTTCCGTGGAATTTTGTTCCGTCTTCCGTGGAATTTTTGTTCCGTCTTCCGTGGATTTTTTTGTTCCGTCTTCCGTGGATTTTTTTGTTCCGTCTTCCGTGGATTTTTTGTTCCGTCTTCCGTGGATTTTTTGTTCCGTCTTCCGTGTATTTTTTGTTCCGTCTTCCGTGGATTTTTGCTCCGTCTTCCGTGGATTTTTGCTCCGTCTTCCGTGGATTTTTGCTCCGTCTTCCGTGGATTTTTTGTTCCGTCTTCCGTGGATTTTTTGTTCCGTCTTCCGTGGATTTTTGTTCCGTCTTCCGTGGAATTTTGTTCCGTCTTCCGTGGAATTTTGTTCCGTCTTCCGTGGATTTTTGTTCCGTCTTCCGTGGATTTTTTTGTTCCGTCTTCCGTGGACTTTTTTTGTTCCGTCTTCCGTGGACTTTTTTTGTTCCGTCTTCCGTGGACTTTTTTTGTTCCGTCTTCCGTGGACTTTTTTTGTTCCGTCTTCCGTGGACTTTTTGTTCCGTCTTCCGTGGATTTTTTTGTTCCGTCTTCCGTGGACTTTTTTTGTTCCGTCTTCCGTGGAATTTTTGTTCCGTCTTCCGTGGATTTTTTTGTTCCGTCTTCCGTGGATTTTTTTGTTCCGTCTTCCGTGGATTTTTTTGTTCCGTCTTCCGTGGACTTTTTTTGTTCCGTCTTCCGTGGACTTTTTTTGTTCCGTCTTCCGTGGACTTTTTGTTCCGTCTTCCGTGGACTTTTTTTGTTCCGTCTTCCGTGGACTTTTTGTTCCGTCTTCCGTGGACTTTTTGTTCCGTCTTCCGTGGATTTTTTGTTCCGTCTTCCGTGGATTTTTTGTTCCGTCTTCCGTGGATTTTTTGTTCCGTCTTCCGTGGATTTTTTGTTCCGTCTTCCGTGGATTTTTTGTTCCGTCTTCCGTCTGCCGTCTTCCGGGAAAAAAGTTGTCTTCCGTCTTCCGTCTGCCGTCTTCCGGATTTCAAAATTCCGTTTCCGCTCAACTCTGGTGCCTGCCGGGTTTTCACATTTAGTTTTGGATTTGGAGAGAGCCCGACTTCTTGCATAGCAATAACGTCGGTGATAATGAGTGTTCTACTCGGTTTATATAGCTACAGTCAATTCACGCCCACTGTGCTTCACCATCATGCTCCACCCCCCACCACGCCCCTTTAATTAACGGTGACAATGGTGGAGGAGGCGGGATCTCAAAAATTTCATACATCTCTGGGTAATCTCTGGGAAAATCAGTTTGATTGATATCTTCTTTTTATCTCAAGTCTCCCACGGTGATATGTTGGAGCAGGTGGGCGGAAGGCCTTTGAAGATTAATTTTTCTCCAGAAAAGTGTCAGATGGATGGGTCCTGAGAGTTCAGCGTGAAAAAACAAAGGGAAAAGGAGATGAGAATGCGGCTAATGGGCGGAACAGAGAAAAGAGCGACAAATAAACTTCCAAATGTACCAGTAAAAAGATGTTGATGCTCATAAAAATTTATTAAAATAACATAAATATATTAAACTTCGTATTTATCGTGTTTTTTTTTTGTAAAAAGATGATTAAATTGGGCAGTGTGGTGGTTGCACGCGAGAGGGATCTTTTGAATCACATAGTATCAACAGAAAAATCATTATTAGTATTTAGAAACGAAATTATCACATTTTCTGATGCTAAACTTAAATAATTCAACTTATTATGTGGGGGGGAACGAAAGACTTTAAAGCGAGGGGGAGTAGACAGAGAGAAAAAGTTGAACACTAATATTGAATGGGATTTGTACGGAAAACTGGGATATGGGAAAGTTAGCAAAAACGTTATTATATCATTATTATTATTATTATATGTACAAAATTCAAGCTTCGTCGCTTTCGAGTTTCGGCGAAATGGGACTGATTTTCGGCGAGTCGCTGTGACACGATTCTGCGCTTTCGCACGAGTCGCATTCCTGCAAAATATGCACAGTTTTAGGATTATTATCGTTTTAGAGGCTCTGAAATGCTTCTATAACAGTACTATAGACCGCGATTGAAGGTGAAACGTACACTGGCGACGTCATTGGGCAAATGCACGAAACGATAGACCAATCGCTGTCCGTCAACCTTCTGCAGAATGCCTCTCTGATAGTAATATCTGAGCGCGCGGCCCATCGTCTCGTAGTTCATTCCCGGCTTGTTCTTGTGCATTCCCCACAGCCGCGACACGGCCTTCGAGTCGACCAACTTGAAGACGCCCTTCGTCTGATCGATCCATTTGATGAACTTTGGCGAGTACTGCTCGTCCTGCAGCAGTCTGAGCAGAAACTCCCACAAATACGTGACCTGCCCTTCCTTGTTCTTCTTTCGTTGCGCGAGTTGTGTCGGCGCCGCGGGCTCCGAGAGCCGACGAGTTTCGAGAAGGTACGGATGAAGGAGGGCCGTCTTCGATGGAGCGCAAGTGGTCAGCAGGTCACCGCAAGTCGGCGTGAATACTGTGTTGCTCAGGAACGGCGCTGAAAGCACTCTATGAAACGAGAACAAGACTAGAAGCTACGCTTACCAGCTGTCAGAAGGTTCTGCTGGCCGTGTGGTCCTGTTGGTTGAGGTGTCTGAAGTTGTGGAATGGTGAGGAGATTCGGATGCGAGGCGGAAGTGGTCGGGCAGAGCAGAGCCGATTGCAACCATCGGTTTGTGGCTTCTGCAAAAAACTGGATCTCTCGCTGATCTCGATCATCCGGATCCCTAATAACTTTTTGATGATGTGGATGATGTGGACCCCCCCCCCTCTCTTCTGGAAGCGTCATCCTGTTCCGTACACGGAACATAACACCAATAACAATAAATATAATACGCGCTCGACCATAACTTTCGCTCTTCTGCTTTCGCCTCCGTTCGCGAGAATTCGACGTCGTTGGAGAGGATTCGGCGGGCACGCGGCAAAAAAGTGCGACGGATCCGCGCGGAAAACCACTTTTACTGCTTCCGTTTGACGCCGCCGCCGCCGCCGCCGTCGCCGTCGCGCGGCATACGGATCTCCGTGATTCAAACAGTTTTCACTCATCTCTCTCGCTCGGACTAATGATACGTGGCAATTGGAGTGGGAGAGAACGGGTAACGGTGAATGATGAAATCACGCTCTAACGCTCAGGGTGCCACCACCTAAATAAATCTAATTTTTGCAGAGAACTGACTAAAAACGGAAGAAAATGCCTTTTCCAATTCGCGGGCATCGGCGGCCTAGAATTGCGAATAAATGTGAGAAGGGCTGCAATCGAGACAAAAATCACAGGTTTTGTGAGCAAGACAATCCGAAACTAGCAGTTTCAGAATAGAAATCCCCACACTTTCCCCCCGGCCGGTCATCTCCTTTCGTTCTCATAATCCATCCAATAGTGTCCGGTGTCACCACTTTTCTTGATCTTTACCAGTTTTCGCCGCCCGTCTCCGGAATCCTCGTCTCTCCGCCAACTTTCAACGGTCTCTTCTCCCCCCGTCCGAACAAATCGTTTGCGCGCCTCGTCGCTTTCCCGCGCCGCGACACTTTCTCGCGGATTTTCTACAAAAGTGACCAGAGCTTCTTACACGGGCTAATAAGCACGTCTGCGTCGGCGAGGATTGGACACACACTTTCGGAGAAGAACATGGGGGAGAGTGACATCCGCGTTCGAATAATTGGCACCACTTGAGACGGGGAAAAAGTGGTGGAGAGTAATGGACAACTGGATAATAACTTGTTCAATTTTGAGATTTCCGAGTGTTCGACGTCTCAAATTAACAATTTTTTCGGTTAGAGAAACTGTTTTCTGAAAAAAAGGGGGCTGCTGACGGCAATGAAGAACTTGACAAGATTTTGGAAGCGAATAACTTTTTTTTCTCTTCAATTTTGAGATCTCCGAGTGTTCGACGTCGCAAATCAAAAATCTCCATGAGCTCTATAAACGTATGGAATGGGTGCTTGTAAAAATCGACGATTGGCGGAAGATCCCCTCGATTCCGCGCGCCATTCCGCTTCCCCGCCCGGGGTCCGTCGCGTCTCGTATTCCGTTTATGCGTGACCCCGTGTGTTTGCACATTTTTCCGCGTCCTCTTCCGCACACGCACCGCTCGCGCGCGCCCCGCGCCGCGCAGTCCATCACGTTGTGTTTGCATTTTGAAAACGTTTCAGTCGGCCGGCGTGAACTGTCCATATTGTACCGTACATGGCGTTTGGGCTCTTGGATAGGAATTCGAAAAATATTCTCAAAGTGCGAGGCTAATCCTCAGTCACTCAGAAGGTTCCAAAGACCCAATTCTCTAAATTTTTGCCGGTCTCTGACTCTCGTTATCATTTTCAGTCGTATCAATCTACACACGTGCAATCATACACCACCCCGGGAGAATCATCATACAATATACAAACGAGTTGAACTTTTGTCGCCTCTCTTCCAACACTTTTTCCTGGCGCACAGTTCAAATAGGTTTCAACCCCGTCTCGTCTCGTCCCGTCCGTTCGCCACTCGCACTGGATGGATAGTACACGAACGAACGCGAAAACAAACAAGAGGGAGGGAAAGGGAAGGGAGAAAGAGACTTTGTTGAAAGGGTCAACATTGTTGCGCAATTCCTCCCACAGCAAAATTTAAATTTACCACTGACCGTTTGCAGTGGCCGCCGCTGCCGCAGACGCCTGCGCCTGCTGAATCCACGGCCAGATTGACGTCGGCTGCCACGTGACCGTCGGCATTGTCGACGACGTGGCGGCGAGACGTGGCGGCGGCGGAGCGAACGCGTGACGCGTCGAACTGCTCGATGGAGACGTCTCGGGCGTCGAGTCGGTGCCTGCAAAGGATTTTGTGGTTTTAACAGAAATCGAACAGAGAGAGAGAGAGAGAGAGAGGGGCTCCGCTTTTTTGATAACAATTGTAAGGTTCACAATTTCCAGTCTCCCGTAGACTTTGCCGGCCCGTGGCTTTGTTCGGTTTTGTGTTTCGAGCCCCCAGTGGAGTGCTATCAGTTTGGAGGAGTACTTTTGAAAAAGCGCGGGGAATAAATGCGGAAACGATGATGATAAGCGGCAGGAAGGGGGAGGCGACCTTCGGACTCGAGGATTCGAGCCCTGATTTACGTGCTCCTAAAGCTTCTGTAGTAATTCTTGAAAGTTCTAGGCAAGGAAACGTTCCCAGAAAGCCTACAGAACGTACTGAAGAAGCCTACAATTTCGGTTTGCAAGGGCCTGACTAAAAGGACAAATAAATATGTGAACCAGACTGTCAGAGCAGCTAACATCACAAAAAATATGGAACAGCAAATTTGTCAAAGTTAATTTGGGCTTTCTAGGTTTCACTCACCAACTCCAGAATCCGGGCTGTTCGTGGGCTCCAAACTGAGATTGGTACTCCGATCGAGCAACTGCTGAAGGACGGTGATTTGAACGGAACACGACGTCGGCTGTGGAAGGGGGAAATGAAGAATTGTGGAAATCATAGTTTAAGTGTCTTTCTATCCTTATTACTTCTTCTTCTTCTTCTCCTTCTTCTTCTTCTTCCTCTTCCTGCACGGAAACACGGAAGAGCTCCTCCTCCTGCCCTCTTTCGCCAGAAAGATGATAAGAGGGAGTCCGAAGGTCGTTCTGACGTTTGAGAGAAAAAAGGAAGAAGAAGTAGAAGGCATCAAACTACAGTGTTTCAGAAAACTGCTCACAATTTCGAAGAGACCGTGGGCCAAAACGGCCGGCGCAGAAATGCGCCGTCCGTCCGCGTACTTTGGAGTCGGACGCTCGATTCGCGGCCATTGACCCGCGTCTTCGGGTTCCGTTTTCATGTCGACATCCTAAAAGAAACGTTTTCGGGGGTACGGCAGGTTGGATAGTGTGCGGACACGGTTACGACAAGTCACGAAGTTTTTCTTCAAAGAAAGCCCGACAAAATGTAAAAAATTTCCACAGAACAACGAGTAAACCGGCACGTTTGAATTTTTTTACCTAGAATTGCGACGTTCTCACTGGTTTTTTGAGAAGAATGTGAAAGTTGGTGGACTCGGTGGCCTTTAAATGCTCAAAACTCGGCCAGCGGCTACCATTCGAGCAATAGAGCGTGGTTGCAACAAACCTACCGTAACATTGATTCCATCTTCTTCTTCGTCTTCTTCGTCAACATTGATGTTGCTATTATTATTGTTGTTGCTATTATTATTAACATCCTGATTGCTCACATCTGCGGCAGTGATACTAACTCCGGCGGGAAGCACAATCAGCAGCGGTTCGGCACGCTGTCCTTGTACTTGAAGCATCGGAAGGAGAAGGGCGAAAAATGATGATGCGGGGGATGATGGGCGCGAGAAGGCTATCGGGGCGGACGAGAGGGCGTCCTGCGGAATGTGTTCCGCTCACGGAAGCCGCGCGGAAGCGACGCCCCGCCCCCCGGTCGAACAGAGAGGCGGGGAGCGGCGACCTTTCCGCGCGCGCACTGTGCGCATCCGCGCGGAATACTCGAAAGCCTCCGGAAAGAGGCTTGTTTGCTTAGTACTAGCCGCTTTATCCACACGCGAATTTCGGAAATGGAAAGGGAAAAGGATCAGAGGCGGCGGTGGGGAGTAGCCATTATCGTAATATTGTCTCTTTTTGTGTTTGGGGAGTGTTACGGAGCCACAGTGATGAAAACTGGCATTTCAGGTGTTTGCATAATGAATGCTGACCATCTGTGAATGCCATTCGATCCGTCATAGCAAAAAAGCTGTGGTTGACATCTAGTGATAGCCATGTTAACATTTTTGAACCTATTTGCAACACCAAATTCCGTCTCAGGATCTTAAACTTACGGGTTTTCCATAGGACCTTTATATTAACATGGTCTAAATGTCCAAACAACACATAGAAATGTGGCAACATGTTGCAACCATTCTTCCGAAAACTCAGTTCGATCCAGCCCGTTACAAGGCTGGTTACAACGCCTAATGTTAGCCTGATAGTAAGTTGTCTCAAGGGTTACTTACACAAAAACCAATCCAGTGACTCCAGTGAAATCCAGTCAATCCAGTGACCCTTTTACAAACTTTTACAAATTTGTCGATGAAGGCTTCAGTATAGAGAAATTAGAGTTGTAAATAAACGTTTTGGATAAACAGAATAAAGCCTTAAATGTTACACAAGATTGTAGTAAAGCGGTACGGTTCAGAAAAAGATGCGTAACTCAGGAATGAAGAAGTTCGATGTAAGGTTATCAACTAGAGAATTGTTCAGCACAAAATTTGCAACAACTTTGCCGTTGCCTACTTTTTGAGTAGTTACTGGTTCTCAAGATACTGGTCTTCAGAAATATGAAGGGTAATTTGGTCCTATTGAACTAAAAATAGTGGCCATTCATGAAAAAATCTGTCAGGGTGGCTTGGCTTCTGAAAGATTGGTGACAAAGAGGAAAAGAGGAAAGACGAATCGGTTCGTATTCTGAGGAAAATGGATGAAGTGCTAATTTTTCAAAGTAACCGAGCAACCCAAGACAATGTAAAACCGATTCATATTGTGGACAAGTCCATTTCGCAACCGAACTCTATGGACACTTCCCAACCACTTTTCATGTATAGATCAGAGGTAAAGCAAAGGAAAGAGCAAATCCGACGGAAACGTTTCGATTTTCTTCTTTCGCGAGAAGATTGAACGAAATGGAATGTTGATTGTAACTGTTGTAAATCGGAAAGATTTCACATTTTATCAGCCACCATCAGCACTTGACAAAAACCGAAATGTACAGTTGTTCCGTCACAAATGAGAGGGGAAATGAATGAAGAAAAGAAGAAGTAATCGAATTAAAAGTGTGCGCGGAGAAAAAGAAGAAGAAGATTTTGGAAGAAAAGTTAGAATGAGATGACGTCGAAAATCAGTAGGGTAGGTAAACACTTTCGAAGATCTCGAACCGTTTTATTCTTTGCAACAATTGGCTTCATTTCACATCAACAATATAAAATTTTTTGTCGCCTTTCTTGCTCTGACACACGGAAGTCGCCACTTTATTCGATTGAAACTAATTTTCGCTGAACTTTATCGGAGAAGAACAATGGGCGGTGGTAGTTAGAGCCCAAGTGACAATTGAAAGTTTCGAAGATCTTCTACCGCACAAATTGTTTTGCCATTTAGAAGTTTTTCTAGGCCATCGAGCCCGCCACACTGGAATTTTTGTCGGTTTACGTAGCAATTTTATGGTTGTTTTGGGTTATTTTTCAAAATTTTAGATAAAAACACGTGCCGAACCTGAATGTTTGTCGTTTTCCAGGAAAAATGTTCGTATCGGTGGCCTAGAAAAGCTCTAGAATGGAAAAAATTGGCGCGCTTACAATCTTTTGAGCTAAAAAAGGGGAAACTTGAAGCCGAGAGCTAAAAATGTTCGAATTTCCGTCATTCCTCGTCTTTTGTCAAACCAATCTGCATGAAAACTGTCTAGAAAACACGGAAATTACAATCTTTTGTTTCTTTTCTGGGCACTTACCGCAAAACACAAAACGGTCTGCGGTGGGAACCGATGAGAGATAACAAGAGAAAAAGAGAGAATTTTTCTCGTGTTCGTTACATAACATGATAAAGATAAAACCGGTCAGACGGACACGCTCTCGGCGGAATTCCATCCGGCTAATCGTTGGTTTCTTGTTGCGGAAATGCGCGACAAAACAAATCAGAAACCTTTTCTTCTAAACAAAAATTTCTTTTAATTATTACAGAACCGACCAGTCAAACACACACAAACACACCGGATGACTTACGCGGGGAAAAACAATGAAATGCTAGGCGGGAGGAAAATGAAAATGAATGAATTGAGGAGGTGCCCGTAAATTGATTACAAAGTGTCAGGAAATTACAAATTGTCAATTGATTATTGTCGATCTCGCTCCACACTGACCACTCGCGTCTTCGGAGCCACCGGCGGCGGAACGGAAGATCGGGGCGCCGGCGACGGCGATTTCGACAGCTTCCGGCGGTTCGGAGTTGTGCCGCCCGTGTGTTTCAGTCCTGAAAATGTGCATTTTAATAGGAAAGCAAAAAAACTTGCACTTACCGCTCATCAACTTCTCAAAGTCTCCGTGGTCCATTCGAGTACTGTCGATTTTGGCCCTCTGCCTGCGCACTCCGCCCGCACCGACCTTCTCCGCCAACTCGAGCATCAGCTGATCTTGCTCCGACGTCGACGATTTGTTGCTCGCCGCACGTGCCCGACGCTCCGCCTCTTCTTTTTGGCGCTAAACAATTTCATCATTATTATCATCGATAAAGAACGCAACGAAAACCTTTTCCAACGCGGCCTTCGTCTCGTTCTCCTGCCGACATCGATTGTAGTTGTTCACAAAATGGGTGAGCTTCTGGAAGAACACGTTCGGCGCCGTCGATTTTTCGCTCTCTCCGTAGAACTCGCAGCAGTCGTGGAACGAGCTCTTCGCCAGCTGGAACGCCTGCTCCAGCTCGTCCATCCGGGCCTGCCGTGTGGCGGTGAACTCGACGAGCGAGCTGGGAGCGTCGGCGCCCTTGAGCTCCTGCTCCTTCTTCGCAGTCCGGAACCCGCTCTCGAGGTCCTTCATGTCCGTCGCCACGCTCTCCCACTGCACCGACGTCGCCTTGTCGATGAACTTCAGTTGCTGCGCGAATGATTTCAAGTGCTTCAGGTCCGGATTCTGCTCAATCGAGCTCACGATCATGTGGAGCAGGGTCAGACTTTTGTCGGTCGGCGATTTCAGAATCGCCAATGAATCGAGGGAAGCGAGTTTGAACCCGTACGCTCCGCCCCTTTTCCCACTGTTCATATAGTTTCCGAATGCGAGAATAACCTCGAGAACTCCGTGGAAATCTGTAGCCTCCCGGGCGCACTTCGACGCAGCCGTCACGTGAGTCAACTGCGGCTGGATAAGGGCGGCAGACTCGTCGAACTCGGCCATCACCCTCATGACCGCCAGTTTGTGGTCGAGCCGTTCGATCTCGCACAGCGCCGCCATGAAGACGTCCTCTTCGGAGAGCCCGTCCAGTTCGCCGCGCTTCTCGGAAAACAGTTTGCGCTCGTCGTCGGTCGGCAGAATTCTCGACAGGATGTCGACTTTTTCGGCGGTCAGGGCATGGAGATCCAGCTGATGCACGGCCGCCATTATGCTCCGCGCGTCCATTGCCACTTTTCGACGAGTGATTGCTGAAACAACAGAAAATATATAAATGCACTCCAGTGCAAACAAAAACCGCGCTCTACCCCACTGCGCCTGAGATTGCGGTAGACCGCGATTTCCCTCGTCAACCCACCGATATTCTGCAACCTCTTCGCGTCCGTGAGCAACGTGTTCTTCCTAGCCGAACTGCCCGCACTGCTCGCCGATCCCGGACTTACTTGTCCCAGCGCCGACTGCTCGTTCTTCGGCTCTGTCAGCCCGATGGGCGTCATCTTGAACATCTCCTCTAGCTTGGAAAAGTCGATTTTCTCGATGATCAGCTCGTCGTTCAGCTTCTCGAACACCGTGTTCTTCGCCTGGTTCGGCTTCATCGCCGTCCAGTTCAACTGCGGCAGCTTGTTCTTCGTCTGATAGATCTTCTTGATCGTTTTCACGTCATTACTGGGCGGCGCGAAGCTTCCGGGTGGTGGTGGAGGCGGCGGAGGACCACCGAGGAATCCTGGCGGCGGCGGAGGCGGTGGAGGTGGAGGAGGACCACCTCCGATCGACGGAAGTGGCGGTGGCGGCGGCGGTGGGATCGGAACAGATGATCCGTTGGCGGCGACGAGACCAGCGATCGGAGGAGGCGGCGGGATCGAGGAGATGGGCGGCGGGGCGGGCGGATCCTTCGACGCGGATCTGCGTTGTTCTTTATGAGGGCCCGGAGCCGGCGGCGGAGGAGTTGGCGGCGACTTGGCAGCGGCCGCCTGTTGCACTTGAAGACCAGCTGAAAAATGGAAAGATTAGTCAACAGTTGCAAGAAAAACAGAGAGAAAATTAGCCTAATTTAGCCTGTCTTACCCTGCATAGTCTTCTGAATGGCCTCCAACTCGTTAATCTTCTGCTCGAGCCGCTTCCTGTCCTCCCGCGCGGCCCGGTCTTTCTCGTTCATCGTGCGCGTCCACGTGCCCTTCTGCTCGACGTGCTCCTTCTCCATCCGCTCCCGCTCCATCACCAGATCCAGAAGACGTCGATCCAGTGCCGCCTTGTCGGTGATCCACTTAGCCTCGACCTCCTGAACGCGTTCGTTCGCGTGCGAGAGTCGCGATTTCAGTGCTTCTCGCTCCTCGATCAATTCCGTTTTCTGGTTGGAATCTTCCAGAAGCTGTGCCACGTCGATCGCGCTGTTAGCGTAGCTGATCATGCGCTCCTGCAGCTCGTCCGACTCGCATTCGGCCATCAGTTCGATGTACTTGTCGAGGCCCAGCAACGTCATTTCGTACTGTAGATGAACGCGGAAGTTGAGGTCGTCGACGTTGTTCACGAAATAATCGAAGAATTGGACAGCCGACGAGAGGAATTCGACGTGGAACTCGGGCGGATTGCGCACGAACTGCATGAGCGTCCAGAAGCGGCGCGGCTCGCGGAAATCCTTTTCGAAGCGGTCGAACGCGTCGGAGACAATCTCCTGACCGCCCTGCACCATGCAAATCGAGGAGAGCATCTGGATGACCAGCGTTTTCGTTCTGGAAAATGAATAGTGTGATGAAAAGTTGTTTCCTGGTAAAATTGAGCCGAAAAAACTCTAAAATCGGGTTTCTCTCAAATTTTGCCAAGCGTGGGCGCACCTCAGATTCTGATGCAAAACGCTTCGCACGATGCAGTAGATGGCCTCCGTGTCGGCGAACACCTGCTGGAATCCCTGTTTGTTGTTCATTATAGCCCGCAAACACATCATGCAAATGTGAATGTCGTCCTCCGCCTCGCCCATACTCTTCCCCACTTTTCCTTTCGAAATTGTCAGCGGACCTGCAAAGAGCGCATTTATTGTGGGATCAAAAGTGTTGGATGTGCGCTCCATTGTTAAATTGTAACGGTTTCGCGAGAGTTGTTAGAAAACACGCAAAGTTCTACACGGCGTGCTGAAGCGTATGTGCACAAATACAGAACATACGCTTCACCTCGCGTGTTCCATCAAGCGCAACCTTTTTTGAGTAAATTCGCGGTCGCATCAAAGCTATTGCTGAAATTGGAGTTGTTCGTCACATTGGCACTCATATCGGAAGAGGAGTTGTGCGACGGCGACTCGTGCATCGAATTGTTGCCCGAGGAGGGCGGCGGAATGCCCGGGAACGCGGTGGAGGTCGAAGGGACCGAAGCGCAGTCGGCCAGGAGGGTCCGCATGTAGTCGACGAGTTTACGCAGGCCCAGGTTCGGAGTGTTCAGGAATTCGAAGACCCAACTGAACAGAAAACATATATATTTCTTGAATTTCTGGAAATACTCGCTCACTCGACACTGTTCGTCCTCAAACTGATCTCGATATGCCTCAGCACACTGGTCGACGTCTCGTCATTCTGAATCTCCTTGTTCTTCAGCGCCTTTTTCAGCATTTTCTTGTCCAAAAAGAAGGAAAGCTTCTCGAGGTATTTGGCCGGCGGCGTCACTTGTTTCGTCACTTGCTGCTTCTGATCGCAAATCAATTTCCACTTTTTCTCGTTGTCATATCCGCGCAATATTCGCAGTTTGTCGACCGGCAGGTCCATGTGCTTCTGCAAATAATTCTCGGATGAATTTGTTCGATTAAAAAGGTCGCTTACGAGCACGTCATCGAACTCTTTGTCGAGTTGCTCCTGCGAGGGCATCGGCGGCAACGCGGTCGGTCCGATCATTGCGCCCACGTCCTGACTGATGATCGCCGATGAAATCCGACGGTTTCGGATCGACGCTGATGTTGAGTTCGATCGACGGACAGTTGCGTGCCCTGCAAAATCTGTCGAAATTAGGGGGTTTCCATGAAAACTGCAAGATTTATTTCAATTTTTCGCGCTTCCGCCAAGTAAAATTCGAAAAGTGCGGTGGAGCGCGCTTGCGTAAGTGGAATGTGTCTCGATATTCCAAAAAACCAAACAAAAACTTGGCCAGGGCCTCAGAAATCTCGAATTTCGCGATAGAGCGCACTCGCCACAATCCTGGAAAAACTAACCGTTAACCGTAGTCGCAACAGGACGATCCTTTTTGTGTTTAACGCCAAACGTTCGGCGAAACGGGGTTCTGGCGAATAATACTTCTGAAAAAAAAAACAGTTGGATAGATAGAGGCAATCGTTTTTTTCAACACAAAACGCATAAATGATAAGGGGTGAGTAACCTTCGAAAATAACTGATAAAAGAAGATAGGAAGGCATTTACGACACACCATTTAAAGTGGAAATGGAAACGATCAGCAGAGACAGCTCGTGTGGTTTTCGAAAGCAAAAAAAAGTTAAGGCGGTTCATTAGACTATGAGAAATCGTTTGAAATCGTCAGAATCTGTTAATTAGTCTTGCCTGATGTTCTTTGAATTTTCAAAGAATTCACAGGTAGAACTCTTTAGTAGATTCCGACACACCCCAACATTTTTTCCTCATATAATCCTTGAAGGAATTTTCGCTAATCTGGTTCAGTTTGATTTGAAACAAAAAATGAAATGAACCAAATTGAAATAACAAAACGAGAAAAGAAGAGCAAACAAGTAGGAATTCGGTAGAGATGGGCACTGTGTAAAGCGATGAGTCAGCCGAAGAACACCGACGAAAACGATTTCGTTCTCTAGTGTTTTGGACATCAGGTGTCAAGAGTGAGTGTGCGCGACGGCATGATTCATCCGATCATCAGCTGACCGAAAGAGATTTCACAATTTCACAATTTTTCCTCTAATTCGACTAGACCTAGAAGCGTTTGGGGGAAAAAGGTGAAGAGTCAATGTTGTGGTGATCTAGGGATGGAACTTTCTTAAGAAAGGGCTACTCGGGGCAGCTGTTGCCCGGTCTTCCAACACTAGTTTAATCTCGTCCCACCAATCTGTCTTCCTCTCTTTCTCTCAATCTCTCCGCTTCCTCCGAATACCACAACAAATAGACATGTCTGCGCATCCTTGCCACGCAGAGATCGCTTTCACCTTTTTTCTCAAGTTTTCATCTCATTGACGATTCATTTCTTTCAAGAGATTGACAAAATGCGAGTAAGTTGGTGAGGAAGTGAGAGCGAAGTGGTTTTCTTTGTTTTTTTTTTGCGGAATGAAATACGTCAATTACGCTCTATTACAGTGAATCTTCAAACGTTCTAAAAGACCAGAAAGGTGTGCGCGAAATTGAATTTGTTTTTACAAAGGCGCGGCTTTTCTGGCATTCTTTTGTGAAACCGTGTTAAAGGTCAGGAAAGAGCGCAAAATTTCTCAAAAAACACTTACTTTTCGGTGAAATTAGAGGAAAATAGAAGTTTTGCACAAAACTGACAGAAAAACACATATTTTTTCGCGGCTGCAATGTGAGCGATGGAGCGCGATAACGTTTTTTTGCTCGCCGGATCGCCTAGTGAAATCCAAGAAGAAACAATTAAACATACACAAAACAAATGGGAGAAATCACGCGTGCGTCCGTCGTCGTTTCCGCGCGGCAACAACAAAACTATACAGCCAAAGCAGAGACACACACATTTCACTCTCATTCTCATTTAATTTTGTTACCCCTTTCTCCCAACCACTACTAGTAATGACTCTGATGATGATGATGATGATGAATGTTGAGGCGAAGAGTTATGAAATATACACATGTTAGGACCGAAATGGGTCACGCTTCGTTTGGTGCCAGTTTGTTCACAATTGAATGAATAAAATGACGACGGGCGGGACGATGGAAAGTGTGTTCAAAGACGCGTTCTGTTATGCTTATGAATATGATTATATAAAAGCACGTGTAAGTTTTCACACGATCATTCCAAAATCTTTTCAATAATTTTTATGGAGCAAAGAAAAACATTGTAAAAACGAGCATGTTTTTGGTGTGAGGGTGTGCATAAAACAAAACATTGTTGCCTTCTTCTTCTGCTTTTCTTCCGGACATCGCCTTTCACCAAGACTCTTGTTAGAGAACGAGAGAGCGCATAGAAAGAGAGCAGTCGACGGCTTCTCCGAATTTTACTACTCGGCTTCTTAGGGCAAAAGGTTTGTGCGGGAATTTGCATTTCTGCACTCTGGTCTAATAAAGTAGCTGCTAGTTGCCGAAATCGGTCAGGGCTGAGAAATTAAGGTGAGGAAATAACAATTTTTTTGTTGTTTCACTTCATTCAGTTATAACAAAAATCTCTTTTGTTGTTTCGACGAGCCCGGTTGTTTGTGCCTAAATAAAAGTAAGCTAAAATAAACTTTCCACAAAAGAGTGCTAAATGACTGCATTTCTGTGAGCTTCAAGTGTGAATTCCGAAAAACACATTTTTGGCGCATATTCAAAATCAGTGAGTTGAAGGCATTGCAAAAATGAAATTTCCGGAAACGCCATAATTGTATACACATTTTGACGCATACTTCCGGCTGCTCACTCTCTCGCCTAAAAAATAAACAAAAAATTATGTGTATACGTCTCATCGCGGCCTATTGAATAAGTATACACATAGAAAACTTGTCGACCACCCGCACATCATCTAGCCCCAAGCAGAATTTGTTTATCGCTCACACAGCACTGAGGACAGCAGACGAACCGAACCGCGAAAAAGCAAATAAACTGATGAGGTGACCTTATTTTCCGTTAGATTTTTGTTAGATTCAAAGTGTGTCAGAGGTGTGAATGTCTAATAGTACATAGTAAGTAGGACAACCGGTGAGCGACACAGTTATACACTGTAGTAGTAGTAGTAATACGTGTGAAATGAGTCGAGTCGTGATTGAAAATCCGAAGAAGAAGAAGAGAAGTGGGGTGTTCAATGGTAATAGATCATCATAACCATATGTTTGACGCGGAGAGCAGCGGAAAGCATATGGGATTCGGGTTTTAGGCCGCCCCCCTTAATTCTCACGCTCTCCGATTACCCCCCTCACTCTTAAGCCTTAAAGATTATCATACGAAATTTGAATTAGTTGGAAAAAATTGAGATTACAGGAGCAGCGGGCTAAAGCGATTGTTCGGGACATAGCTCTCAAAAAAAAATTGGTGAGCAGCAGGAGCGGAAAACGCGAAAAAGACAACCGTTTTTGGGGAGAGGCAAACAATAAATATGCCCGGAATGGCGGATCGGTGTGGGCCCCGGGGGGGATCGAGCGCCGAATAGACGCAGACGACGAACAGACAGATCACATTTATCTCGCGCATGGCTGGCTTTTCGCTGTGTGGACGACGGACGGACGGACACTGTATGGGAGAAGGACGCATATTTAGAGGATTACCATTAGGGCTTTGTTTGAGGATAAAGGAGACTGGGGTGGGCTGTTTATGAGTTCAGAAGCTTTGCGACGCCTCAACACAAACAACACGCTTTTTTTCAACCGAAATTTTTGAAGCCCTCAATTGGAAAATAGAAAAAGGTGTTAATGTTTGTAAATACAATGGTGTTTTTGTGCTTGAGATCGGAAAATACCAGAAACTTTCAATTTTCACCCTCGCCACCACCATATTGAGTGCTCGAACGGTCTTTCGAGGTGAACTGATTAGTTTTTGAAAAATGTGCAGAAAAGCTGAATTTTCTCCCTAAACAAGGAAAACCGCCGAAAATTGCCTGAAATTTGAGCATTTCCAGTGGAAAATTGGCAAATGCCAGGTTCTGACACAAAAGTATGCAAAACTTTAATTCACATTTTGATCAAGCAGGAATAGCGAAAATGTGAGAAGTTTATGCTTTTTTGCTGAAAAATTTTGGTAGAGCGCACTAGCCGATCAGTTGCACAGAAAAAGCAGAGAAAACAGTAAAAACAGCTGAGAAAGCGGAAGAAACCGGCACATTACACAACGGAAAAGTGGCAAAAGGTCAACACGATTGGAGGCACGCCGCGGGGAGGATAAATGACTGGTTACCTCCTCGGTCACTAGAGATACTCTCTCTTGACCAGTACTACGCAACATGTGTGAACTGGCTTCGGGCCGCCAACTGTGAATGAGTGACACGGAAGAAAACGGGTGCTACTGGCGGCCACAGGCCGGCTAAGTCTACGGAGTACTGGGAATTGTGAAACTGTAACTTGTTCTAGCGCCTGGCTCATTTTGAAGAGCAGAATACAATTGAAAATTTGTCAAAAAAGCATATATGTCTGCGCTCGATTTCTAGCGATAAACTCAAAAAAAACCGGTAGACTTGCGGGGTCGTGTGCCAGCGGTTATGCCGACGAGAACAAGAGAACAGCAGCTGATCCGGTGAGGTAATTGTTGTAATACAACCTTATATATATATATATTCGGTTCGGTAGTAGCTGCCACCGGGCTATTCCATTTCATTGGCCCAGGAAATGGATTTATATGTTGTTGGTTTAGAAGTGGTTTAATCTAATTAAACAAGAAAGCGAGATGGATAAAGAGAAAGTTTTACTGTTTCGAATCACATGGCAAACAGGGCGTGGCCTTTGAATTTCTGGAATAACAGCAGAAAACAAAATAAAGCGGGGAACATTGTGATCGAAACAGAGGAAAAATGCGACAGAAAACAAGATTACAAGACATTTTAGCGCTTTATTTACCAGCGAAAATTGTTGAAAAATTACGGAATTTCAAGCGTTTTCAGGAAAAATTCTGCGAATTTTCATTTCTGAACAAACATTCTGATTAATGCTGGCTAAAAGTATGAGCAACATTTTTATTCACTGACAGATTAAGCAAATTTGCAAAAAAGCGCGATAATTTTGAGAATTCTCGTGCTCGAATCGAAAGAAAAAAGACAAAAGACAGCGAGGAAAACGGGCCGAAAGTCAATCGGTTCAAGTTCCGCGGGGCGGTAGGTCAAAGCTGGTGATGGGTCTCGCAACGATGTCTAGAAGCGCGTTTAAATTTAGTGCGCACGAAGAGGCCGTTTGGGAAGGCAGGCAGGGTTGGGAGGACGGGGAGATAAAAAAAGAGAGCGAGTCCTCTCGGAACGGACGGACCGTCGAGGCAAAACAACGCAACGCCACACCAGACTACCAGACTTGCAACGGGCCGGGCCGGGCCAAAATTGGAAATTTTCCGGCCCGGCCCGGTCGGCCCGGGAGGATGCACCTAAAAATTCAAAGCGAACTAGAACTTCGAAACGAACATAATTTTATAGACTTAAAATTTTATAGACTTAAAAAGGCAATGTTATAGCATAAAAACCTGTTAAAAAATAGAAATTGCTGTTTAAAGTCGCAAAATTTTCACAAAAATTACGAAAATTTTCTCAAGAGTGGGCGGAGCGATTGATTGCAACTCTGGCACGCCATTTTAGCAATTTTGCCGCACGCGTGTTCCTCTTCCTTCATATTTTTTTTGCATATTTTTTTTGAGGTCTAACTTCCGGGCCGACCGGGCCGGGCCGGGCCGACGATTTGCTGGCCCGGCCCGGGATTTGGCAAGTCTGCAGACTACGAACACCTGTTGTTTTGATGATTTGATGACAATTATTATAAATATCGTTTCGACGTTGACTCACCATTTCTATCGTTTCCATTCAGAATTTCACTGACCGATTCTCGCTTTTCTTCTGCAAAATCCACAGAAGAGCGCTCTTCGTCGCCCATTGCTTCGCTCTGAAAATTGTCTTGAATTCCAACTAGAAAACAGGGAGAACGAGCAAAGGGAACATTCTGTTAATTTATTTTCTCGGTCGAAATGAAACAGTTTGTGTTGGAAAGAAAGTGAGAGAGCAAAAGGGAGAAAAAGGGGTCAGACGGTGACAAACACAACAAAACACCTGGGACGCAGAGTTGTATAATCGGCTCTAAAAACGGTCAAACATGGGCGCCCGACACGTGAGAGAGGACGCAAATTGGAGAGGCGCCCCGGCGACAAAAGACGGTTTTTTTGATAGTGAGTGGTGGGAAAAAAGGTCGAAGCACTGGCGTCGACACAAGCACAAGCACCGATTAGTCAGAGGAAGAGCAACGACGAGTCAACTCATTTCGCAACCCCCGGCGATCGGAACTTGCAAAATACGTTAAAAAATCTAATCATTTTTCAGATTTTTCCGGAGAAAATGAAAAAAAATGGGCGGCTCGATGGCCTGGAAAATGGTCGAAATGGAAGAACGGTCGCAATCAGTGTTGAGCGGAATTCCGTCTGCCGTCTTCCGTCTTCCGTCTTCCGTGGTTTTTTTTGTTCCGTCTTCCGTCTGCCGTCTTCCGTGAGAAAAGTTTTCTTCCGTCTTCCGTCTGCCGTCTTCCGTAAAAAAATGTTTCTTCCGTCTGCCGTCTGCCGTCTTCCGGGATTTTTTCTTCTTACCGTAAAAGAGTAATAGCTTTTCAAAAGCCATTTACTAGTCCCGAAGAACGCGAATTTCCACGGGCAGTACCCAGATCCAAAAGTTTTGTTGCTTTAGTTATTTTTTTCAAAAAAAACCGGAAAAAAAGGCTCTGAATTGACGATTTTTTGTTCCGTATTCCGTCTGCCGTCTTCCGGATTTCAAAATTCCATTTCCGCTCAACTCTGGTCGCAATGCGAGCGATGGAAAGCGTGCGCTTGAAAATTCGTCGGAAATTGGTCGGATCTCCACTAACATCAAGAAAAAACAGAATTTCGTTTTTTGTGACTACTGAAAACTAAAAACCAAAACCGCTGAACATATACACCTTTTCCGTATGGAAAAAAGAAGGAAACCAACCCATGAGCCCTATAATTTGCTTCCCCACAGAGAAAATTGAGCGCCAACCCGCTGAGTACAAAAAATAAACGTTTCTTTCACGTTCTGTTCTTTTTTCAGGGGGAAAATATCGAGTTCCCGCATTTTTGAACAATTCAGAGATCTTCGTATAGCTCCGACTTTTCGACGTTTCCGGGAAACTGCGCTCAGTGACAACGACGGTGTAAATCTGAAAGATATATGAAAAACATGAGTGCTTGGTGTCAAAAATCATTGGAAAACGAGAACAGAATGAAAAATTGAAGTTTTCAAAAAAATGTACGATATTTACTGAAAAAAATGTACGATATTTACTGTTTTTCTGTCACCTTTCTACGAATTCCAGATGATCTTTTTGACATTTCGTTCGAGCTGGATATTCAGAGAAAGGTGTGCGACTCACACGACGGGCACGTGGGGTAGAAAGTGAGTCATCGAAACGGAACAAGAAGAATTCGAGCTTACAGTCGCGGTGAAATCGGAAACGTACAGATTGCTGCCCCTTGAGGACAATCCAGGCAATCTGAACATTTCCGACTCTTGTGCTCCGAGTATATTTGGTTTTTTGCCAATAAGAAGCGGTTTTAATTATTCATTCATTTTGTCTACACTTCCGACCCATCGGTCAATTAAATGTTCAGAGATCCTCTTCAGTTCCGACTTCTCGCTCCAACGTCGAAAAGACGCGTTCCCAGTCGGGAATAAATGGATTCCACGTGGTACTTCGCTCAGTGACGACGACGTTGAATATCTGCAACAATATTATTTTAGCTTTCCCCAGAAAAAGGGAACGGACCGCCCGTTTCGGTCCGTTGAAGTGCACACAGTTGCGGTCTTGAATTGTGTAAGCGTTGATGTCGAATCTGGAGCAGTTGGAGGTTCCCGCCAGCACTTTCAAATTGTACAGCATTCCCGAGACGATTTCTCCGTTTCCGGATAAGACTTTCAGAGGCACCCACATCATCTCGTTCTCGATTCTCTGATTTATATCCGCTTCGAAGGCTCGCCACGAGAGACGCTGAAATTGGAATCGAACTGTTTTCCGGCGGGCGGGGTAGCCCAGAAGTCTTTAAAAATGAACTGGGACCGGCTCGGGCTTCTCGACTTTCGACCCACTTGCAATGATCTTTTCCGGCTTCTTGGACTTGGATTGAAGTCTTTTGGGTCCAAGTTTTAGGCCGATCCGTTCATCTGGTACAAAGATATTCTCGTTTGAAGCCAAGTAGGCCGATGGGCCAAAAGTCTCTTAAAACGAAATGTGATCAGTTCTCTCACCGTGGCCAATTTACTGTCCGGATCCAGTGGTCCTTCGTGCCACGTTTCTCCGTCATCCGGCAACGAATTCGTCTTCGGCATCACCTGGTACGGAAGCACAGAAATAGCGGCGGGCGGTGAGGTTATCGGCGCGCCTCGGATCAACTGAAAAACAAAAAGTGCATGGAAATGAACATATTTTCAATAAAATAAACTTACAAATCGATTAGAAACTGGAATGACCATTTCATTGAAATCGGAGCGGAGTGGCGGAATTGGCACATTTTGGAAGGAGGGCGGATTCAGTTGTGGACTCGGTTGGAAGTGGAATGACACTTGGCCGGAGACTGTTGATGATATTGTGATTAATGGGAGAAGAAGAGTGAATAGGGAAGACATTCTGCAAAAATTCAATGATAGACTTCTCAATTTGCATCGCCCGTTTTATACACGTCCACCTAATGTAGAAACCACTTTTTGCGGCCCTCGGAAACCGTCAAAATCTAATCTAAACGGATCGTGCGCCGTCAGGATTTTTGAAAGACGATACTAATCGTATTTTTTGTGTACAGGAAATGTTTGACAGCGGTCTAATGCGGCTAATTTGGGCTGAAATGGAAAAATAATCGGAAAAATGAGAAGAAACTTCGAGAACTTTCACTTTAAACACGAAAATTTTCGGATTAGGCACCACCATCACCAGCAGTTTCTTTTGTTTCCACTCCATTCCAACACTTCTTTTATGTACTTTTTCGATGTTTGTGTAAACTTTTCAGCGCCCCTCAATCGACTGTAATTGTTACACTGCGGCCAAGGGAAGAAGTGACCACGGGAGACAGAATCGCCAAAAAAAAAGGCGTTCGCAATTTTTCTTGTTGTAATGTTTCAGAGAAATTGAGAAGGTGATCTTTCCGTGTTGCCAACTTCCTCGTCAACTTCGATTACGGGTGTGGATTGAGCAAGAATGGAGATGCGCTTTACTGCACCTTTGGCGAGACATTTGAAGCTTAAAAGTATGAATAAATATGTTGTATTTCAGCTGGGAAACTACCTTCAAAGAAAATATGTGTCCGTGTTTCCTGATGGCTTCATCTGTGTGATATTTGTGTGCCTACAACTCTGCGCGAGAGATTTCCCGGGAGGAGAGACGCAGGCGGCGAGAGAACTCTTTCCCGCCGAGTTTACTTCCCCTTCTCCATCGTTCTCCTTCTCTCGGCATTTTACGATTCGCTCACTAATCATTTTCTCTAATTTTCATCATATGACCTAAAAAAATGTGAATGCAGAATGGGAAACTACAAATCGCGGCCACTCACTTCGTGTTCAGGTTTGTGCTACAACTAGGCTGGTCGAACAGGCGCCTAAATTCGCCTGTTCGACGAGCCTAGCTACAACATTATTGAGAGACTATTGATTGACAAATGTGTGCAAGTTTCAGATGAGCTCAAAAAGAAGATATCGGAAGGGTATTCAGTGATCAGAAGCCGGCTGAGTGACGATGTCAGGTCTAGGGCCAACTGCGGATGGACCGATCTTCAAATTGCCGCCTTGTAAGTGTTTTCTTTAAGGGAAAAATAAGGCCTAAGTTGCAAAAGTGGCTCTAGAAGCACACATTGACCCAAATGCACATGCCATTATATTTCAGCGAGAAAACGAGCGACGAGTTCTCCTCCCTCCTTTTGCCCGAGAATGCCGACTCCATCTCTGCCCAATCCCTGTCTCTTCTCCATATAATCTGTGCGGGTCACGGAGACAATCAACCGGAGAAGCTCCAAAAAACGTTGACCGTCCTGAGTGCCGAAGCCAAGAAGACTCTTCTGTCGGCCCTATCCGCCAACGGCTTCACCGCCCTTCACATTGCCATTTACAAGGGAGAACTGGGCATTGTGAGGGCGTTGGTGGCCGGTGGCGCCGATTTGGATCAATCGGGACGCCATCAGCTGCCACCGCTCCACTTGGCCGCAATGATCGGCGATGCGGACATGTTGAAGGTGTTGCTGGAGGCCGGCGCTTCGGTTCACGCCACTGACTTTGTGCACTTCACCGCTCTTCATTGTGCCACGTATTTCGGACAGGAGAATGTAAGTTTAAAGAAAAAACCTTGGAAATTAACAATTGAGCAAATTTTTAGGCGGTAAAAGCTTTGCTCGCCAAATCTGCGAACACAAATCTTGGCGGAGCGGTGAACGATCGGCCGATCCATTTGGCGTCAGCCAAAGGACAGACAGCAATCACGAAACTTCTTCTAGACTCACAAGCGGATCGTTAGTCTTCAGAGTCCTGTCCCTGTTCCAAAACGTTTGCTCTTCCAGCTCTGCTCGCCGACGACGAAGGCAATCAAGCGCTGCATTACGCCTCAAAATCCGGAAATCTCACGATCCTCAACATGCTTCTGAAGCGTGTCAGAGGTATCAATGACAAAATATGCGCGAGGAATCTGTACGGGGACACCGCTCTGCACCTCTCCTGCTACAGCGGCCGTTTGGATATTGTGAAGGCGCTTCTCGAGTGTTCGCCCACTAATATTGTGAATATGGAGAACGTCTTCTCGGAGACTCCGTTGCACGCCGCCTGCACCGGCGGAAAGTCCATCGAACTCGTGTCGTTCTTGATAAAGTATCCGGGAGTGGACCCGAACTATCAGGGTCAGGATGGACATACCGGTTAGTTACTGGATAGGACTTGGTGGAAAATATAGAAAGTTTTTACAGCATTGCACTCGGCCTGCTATCACGGTCACTTGAGAATCGTACAATATCTTCTGGAGAACGGCGCCGATCAGTCTCTGGCTTCGAGGGCTTTCGAGGGCGGCGCGTTGAGACAACATGCGGGTGCAGCGACCGCCCGTCCTTCCAAAGTAGCCACAGCGATCATGGCCCTGAACCGCAGTGACACCCCCTCCTCGAACGCCTCCTACAACTCGACAATCTCCATCGAAGACCAACAGACTCCGGTCATCTGGGCCTACGAACGGGGCCACGACGCCATCGTGGCACTCCTGAAGCACTACGCGAGCAGGACGACAGAAGGAGACGTGTGCAGCGAGTACAGTTCCGGAGAGTCCTCGTATACTCCACTCCCGTCGCCGATGGGCAGACTGACGTCACTAACAAGGGATAAGGCAGAGCTCCTGCAATTGAGATCCGCACTTCCGGCTCCGTTCCATCTGTGTCTCGCCGAGATTGAGTTCCAGGTGAAATCCTAATTTTCAAACAGGAAAATCAAGTTTAACTTCTAGGAATCCATCGGTAGTGGTTCATTCGGAAAAGTCTACAAAGGCACGTATCGCGGGAAACAGGTGGCCGTCAAACGGTACCGTGCAATGGCGTTCGGGTGCAAGTCGGAAACTGACATGCTCTGTCGGGAGGTCTCCATTTTATCGAGGCTCTCGCATCCGAACGTCGTCGCGTTCGTCGGCACTTCGCTAGATGATCCTAGTGTAAGAGAGTCTTTGGCAAAAATTATAAACATACATGTTCTTTTAGCAATTCGCAATCATAACCGAGTACGTGGAAAACGGGTCACTATTCAGATTGTTACACGAGGAGAAACGGTACGTTTTAAGCAGCTTGTGACATACTGTGAATATTGTAATAGAAGGGGCATCCCAATATTGTTCATTCAAGTCGCCGTATCCCAGCTGCCTAAAGAGATATCCAAAAATTGTCAACTAGCAAATTGCTCATTAAGACATTTTGTACATTTTCTCAGTTGACCACTTTTTGATATCTCTTTCGACAGCTGAGATACAGTGATTTGAATGAAAGATGTTGGGAGTGTCCTTCTATTAAAGTATTTACGGTAGTCGTTAGCCAAGTTTTGGTGGTTTATTGAGAAGTTCAATTATTTACAAGATCAGGCCTGTTGCTTTACAAAAATGTGATCCTTCTCATTTCAGCGTTCTCGATCCCTCATTCCGTCTGCGAATCTCGCTGGACGTGGCGCGCGGGATGCGTTATCTGCACGAGAGTGCGGCCAAACCGGTCATCCATCGAGATCTCAACAGCCATAACATACTCATTCACGCCGACGGACGGAGTGTCGTCGCCGATTTCGGAGAGAGCAGATTCGCGAGTCAACGCGACGACGAGAACTTGACCAAGCAGCCGGGGGTGATATCATGATTGAGTCCTTTTTTACGTTAGTTTTCGCATTTGCAGAACCTGCGGTGGATGGCGCCGGAGGTCTTTTCGCAGTCCGGAAAGTACGATCGGAAGGTCGACGTCTTCAGTTTCGCGCTCGTCATTTGGGAGATCCACACCGCCGAACTGCCGTTTTCTCATCTGAAACCGGCGGCGGCTGCCGCCGAAATGACGTATAAACGTGGCCGGCCGACACTTCCGAACCAGCCGACGCCCCAGTTCCCCGCTCACATCCTGAGCCTGATCCCGCAGGCGTGGCAGCCCGAATCCAATCTGCGGCCAGATTTCGCGCAGATCGTTCCGCTCCTGGAGCCGCACGTCGAGAGCACGCACACGGACATCAGTGCCCCGTCGACGGTCTCTCAGCTCAAGTCGCAGTGGGAGCAGCTGAGCATCGCGCCGCCCCCGAGATCCGCTTTTCCGCCAATTCTGTCGGCTCTTCATGGGATCGCCGCGACGGGGACTGTCGAGGAGCTCAGGCAGCGGATAGATAATAACGGTTATGTAATGAATAAGTAACTAAATAAGTTTATCAACAAGTTTGACACGAAACAATGAGAAATAAATTAAAAGTCTAACAACCCGCCAAGTTCGAATTAATTTTAAGAGAAAGGCACTAGAACACAATAACCCGTGTGTGTGTCGTTCATTTTCGAATGGATTTCAGGTATTCGCGACACGTCGCCGGCATCGGTTGCATCGCTTCGCACACATTCTGAGTCAGGTCGTAGAGGGCGTCCGAGTTGCGTATTCCGTCGATCACAATCCACGGAATGAAGTCGATTGCGGGCGTTAAGGCGGCGGTGCGCTGGCCGGAGAGGGCCAGGAGACGACGTCCACGCGGTCCCGAAGCACATTCACGCATTCTGAAACGTTCATGTGATGCAAGTGCGCTCTATCGAAATTCACACCTGTTGAACTCGGCGGGCATCAACTCCTGAACGCACTTCATCGCGTCGTCGAGCGAGTACTTGCCCTGCATGCACAGCACCGGCGGCAGGTACTTGTGCGCAAATCCGAACCGATCAATGACACAGTTCATCAGCTGATTGATCTCGCATTCCGTCGGTCCGTGCTGACATTGACACCTGAACACAAATTTGAAAGTTTTTAAGGAAGCTCTAGGTATAACTCACTCGAAATCATTGCCGCGCTCCGAGCACCTCGCCTTTCCGAACGGAATCACGGCCAGCTCGATCCGATTGAGCCGTCCCAAAAGGTCCCACGCCTTCTTGAGCTGTTGACGGAAGAATCTGGAAGTTCAAATCATTTTTCTGACTTTAAATGAAAAGTTGTTACCTAGAAGTGTCTGGGCACTGAGCTTCCATATAAATGTCCAACTTCACCATCTTCTCCACCGGCCCCGTTTCGCTCAGTTTCGGTACCGCCGGGTGGTACGGTTCAAATTCGACCGACATTACCTTAAAAGTGTAAGTTCTTCCTTTGAAGCGATGAAAAGTAACCCACATCTCCATTTCTCCCAATTACCGACGTGCCATTATTGTTGTTGTCGGGTTTGTTGAGTGATCGGTAGAGCAGGAAGATGGCGATGATGAACAGCGCCGCGTAGATGTACTTTCGGATTTTATTCCGTGTCGACGGACGGATATGTGCTGAAAAGTTGGATTTTGTTGGGAGAACAGTGGCTTTTCTCGGCGTATCTCTCAGAACATCTGCTTTGGAGAAACTAGGTTTCACGGTCTCCAGAGCTGACGATGGGCGCAAGTGCGCCCCGCCAAATAGAGCGAGTACATTGGCGCAAATATTGTGTTTTTTGCCAGATTAGCCACGAAAAACCGATAATTTCTCATGTGTCTCTCGATAGAACGATTGTATAGGCTATTACGAATTCCTTAAGCGCAAGAGCGTTAAATTTGGTCAAGTCGCAAATCACATTTATCCGTTTGAAGGTTTTTGGCTAAAACTGCGTGAATTTCAGTTGCTTTTCGGTAATTTTCGCGGTTCCAGCGCTCAAAATGCTTGTATTTACGTGATTAATCATTCTCAAAACCAATTCTGTCTGAAAACGGTCAAGAAAGCGCAAAATGAGAAGTGCGGTTTCTAGGCGGCGATCGGCGGCGAAGGCGAAAAAGCGAAATCCGCGAAAAATGCGCCAAAACGTCATTAATTCTGAGAATTAGTGTGTTTTCATGTCGAACAATCATTTTTCATCGCCTTTGACCACAAAAATTAGAGAAAACCTGCTAAATTCATGAAAACGCCATTTGGCCGCCGAGGCCACGCCCATATTGTCAGCTCTGGAGACTTTGGGTTTGAAAACCTTTTTGAGACGTCCGTTTTCAGCAGAGTTGGGCAAAGGCCGGTTTTCTCAAAGGCCTGAATTTTGACCCACTTGCCAGAATCCGATTGAACCCAAACTTTGCAGGCTTTTTGGACTTGAATTGAAGTATTTATTTGTTTCGCCCATTCTTACTTTTCGGGCTCTGATCCACATAATCCGGGCTCAGATAATCGGATAGGTCTGAAACTTGGACTCAAAACACTTCGATCTAAGTTCAAGAAGTCTGCCAAGTTTCGGTCCGAACAGACAATTGAAAGTGGGCCAAAAGTCAGAATGTCTCCAGATGGAGCTAAACGAAAAACTCACGCAGAAGTGGTTCCTGTGAATCTCGCGTGAGCTTCTTCATTTGCAGAAACCGATGGCAGGCGAATAATCCAAGAATGAGGAGGAGAATGATGGAAGCCTACAAAGTGTCAAAATAATGTCAAATTTGTGGGTGAGCGGAGCTCTCGTGAGCAAATGTTTGTTTTTGGATAGTTGGGCAGTCCGAAAATGGGTCAGAATTTCAGATGGTGGTTTGGTTGGAAACTCACAACAATAGCGAGACGGGAAAAGGCCGAACAGAAGAATAGTTTTGGTTTACAACAAAAAAAGAGCGGGTAAGATAAGATTCTGGTGGAAATGAATGGGGAAATCGAGGAGAACGTGACCTCTAATAGATCAGAATTACACCAATTGGTGGCAGCTTTTGCGCAGTAATCGTCCGATCCGACCGCATTGAAAAGCAAAGGAAAAGTGGACAGGTGACCAGAGAGGAAAAGGGAGGAGAGACGCAGAGCGAACAAGTGACAGACGGGTAAGAGGAAAAGAGAGAGAGAGAGAGAGAGAGGGGGAGAATAAGGAGAAGAAGAAGAGGGAAAGGGAGAGAGCAAGTGAGTGGAAGGAGCTCCACACCCAACTTATAGTTATGAATTTGGTTGAGTTACTATTCGGCTTTTCTGTGTAGCCATTTGGATGCACTAGTTCGAAAACTGCTACTTTGCACTGAACAAGCGGTTTGAGCCGTTTTTCTCCGGGACAAATTATGCATCTTTAGAATTTCGCGGCTCAAATTTCATAGTTTTAACGATCTTTTAGACGAAAAGAAGAGAAACGGAAATATTGAACGGTTTTTCCTAGATTCCCAAATAAAGTTAATATTAAACAACAAAAAAAACGAATGCGAAACAAAAGGCAAGTTGGTTCGGAGGAAGCCGTCTGGCTAACAATGCGGAGAGAAAGAGAAAATGAAATTGAAAGTGGTTGGGATGGGCGAGAATCTCGTCCTCCTCCTCCTATATCTATTGTCCACCATCTCGCTCAGAAGAAGATGAACACATTCTCCCTTTATAAACATAGTTATAAACAAAACGGATTCTCTCAGATTCACTTAGAAATCGTATATAAACAATCTTCATTCATTTACAATCCCAAGTCGTAGTCCGGGTTTCCCTTGATGTAGTCGGCGAAGAACGCGACGCCCGTCTCAGTCGGTTGGCTGGCTGCCTCCACGGCCGGAAGCTTCTCGAGTCGCGAGTACCACGCCGTCAGTTTCGGGTACTTGGCGCCCGGGAACGCGGTCGAGGAGAGCGGCAAGTTGGGCAGGATGTGCGCAAGCCAGAACGAGCGCTGCACGTTCGGGTAGAGCAGGTAGTCGACGTATCCCGGCTTCGACGTTCCTGCAATCAGCGATCATGTTAATCAGTTTGGCTAAGCAAACGCGCATTGTCTCTAAACATGAGGTTCTAGAACGTATTTTTTCTCAAATATCAACTATGATGCCTATATAGTCGTTGCGTTTTTGTGAGAACTGTTCAGAAATGCGTGTATAACTCAGAACAGAAACGTTATAAGACAAAACTGTCGATTACAAAGTTGTTCACTAAAAAATTTCCAACAATTCCTTCGTGATCAACTTTTTGGTTTGCAAAGATGAGGTCCGATACTCACCAGAATAAAAGTCAGCGGTGAGCAGTTTCTCGGCGTCGTCGAACGCTTTGGCGATCGCCGCGTACTTTTCAGTGCGGATCGACGGATCGCTGACCGACTGGACGGCTCCGATGAACGCGGGCGCCACGGCAGACAATCTCTCGAGCAGCAGCTTCTGCTGGGCCTTCTCGTACGGATCAGTGGGCAGGATGCGGGTCTCCGGGAACAGGTCGTCGAGGTACTCGGGAATGACGGCCGACTCGATCACGTGCTTTCTGCCCTCGTCGTGCTCCAAAGCGGGCACTTGGCCCTTGTAGTGCTTAGAGAAGTACCATTCGGGCTTCTCCTTCAAATGGATATTGATGACTTCTGTTGGAATGTTCTTTGCTGCCGCGTAGATCAGAGCGCGTTGAGCCCACGGGCAGAAGCGCATGTTGTAGATGCGGAAGGTGCCGGCCGCCGGCGCACTCGGTGCCGCGTCTCCGTTTTTGAGCACTTTTGTGTTGACGCCGGTCAGCGAGGACGACATTCTGCGAACGAATTGAATGCTTTTTCTGGAAATTTCGATATATTTGAGTGATTCTCTAAGAATGGCTGGGAAAATGAGAGAAAAAGGGCGACAATGGACGGAACTTTCCGCACGATTTCCTATGGTAACATTAAAGGCACAGCACTCAAGTTGCATAAATTTATTGTCTCGTGTTACGCGCTTTTCAAAAATACGGTAGACCAATCAATTTTTGCACGAGCGATTTTCGACGGCATATCGCCGGTTTTTTATCGTCTTTTTTGAATAAAAAGGATTTTCCACGTGGAAAAAAATTGCAGATTTAAGATTTTCCATTTCTTTGCAGGCAAGATGTGATTTCCGCTCGCGAAAAGTGGTATGTCGATTTTTTAGCCGTGTTTATAATTTATAACTGAAATTAATTCAAAATCGACTGTTTGGCGCAAAATTGGCACGTTAATATTCTGGAAATTTCCAGAATATTGAGGAAATGTCGCTCTGCCGCAATTCCATGGCAAGGGCGCGCGGCCGCCAGCTTTTCCAATTTAGCACAGAAATCAGGTGGAGAGCGGTTGAGCGCAATTCACAGGCTTCAAATCATAGAGAAACTTGAAGCGAACAGAATGAATGCCAGAAAAAATAGATAAAATTGACGTGCGACTCTTGTATAAATAGGGGCATGCAGGGATGGAAAAGGGGAGGAAAGGATGACAAACACAAATGTGTCCTCCTTTTCCTCTCTCTCTCTCTCTCTCTCTTCCTGTGGTCTCTGTCGGCCGAAGGAAAACCCCTGGCATCAGAGATCATTTCGACAAAAAAAGTGGGCAGGCAAGTTTTGAAAAAGAAGAACAGAAAATGGGGAATAATGTCTCGTTCTCACCTGAGACTAGTGATCTGAAGAGACATTGTTGGGAGAAATGAGAAATGATTATCTGAAAAAGCGGAGAGACTTTATATACGTGGAATGAATGGGATTGAGCAGAGAAACGACTCGAGAAGGGATTTGGGGCGAATTGTCAGCAAAACAGAGCCACGGACATAGAATAAACAAGGTTTTGTGACCAGGCAATACTACGAAGATGACGATCATAAGTTACGCTATTTCGTCAGAACGAATTGAGGGCCAAAAAGGATGACAAAGCGACGGGGAACCACTACAAAGTTCGGTTTTAAAAAAGAAAAGCGAAAAAGTGTTTGTTTTCTAGTTCTCTGTTCTCTGGTGTTGTCTCTGTTTCGAGTGTAGAGTGTAGTCGAGTGAGAGAGGGGCGCAAATTCTGATCGAAATGAACTTCTTTGCCGCCAATCAAGGGCTTGCAGCATTAATAAAGTTTTACCGCCTTAGTTTTGATGTGCCAGTCCCCAGAAAAAGTAGATGTTTCAACTTTATTAATCTCTCCATTAAACCAAAACCATTATGGGGCTATTCAGCGTATGTTTGTTTTCCGTTTTTTTCGATTTTTTACACCGCTGAATTGGGTTTTTTGACGTAAAAAAACGGAAAAAAGCATGTTTTTCACAGCCTGAATAACCCCATTAGCAACACGAAGCGCATCTCGATATCCCGTTAGTGTCACAAAAAGAGCATCTCAACTGGAGCCCGAACAGCGGTCCCGATTCGGACGGATGACGTCGGCTCCCGTGACAGACTCGGCAGACGACGTATCCACGATTCCCGCAATCCGTGCACTTGCCCGACAAGGTCTGTAAAAGTTCAATAGACAAAAAAAACGAGAGGAATACATTGAGCAATTTACTTTGTACTTTTCCAACATCCGTTCGAGAGCCTTCGCATCGTTCAATTCGACAACTATCTTCTCGTTCTGTACATGAATTCATGTTTTGAAGATTTGAGAAAAAGTTTCACCCCCAAAAAGTATCCATCTACGTAGACGAGAGGAAGAGAGTCGAAGATCAGTTCCTTTTGAAATTCGGTCGATAGCTTCAATTTGTCCGCCAATTCTTCGATATAAAACGTGCTGATATTCAAGTCGCGAATTTCGAATTTTACTCGGAACGCCTCGAGCAACTGGATCTATAAGAAGAGTTTGCAATTGCCGCGAAAGCCAGTTTTTTTTGGGCTTTCGTCGCCTACAAACGACTCACCACAACTTTGCACTTTTCGAATGATCGCCGTAAAACGCCACACGAGGTGAGGTACACGACGACTCCAGAAGTATTCTCAATCGCCTTCTGTCTCATTTTGCGAACCGCATTCTTCACAAGATTTCTGCGACCGCGAACACTTCCGTTCCTTCTTAAAATCGACGATCGCATCGTGTTGTTGTTCAAATCTTTTATCATTTCGCTACAACTTTCCTGCAATAATTGAACGTAAAAAAAACGGGGGCGGGGCCTAATTTTGAGCTTGTATTTCGCACACGTGTTTCGATTTTCCCTTCCGCCGCTGAAATTCAATTACTTTTCTAGCAAAAGACAGCAAAAATGATCGAAAACTGACGGAGAAAAGAAAAATGACTGAGAAGGGCGGGTTGTTGGGATTATGAACAGTTTTCCATCAAAATTTTGGCCTCACGTTTGTTTATATGACCGGTAGCTACAAAATGATCACAAAGTGCTCGTGTAAAAGTGAAAATTCGAAGAGTAATTTCGTTTTTTTTAATTTGGCATGAAAAACGAATTTTAGTTTTTGAGGTTCAGAACTGAAATTCACAGAAAAATGAAAAAATGCGCTCTTTCTTGTGGGCAAAACGCTAATTTCAGATCACAGCTGTCATAAACTATTCTGACAATTCCTGTTTTACCTAATTTTCTTCATTTTCAGATGAAATTTCGGGTTTTCGCAAAAAATCCAGAAATTTCAAACCTGCTTTTGTTTTCAACGACACTCCGTTTTAACGCGGCGCTCACAGTGCTTACCAATTGCAATTTCATCTGATGAAGCTCTCTGAGCATTTCGAGACATCTCTCGCGAGTGATGCCCATTTTTTGAGGGTAAAATATTTAGTAGTGAATGGGTCGGAAGAGGTTAGTGTAAATATGGAAATGGGTGACAGATAAAGGTGCGTTCCCGTGGCGGAGTGTTTACTTGAGAGAGAGAGAGCTCCCAACAATACATTTATTCACACAAATACATATTCTTTTGCGGCGACGACGGAAAATGTGAAATTAATATAAAAGGGTAAAATTTAGGGCAAAAATTGCTGGAACTGGGGAAATACAGTATAGTAACACGAAGCAATAATAGTTGATTGCGGGGCGCGGTTTTGAAAAGAATAAGTTATAATATTAGGATTTAAGCGGGTGAGATCGGGTTTTCGAAGAAAAAAAACTGGGTGGGAAGGAGTTCAGTTCAACGCGCGGCTCACAAATTCCACGAGACGTTTGGCGTACTGCAAAAAAAAATTTCTTTTTTTTGTTGATAAAACCCAATTGTCTACCTGTTCAGGCTTGACAGTGCTGATATTCTCGGCGTCCGAGCCGTATTTCACAGTTTTCGCCGCCGTCGCACTCCGCTTCTTGATGCCGTAATAGGTGAGAATGTCGACGAGGCCGATGAAGTAAATGAGCGGCTTTTCCGAGTCGGCCGGTGCCGCAATCGCGTAGAATTCGTCGTCGAGGTCCGGACCGCCTGAGACGCCCGGGAACGCGCCGCCCGTCGACGGGATCGGAGAGTCCGGCGGAGTGGGCGCCAATTCGTCGCCCGATTCTTCGGAGGTCTGCTCGACCGGACGGTTGAGGGCTTCTTGCGCGGCACGCTCGCAGTCGTGGATTCCTGGAATTATATTCATTTTTATATATTGCCTATTCAATTCGGACTTGTCGAAAAAGCCCGGCCCAGCTGTATTTTTCTACATTTTCAGATCGATTTCCAGCCTGCTTACCGACTAAAAGCGAGTAGTCCATGAGATGCATGCGCGTGAGCCATTCGGTATCGGCCGAAAGCATTTCCAGCATCTGCTTTCGCGCCTCGGGCGGCAAATTCAATTTCCAATTCTGTTCGAGGAAGTCGTTGTCCTTCAGCGTCGGCAAATCCTTCGCTTTCTCCTTGTCCGACGCGGCGCGTGACACTGTCGAGCCTTTCAAATCGAATTTCGTGTGAACTCCGTACTTGCGGCCGAAAACGTTGCGCATCACGATCAAATAGGTCTCCGAGCCGTCGATTGTCAGTCTCAAATTGTAAACATTCAATTTTTCGGATGTTTCAACTGAAAATGTCTACCTGTAGAGTCCCAAGTATTGTGGAAGCAGGGTCTTTCCCTGTTTCTCGACACAATATTGATGGTAGTTGCGGAGCACAGAGTGCAGTTCGGCGACAGCTTCCGAGTCCATAGACTGAAAAGGATTCCATTTTTTTTTGTTGAAAAGCACGTTAAGACAATACCTTGATCACGAACTTCTTGTCGTACGAGACGAAGAAGCGCGGCGTGGAGTCCTTGGCGGAGCCGTCGAGCAGATCCGGCTCGGGCTCGTACGAAGTGAGCGAACGCAAATATTCGTAGCTGTCGACGCCGAACTGCTCGCGCAGACTGCGGAACACGTTCGGACAGTACTCTTTCACTTTGTAGTGACTCGGCATTATGTCCTTGTTGAAGTTGTGATTATCGATTTTCACTTTTGAGTACGCCTAAAAACGTTTCACTTTTCTTTCAAAATTTAAGTTAATTTTCCGTACCTTGAAGTCGTCGGGCATGAGAAGACCGGGCGGCGGCACGTGCATCAGTTGATCGACCGTGTGATTGATGCCCCACATGAAGACGGAGAGCAGCGGCTCTTTCGCGCGGAAAAGCTTCCATTTCGGCACCAAAATCTTACCTTTTCCCTTTTTCGTCACAACCTTCGTCTTTTTCTTCGTCGACATTTTGCAAGTTTAACCTGAAAATGAGTGAAATTAGAAAGAGAAATGGTTGAACATTGAGAGAAAATGCGAGAGGAGCGCACGGGAAAGTTTTTGCAGAAATTCAGAATGCGCTTTTAAATTGAGGCTTAGATGCCTTAGTCTGCGGCAATTTTGAGCTTAAAATAAAGTGTAAAAACATGTTTTTCAATGTTTTTCGAATAAATAATGCAAGGAATTTTGGAATTATCGGAAAAAAACGTTTAAAAAACGATTCACTGAAAGCACAATGTCAAATAAAATACAAAGTTTTCGGGACACGAAAAAAGCGTTAGTTTTGTTGAATATTTTGAGAAAAGAACACAAATCCCAAAACATGTTCCTATTTCTAGCGCGAAAAAACATCGATTCGAAGGAAAATAAATGTACGGAAAAGGGTAGTAGTAGTGGGGGAGATGGACGAATCGTCGTGTGTATGAGTGTGTGCTGGTGGGCGCTTTGGTGGCGGCGGGCAAAGCGCTGACTGAAGAGGGCACATGCAAAACAGAGAGGGCGAGAGAGCGACAAAAATGTGAAAAGCGGCGGCGAGGCGGCGGCGGCCCGGAGAGGAAAAAGCGAGCGGACGGGGTCTAGTCTGCGCCTCTGCTGTCCCGATTCTCTTCCTCTTTCTCCCCGGAATATCGACCCCTCCCGAGAGAGCGAGAGACTTTTCTCTGTTCCGAAGAATACGGAAAAACGAGCGAGATTTGAATGCATTTCGATTTATTCAAATCGAATCGCAAATCGCAAGGCGCACGTGCCTTCCTTCGCCTCCTCGTCCCACTTTTGACGACGAAACTAGTTTTTGTGTGTTTACTTCGAATCGAAAATACTATATAGGAGTTTAGGCGATAAATCGTGGCGAGACCCCCCAACATGAACATCATGCACGCGCCATCACCATTTTATCATCTGTCATGCACAGCGGTCATAAAATGAAAAGTGTCACACGCATGAATCGTGATGGGTTGAAGAGTTCTGTGGGCGGAAATGTCGAGAAAGTTGGAAGGCTTTGGGCTGGAAAAGTATGGAAGAGTGGGGTGAAGCATGAAGCGCAAGAAGAAAAATGGAATAGAAATGGAGCTGGAGAAAAGAAGAAGAGCTCATTTCCGTCTCTCCCTCTCCCTCTTCCTCCGGCCGCGGCTCTTTTTTAAAAGCCATCGCTTTATCTCTTTTCTCTTTTCTAAAGGTTCTCTCCCGCCGGGGTCTTCTCATTTTTCGGAAAAACCGAATTGTTGGAATTTCGCGAGTGCGCGCGGCCTAGAATCTCGAAAATGGAAGAGCTTTTGCAGTCTTATCAGCCAGCGCAATGAATTGAATTGAAACGACCCGCTCGGAAACCGGAACCTGAAATAGACTACATCAGCCCGTTCTCGCTCGCTTTCTTATCAATGACAGATCAACTGGCCGTCACATGTCGATTTGTGGTCGTTTATATGTTTGACACATTTTATTTATTGTAAGGCGACTGAGAAACAAAAAAAAAGGCGAAAAGCTAGACGAATCCCCGTAAAAATATCCATTTTTGAGTTTGGAACAGGAGAAAAAGAGAAAAGGAAAAGCGATGCGAAGAGAAAAACCATATCGGGTAAAATGAAAACATTGTTTGAAATGTGTGCGACATGGCAAGAGACACAAAACTAGCTGAATTGACTAGAAGGAAAAAAAAGAAGAACAATTTTAAACTTTGCATTTCAAATGATTATCATAACTGGCCAAAAACGCGTCGGCGGCTGCGATCGCCTTCTCCGAAATTCCATTTTCGCCCTTCGCGAATGCGATCATCACCCGATGGATGTACAAATACTGTATTTCCGTCTGAATGCACTGGGCACGCTGTTTCCGGAGTTCCAGAGCGATCTGCAAATCGATCTTGTGGCTGGAATCAGAGTGCGATGGAGCGCACTTGCACCCACCTCCTCGAAGTCCACTTTGATGCCTCGGTGAAGCCGTCTGTAGGCGAACTCCAACGCGACCACACACCCGGTCCTTCCGATTCCGGCCGAACAATGCACCACGCACGGACCGTGACGGACGCGGGCGAGCAGATTCTGAGGCACTGTGTGACACTTCTCGTCGGGAACTCCTCTGTCCGGCCAGCTGTAATATCAACTTTGGGGTTTGTGGCCTCTTTCGCTCCAGTTCTTCGATAATTTCAAAAATAAGATCTCACTTTGGCCACTTGATAAGCGTCACAATGAGGGGTGTCTTGTCGGCCGGCTGCTCGTTCGCCGGCACGTTTTCCGCCACAAACGAGATCATCAAATCGACGGTTTCGAACGAGTTCGCCTCGTCCGTCGACTCTCCCGTGTTCCGTACTTTTATGCATCCGTACTGCTCCTCCTCGCCCGTCGCCGGCCAATAAGTCACGCATTTGGGCCGTCCGTCTTCGATCACTCTGCAAATGACCTGATTGGGACACGGTTGCGATCATATAATGTTTGGCCGGATTCAGGGCCCTGGCTTTTTGAAGACCTTGACTTTTTGACTATGCAAGCTTCTTAGACTTAAATTGAAGTGTGTTGCGTCCAAGTTTCAGACCGATCCGATGTACCCATCTCTCTCACCTGCAAAGCATCAAAATGCTCTGTGCGCGTTCCTGGAAAATCATCCGCCAGAAATCGTTGATCGTGTGCTGAAGGGGTCCCTGAGTGCAGATGAACGTGTTGTACAAATAGTTGGTCTTCACATAGTTTGCATGAATGTAATCGCCGTGCGCACTCGAATCTATCGTCAACTTGACTCGCGAATTGTCCCGGCACACCACGTCTGAACGCATTTTTGTTGTAGAAAACGAGATCAAGTGCGAGAAAGCACATACCAGAGTAGCGATTCTTGTGCATATTCTGCTTGAACGCCTCGAAAGTCATCGTGTGATCGATGTTGTTGTCCACCTTTTTGTACTGCTTAACGAGCCCCTCAATTCCGTGCTTTTCGGTGGCGAGTATGAAATTCTCGAGCGTTTTCACGTACACTTGATAGTTCTCCTCGGCCTGAAACAGTTCAATATTATGTATTTCTGGAAAACGTGGATTACAGTAGTTTGGTGTTTGCGCACGCACTTTCCAAACTACCGTAATCTTCTCTCATTTTCTCTCTAACTTTTGTGCTCATTCTATCGCCGAATTCGTCGTCATTATTATTGTTGTTCATGCTATTCTTGGTCTCTTCCTCAAAAAACTGATAAATCGGAGTTCCACGTGGCGGCGCGGCGGCTTTGATACGCCCACGCGAGAATTTACAGCGCATTCTGTGGGTGGCTGAAAAGGAGAAGTGAGCGGAACGGACAGAAAGACAAAAGAGGTGACGGAGCGGCGAAATGGAAGGCAAACGCGCTCTACCGCACACAACTTGCGATTTCGCCCTGGACGAGTTTTCATTGAGAAAAACAGTACGAATCTATCAATACGAAAGTCAGAAGCCGGAAATAGAAAGTCCGAGTTGAAAGTTCAAGAAAATAGGCGAGGAGTTGATAAAAATAGAGTAATTCATCGAATTCACGGTCTCCAGAGCTGCCAATATGGGTGTGGCCTCGGCCAAATGGCGTTTTCATGAATTGAGCAAGCTTTCTCTGATTTTTGTGGTCAAAGGCAATGAGAAATGATTTTTCGACATGAAAACACACTAATTCTCAGAATTAATGATGTTTTGGCGCATTTTTCGCGGACTTTGCTTTTTCGCCTTCGCCGCTGATCGCAGCCTCAAAACCGCACTTCTCATTTTGCCCTTTCTTGATCGTTTTCAGACAGAATTGGTTTTGAGAATGATAAATCACGTAAATAAAATCATTTTGAGCACTCGAACCGCGAAAATTACTGAAAAGCAACTGAAATTCACGCAGTTTTAGGCAAAAACCTTCAAACGGATAAATGTGATTTGCGACTTGACCAAATTTGACGCTCTTGTGCTTAAAAAATTCGTAATGGCCTATACAATCGGTCTATCGAGAGAGAAATGAGAAATTATCGGTTTTTCGTGGCTAATCTGGCAAAAAACACGAACTTTGCTGTTAAAATTTGAATTTCGCGCCAATGTATCGCTGTATTGGGCGGGGGCGCACTTGCGCCCATTGTCAGCTCTGGAGACCGTGTATCCAAGACAGAATCTTGCAAGACGGAATTCGGAACGCTGTCCTACGTAACGCTCGGGAACGCGTCCGAGAGCCGATTGTCGGGGATAAATGAGTGAAAAGTGGGAGGCGGGGATAAGTGTCCATCTTCATCCTCATTCTCATTTTCGTCCGTATGAGTGTCGCGTTGTTGAACAACACTTATCCGTTTTGCCCGCGCGCGCGCGCGAGAAGCAGAAGAAGAAGGAAGAAGAAGCGAGAAAAAGGAAATTGGAGCCATTCGGAGGATGGATATTTGTTTATTTTTGGGCCCCAGATGAAGCATTTTTGTGCAGAGAACCAAACGAATAAAGGAAGAAGAACACTGGTGAGAGAGGGAAAACTGCTGCAATGTGTGCAGGTTTGTGTGTCAAGTGGGTCAAGAGTCTTGACAGGTTTCCGTCCCCCCCTCCTCCGCCCCATCTTTCACAGCCACATCCACATCATTTTGAGCTCAAAAAGTTTATGAAACAACTCACGTCGTCGTGAAGTTGCGATCCGTTCGAACTTTGCGCCGACGCCGGACGCTTCTCGTTGTTGTTGTTTTTGCCTGCAAATCGAGAAGAATGATGACGTGGCACTCATACAGATGGTTTCTGAAACCATCAAAGATCTCTGAATCTTTTGTATCTATCCCGGATGCAGACACCTTGAGACACTCTCGAAAAAGGAAAGGATTGTTTGTGTAGCGTGTGTTTTGCAGAGCACTTGCACTATGTTCAGGAAATTGTGTTGTAACTGCGGGAGTTTCACGTTTTCAAGTTAAACAGTCAATTACAAAGTTGTTGAGCACACCGTTTTTAACATTTTTTGTGTTGACGTTCTTACAAAATAATTATTAGCTGTTGAGATACAGGCCTTGAAAGATGGCAACACTTTTGGCACTGTCGGGTCGGCCTACTGTTCAGAAATGGGGGCATAGCTCGGTAGTGGTACAATTTAAAAAAAAACTTGTCAATGACAAAGTTGTTCAGCACAAAATTTCCAACAATTTTTTAGTTGACAACTTTTCAGAATAATCATTATTTCCCGAGATATACGTCCTCAAATATTACCTTTCTTGTCGCCATCCTTTTTTGCCTTTTTATCACTGAATATCTTCAACAAATCCATACAAATTGCGATGGTTCTCTCTGAAACCCGATAATGATAACGATGGTGATGAGCGAGCGTGCAAAGAATGACGCGATAAGAGTGTCGAAGAAAAAAGGGGAAGAAGGAATTATATAATACACGATGATGTGGGATGCTTTTGAAAAGGCTGTGAATCATGACAGTTATGCCTAAACATACATTTATTGTATAAAACAAATCACATGTTTGTGCGGTGTCACACGGCAATCGACCGCCCGGCGTCCGAGTCGCTGAGCGCTCTTTTGCGAGGGAACGGAAAAAGGTTCGGGACAAAGTTTATCACTAACTAATTTAGTTTTCGAATTCCAAAGTAACGACCTATTCAAAAAGTATCCCGACATGTCAATTTAGCTGAAAAATTGGGAACATTCAACAAATTTGAGCAGATTATGGCCGAAAGTTTGCGGGTAAAACTAAAACCGGCCACAAATTGTCAATCGATAAGCGGAAAGTGAGGTGATAAGAAAGTGTATCAAACGTTTAGGCAGATTAAAATGGGAGCACAATGGGGCACACTTTTTTGGTATTCAAATTGTGGAGAAATGAACTTACTCCTTCGCTTAGCACTATTTTGTTTTTGGCCATTTAGTGGCTCTAGCCGTGCTTGCAAATTGGTTCATAACTTGAGAACGAGACAATTTGAGATTAAATCATCAACTATAAACGTATTGAGCACAAAATTTCCAACATTTTGCCAGTTGACATCGTTTCAAGACAATCACTAGCTGTTGAGATACAAGTCTTCAAAGAGAGGAACACTTTGGGCACTGTTGGGCCGGCCTACTGGGTACTGTTCAGAAATAGTGACACAACTCAATAGCGGAACAATTTGAGACAAAATAATCAATTACAAAGTTGTGCAGCATAAAATTTGCAACAACTTTTCAATTTTCAACTTTTTGCGAGAATCATTGGTTACTGAGATATATGCCTTCAAAGATTGGGGGAACTTTTGACTAGGCTGACTGACTGGCTTGGTAAGAAGTAGGAAAAAAAAACTGAAAAACAGCACGTCCCTCTTCAAGTACACTACACTTTTCAATCTAATTACAGCTGTTCTACGGATCTTTGATATTTTGACGTCAATTCTTCGGATTCGCGACTGGTTCTATGAAAAAAAGTGGGCTTCTATTATACGGGGCACCGCACAGAAATGGCGCTCTGTTGAGAAACTCTTTTTGCAGTGCAAATTGAGCGACCTCGGGGCCGAGTTTGAAGAGTTAGGCCACATTTTCAGTGGAAAATTACTTCGCGGCCTAGAAATTCGGCCAGATTGCGAACAGCGCGCCCTTTCTGTCCGGTGCCCCTATAATAGATAGGCTCTTGCTCCTGAACATGTAAAGCAAAGGTTCGATTTGATAATTTATGGAAACAGAGCGACGGCACAGACAAGGAAAGGTTTCAAATGGCAGAAAAGGTTCAAGAGACGCGCAAAATACACCTGGTTCTCGTGTGTGAGGACAATGAACGAGAGAGCAGAGGAGCGAGTGGAGACGGAGAGAAAAAGGGGAAAAAAAGAACTCGAATTCAAACATTACTCATCCATCTCTCTCTCGCCAAAAAGACAATGGATCGGGACGCGGTGAGACAGAGGAAATGTACATACAGTTATGATGAAACCGAAATAGAAAAGAAATTGGAACGGAGACGCAGAGAGGTGGTGTGGAGAGAAAGCGAGAGAGAGGGAGAAAGTGTTGACTGATTGGCGTCCGATGGAAACTGTCTCTGGGTCACATGTTGACGACACCGGAAGTTGGCGGAAAAGAAGGAAAAGGAGACAGGTTGGGACCGACAATAACCGCTGCGATTAGAAAATTGAATTCGAATTCCACAGTTTCGCGTGCTATGTATGTAGTGTAGCGTGAACAAACAGTCAGAGACTACAAAAAGCGTTGCGCAACTCTGAATATACGAGAAAAAAAAGATATAATTGTTTCAAAAAGTTCATCTGTGTCGAAAAAATGAGCTAACAACGAAAGAAGCAGAGTTGCCACGGGCCGGGCCGAAATTTTCAAAACTCCGGCCCGGCCCGGCCCGGTCGGCCCGGTTCAAAAAGCGGGAATCCAAATTTTGAACTATTGATTAAATAAAATGTTTGTTTTTCGCAGAACTAACGAATTTTGCAAGTATCGAGCATAAAAAAGAAATGTAGTTCTCAAAAATAGTCAAAAATAGAAAAAAATAGTAATGTCGGAGTGTCGTAGTTTTTTTTTTAAATTTTGATCCCCGCAAAAAAAACGAAAAAATAGATTTCCCCCAAAAATTTGAATTCGCGCCTTTTGAGCCGGGCCGGCACTTCTCCGGCCCAGCAAATTTTCGGCCCGGCCCGTAATTTGGCAAGTCTGGAAAGAAGAGTCCGTGACAAAAGGTCGGAAAAAAAATGACAAAAGGTCGGAAAAAAGTGACAAAATGTCGGAAAAAATGCCAAAAGGTCGGAAAAACTGCTAAAATACCTGTTTTCTGCCTTTTTGTAATTTTTCCGACCTTTTGGAATTTTTTCCGACATTTTGACTTTCCGACCTTTTGTCTTCCGACCTTTTTGGTTTTCCGACCTTTTGTCACGGACTCCGAAAGAAAACTGCGCACGAATGGGAAGAGCGGCGGGAAAGTGAGCGATAGAGCGCGATTGCATCGGTTTCAACGGAACACATGTTCAAATTGAAGCGAAAGAAGCGATTTTTCAGTGAAAATGAAGGCAGAAATGTAGGGAAATGAACAAAAGACCACTGGGACAATGTTGTAGATCAGTGGATGACTCGCTCCCGGGGGCCGTTCTGTATTGACAAGTCTATCGTTTGACCGTGCAAAAATGACCGCCCGATCGGAAATTCAGTGTTTGTACTCGTACAATCAGCATCACTATGTATAGCGCGAAGTTTGATCAGATTGCATTGAAAACGCACCAAATATGTTGTAGCGATGAAAATAATTGGTTTGACCACAAAAAAGCGTACATATATATATATATATATATATTGGAAATCTTTCTTTTTTCTCTTTTTCTCGGGGCCCGCCCGGAATTCAAACAGAACAAGAGGCGCAGACACGAAGAGACACGTCATGGACGGGCGAGGAGCCAGGCGGAGGGCAAGCTCGAGATTGAATGGAATTTAAATTGGAATGAATCGAAAAGGAGGGCGGCTATTCAAATTGTGAATTGTTAGAAGTGGGGACGAATAGGAAAAGACAATGACACTTGAGAGAAGAAGAAGGAAGAAGCTTTGAAGGACTGTCTGGTTGGGGGGGGACCTGAAAACATGTACATTGATTTATAGAATGACTTTGGACAAATGGTCAAGAGCTGTGTGAGGAGGACTGACAAAAACACGCAAAAGTTGGGAAGGATTGGAAGAGTTTGAAAGGAACAGTACCTACCGTAAGTGTTGTTCATTTTCAAGACGATATATCGCAACTGCCGGTGGAGAGCGTATTGCGAAATATGCCAAAAACGTCTCAAACGCGGCGTTTTCACGAAAATTTCGATGTTTTCTCTCTTTAATGTCTCTTCTTTCGTCGATATCAAACACAAAAATATCGGAAAAGTGCTGGAATTGCGGCAATTTTCAGAAAACGCGTCTCAGATCACGGTCTCCCACGGCGCGAATGATTTTAATGGGGCGCACTTGCAACAGCCGGGCTGTGTCGATTTACGCGGCGGCCGATTAATTAATTTTCGACGGGAGTCCGCGTTCTTTCCATGTTTTCTGTACAATACACCTATTTTTTTGTACACCTGGAACCTGGATTTGAATAATTAGAGCACTAGCTACGTTTTGGTAACAGAAATCTCACATATCGTTGAGAATTAGCCGAGTTATCTCGATTTGAAGGTTTTGGCCTGGATTTTGATGTTTTTCGAATAGTTTTCGAAAACTGCTCAAGAAAACTAACCGCCGGAACCCGAATTTTGTGAAGAAAGATTCAGCGAGCATTTTTATCGTTCGTTGGGCTCATGAAATGCAAAATGAGCTGAAATATAAAGGTTTGAAGTTTTTACGAAATGCGAAAAAGACGCTAAAAACATGAAAAACTCTAAATTCTGTAAATAACGGGTTCCAATCAGTAAAATATTGTTTTCTAGACGTTTTTCAAGTCAAAAAGACAAAAATCAAGGTCGTAAACTCGAATTGAACTGCATTTTCAGACCTGCAAATTTTCAAAAGTTACAACGACACTCCGCACTTTACGAGCGCACTGTGTTTAGCATTAGCGCCCTGGGAGACCGTGACTGGTGGTTCGGGGAGTCTCTTCTTCTTAAGATAATAAAAGATTCGATGAGTATAACCTTTTTTCTAGTCTTACCGATCAAACATCCACATCCGTACCCCTATTTCTTCATCCGTCTTGCAGAAGATCTCTCGGACATCACACATTTTATTAATCCATAACTCTCTTGTGCTCTCGTGTTCGAAAGATGAACTAAAGCGTTTTGAACGAGCTGCCTCCCCCTCTCCTCCTCCTTTCTTCATACCTTTTCCCTTCGGTCTCAGCTCTCCTGGGACCTTTTTTCCTTTTTTTCTTCTAGTTGTCATCTTTCATTCCTTTTCTGCTTCTTCTCCTACTCCTCCTACATCTTCTTCTTCATATTTTTCAAGTGAACACCCATCGATAAATCATTCTCACTCCGTTTCAGTTGTGTCTGATGAATTCCAAATTTGATTTCCTTTTTTCTGCGGCCGAGGGAAACGGAAATGAAAATACAAAGCGGGTATGCATTTTTGATGATCCGGGCAAAAGTCGAGCTCGATCGAAACACATTCGAGACACGGAGCAAAGTACGGAATGATCTTTACTCGCGTTCTTTCTTCCCCCAAGTGTCGTCCATTTATGACAGTATATCTCAGCTGGCTGAAAAGTTATCAAAAAGTTGTCAACAGATGGATTGTTCATCGGACTATTTTGTACATTTTATCAACTAACAGTTTTTTGATATCTCTACCAGCAGCTGAGCTACATCGTCTTGAATCGGAGTGCCGTTCTACTGTAATCGTAACCAACTAATGTTTTCAACGAAACTCTAGCAAACTCTAAGCTTGACTTGCTTAGTAATTAGGCTTCGATGTCTGTTTTCGGTGCTGGTCAAGTCTCAAACCAAACGGATTTCCGGACGGAGATGCGTGCTCTGAAAGGATCTGGAAGATGCGCTTTTCGTGAGCCTTCATTGAGATTCTGCTTATACTAATTGAATGCCATTCACCGATTTTCTAACGGACAGTGCAAAAGTGATCTAGATGGAAGGTATGGTTTGGACACTTTATTTTTGCAAACCGATCATGAGAACCCGAGAGCATCGCACTTGAATATTTCAGTATTGGCAAACATTTAGAACATATTTCTCTGTTAGAAAGGACCACTTTTAGTGTGGAACATTTATTAGACAGCATTTTTATGTCGTTTCGAGAACCAGTTGTTTCGTCATGACGTGTTACATCTTGAGCATACGCGATTTTCCAGAAACTTCCAAACCTTTTCCTGTTTGCACATCCCACGTATTCTGAAAACTTTTAGAGTTCTGCAAACCCTCGGATTCTGCGAAAGTCCAGTCCCTTCGGTTGCCCTCCTCTTTGTTTGCAATTAGCTTCCACGCAAAACAACAAATTCGTCCCCTTCCATCTCATTCCTCATTTCCAATTTTTGATCCCCAATGTTTCCATCCGCCCTCGGAGACGACACGGAAAAAAATGGCCGGATGATTGTTTCCTACGATTATTCACGAAAATGCTAATTTCCGCCCGTTTTTTGACACATTTCGCTCGGTTTTCGCGCGGATTAGGACTCTGGAATTATGTGAAAAGTGAGCTGGTGTGCAAGTGCGCTCTACCGCACTTTCCGCGTTTGCTGCATTTTCCGAAAATATTTCCACTTGTTCGGCTCAAAATGGCACTTCCGAGCGCAAATCCGACAAATTTGGCTTTGAAATGCGCTCAACCAGATTTTTTTTCAGGAATTTTAGATTTTCCCCCACTTTTCGGTCATGTTTTCACTCTTTAGACTCAATATGTGAACAATCGGAAGATTGTTGACATCTTCAGATAAAATTCAGCAAATTAGACGCTCTACCAGTATTTTCTAATAGAATTTTAAATTTTCGTGATTTTTCGTCACTTTTGAGCAGAAAAGTCACTTTTCGGAGCAAAAACCGACGGTTCGTCCGAATTCGTCCAGAAATCAGAAAAAACAGCATTTTTGGGCCAGTTTTTCTGCGAAACTATCTATTGCTTTTCTTTTGATTTCATCTGGAATTCGCAATCTCAAAGTCAATCAAAATCCAATTGAAATCGCTGACGCATTCCATGTGCCGTGGCGCGTGTTCCGTGACTTTTCTCGCGCGAAATCGTCGGTGTGAAAACATTTCTTCGTCTTTTTCTTCACCGCCTCCTGAAAAAGAAGAAAACGCAGGAGAAGGAGCGAAATTGATGCGACGGGAGCACGATAGGCCGGATGGATTGTGGCCGGATGGCTGAGCAATTTCCTGCCCTCGCCGGATGACCGGATGACCACTTTCAGAAGCGAAAAGCAAGAGAGAGAAAGAGAGAGAGGGTGGGTGTGTGCATATGAAATCCTCGAATTCATTGTTTTTAGTTCGACAGAGAGAAGGTGAAAATCCTCACTTTCTTTTATTCTACCGCAGCCACTCTCCCGCTCAAAATGTAGTTTTGTGGCCTAGAATCATGAAATTGAAAAAGCAAAATCCTTATCGGGCTCCAATGCTTCCCGATCCGGACAAGACCGGACAGAAGGTACCTTTTTACCCACTTTCCTTCAAAATTCCTGGTGGTCCCAAAGGTCAAGGGCTGCTCACATTTTCCTAGAAATACACCCCGGTTGCATCTTGCAAAAGGTGAAATCACTTTCATATGTCACCCGGAGTCCCCCACAATTACCATGATATCATAGCCCTCTCTCTCTCTCTGCCTCCCAAAAAGGATTCCAAGTGAGCAAATGAAAGACGAAAATGAAATTTGTCGCCGGCGAAAAAGTGTACATGATGCTCCACCACGAAACCGAATCATTCCACTTATTTCTACTCACTTTCTCCTCTTCTTCTACTTCTCCTTCTTGCATTTCCTTTCGTTCACTTTGTTATGTCATCTGTCATCTGGAATGTTTTCGAGAATCCAATTGAGCTAAACAAAGACTTTGCTGCTCTCCACCAAAATAAATGGACCCTTTTCTTTTCCCCTCAAAAAGTGAAGCTTCTGAACTTCGCCGGACCAAATTCTATCGCTTCTCTTGCAGTTTTTCATCGAAATCAAGGAGGAAAAGTGCGAAAAGGCAGGCACTTTCAAGTGCAAAACAACAGAACACCACCGCCATTAGTCGTTTTCTGAGAACATTTCCCCGCATTGCTTTGAGGGTCTTTCTGGAAATTGCTATCATTTTCAGCTTTATTCACACTTTTTATGAAAACAAGAAGAGAAGCATCGTGTAATGTTCGATCCGTACCTTGTGTCACTCCACCTTCCAGTTCATGTCATTCAAACTTACGTCCTCTTCTAGAACTCTACATTTTTGTTTGGCCAGTTCATCCGTTAAGTTTTCTTTGAATGCGCACTGCAAAAAAAAATTGGTTTTAAAGTCAACGTATGTTTTTTGACTTTCGAAAAACACTTTCCTGATCATTTTTGTGTGTTTGAGACTTCCTAACGTCCCCGGAAATTGGACGTTTGAAATTCCTCTCACCGAAGAACAAACACATTCTCAATTCTAACAACTTCCACTCTCAGAATGCTTCTCATGCACTCCTGGCCCACACATCATCATCATCGAGCACGTGTTCCGTTCTGAAAATCAAGAATGCGCACAAGTTGTTTTGGTCGAAATTCAATTTTAATATCTAAAGTTCTAAATAGATCGTCGAAAAAATCGAATCCGGCCGGTTATTTGTATGCCCTGTTTGGCAACTCACGCAAGGTGTGCAGATCTGCCATCGATGGCCTAGAGGCTAACGCTTTTGTATTTTACCTTGTAAGTTCGATTCCTCAGTGTCATTTTCGTCTTTTGTTTCGAATTCTAGTGCGTATTATGATCTTTACACCCTGAAAAGCATATTTACAACTAACTTTTTGACCTAAACAATACCAAAAAGGTAGCAGCACTTTCAAAAATGCTCCGTGAAATTCGATTTCTCCCGGAATCCTCAGCCAACTTGCTTGGCTAAAAAACAACTGAAAAGAGTTCAAAATGTGCAGTAATTGTGCAACCTAATCACCACAATAACTCGCGTGTCCCTGCCCCCTGGGACCCCCTCCTAAACGCCACGCCGAACATTGGCTCTTTTAAATGTTTTCAGTGGTCTCGAACACCCGCAAAACATTGTGAAAATTGTCTGAGACTCTTTCCGAGGGCCCCCCGGCTGTAATTTGTTTTCCGTCTTCCGAGTCTGCAAATGAAATTCGAGCGGGGGTTTCAGAAGCGTCACTTCAAAAAAGCATCTATTTTCCGCTTCCTCCCAACCTTTCTACTCCTTCTGGAACACTTGTTTTTTTTTTGGATGATGCACTTTTCTCGGGGCTGTAGTTCTCAATTACGTGCTTGTTTTCGAGGGTCTTTCTACCGTACTCATCAATCGCATCAAAAGAGTTCCTTATTCGGTTTCCTTATTCTGAAGTCATGTAGAGATTTCAGTCGAAAACAAACTCGAATTCGAAAGTATCTCTTTCTTTTTGAGACCCTCACGTTCTTTGTTCTTTTTACAATTGCAAATCAAGTCGGCAACGTGTACGTTGTCGGAAATTTATGAAATTCTGAATTTTCTATTTGAGCCGTTCGGCCAAGAGTGCTTTTAGCGGATTTCACAAAAATTGTCGATGTTTTGAACTGAATTCCGAAAAGAACGGCTCCTAAAACGGATAGTCTGTAAAGCACTTCAAAAATAGACGTGTGACTGAAAAGTGAAGCGTTTTCAGGCAAAATTGTCAATTACAAAGTTGTTTGGCACAAAATTTGCTACACAATTTCAGTTGACTACTTTTTGAAACTATCATTGGTTCTCAAGATAGAGACCTCCAAAGTTGAAGGAAGAGTTTGACCTCCAACCCCCTAATTTTTGAAAGAATGACAGGCCAAAATATCTTCTTTTCGTGTTTTTTCACAGCACAGAACATCTTTTGTCTTCACGAATGTCTACGGTACAAAAAGTTGTTGTCGGATGGGATTTCTTGAGGACCACCCCCCCTAAAAGTAATAATAGCACTAGTTTACAAAAAGCTAATGTATTGTCTTCCACCGTGAACTTTTCCTTCTTCTCGCTCATTTTCTCTCTCTCTTTTCAGCCTCGGCTCGAAGCTCCGCCTCCCTTGCTCGTCGCCTTCTCCGAGCCCACCCGCATTTTTTCCGTCGCTTCTTCTTCTTCTTCTTCTTCATAATAGATTCCATTCACGCCACACCAGCAAACTCGCTTCGATCCGATTCGAGAATGACGCCCACGCACTGCCTCTTGTTTTTTCTACTGTGAGTTCGGATGACGGTCCCTGAAAGTTGAACGTTTTGCTGGCCGTGAATCTATGGGAAAACGCTCTAGACTTTCTTAGGCCATGGAGTTCGAACTTTGAAGCTGATCCAGCCGGGGACCAGGCTACGAAAAATGCGTCGTCACATGTGGTTCCCGAAAAAATTTCTCAAAATTGCTAAAACTTCAAACTCCATGAGCAAACAACACTCAGACAACTCATGAGAAGATGGGAAAAAAACGACGTTGTTTTAGGCTTCGAATAGCCACCGCGAACCCGCAAGTATTCGAAATGTTGCGCGAGAAGCCGATGCCGCGAAACGGGAATCTGAAGCAGCCGCTGCAAGTGTACTTTGGCTTCTACGTGGAGAGTCTCGGCAACTTTCGGGCGACCGAGATGACGTTCGACATGGACATGTACCTGTACATGAGCTGGCAGGACGACAGCATGCGGCACAACGGCTCGGAGCACGTGCTGATTAACGATAAGGAGGTGCTCGACAAACTGTGGCTTCCGGATTTGTATTTTGCCAACGCGCGCACGGCCTACTTTCACAAAGTGACCGTTTTCAACTTTAACATGTTCATCTCCCCGCAAGGCACCATTTCGTACGGCACCAGGGTCACCCTCAACTTGGGTAAGATCTAGGGGAGGGCCAGAAGAAAAAGTGAAAAGTTTCGTTTACAGCCTGTAACCTGGACCTCAAAGACTATCCCCTCGACTATCAGACTTGCTACATCAAAGTGATCAGTTGTGAGTTCGAGAATCAAAAATCCGTTTCTGGTTGTGTTTTCAAAAACGCCCATCTTTTTAAAATCGAATTTAAGCTCGTCTAGGCGGGCGCACATTTCATCAAAATTCTATTCACGAGGTCATTTTTGGTGACAGATGTGTGTCTAGACCCTCCGGGATCCCTTAAAGTTGGTGCGAATCGGTCGGTACAGCCGGTTTTTTGCTGCGAAAACACTTTTTCGGCTCTACTTTCCATACTAAATGGATTTATTGTCTTTTGACCTGATATGTAAGCTCAAAGTTGGCCAGACCAGACTTTCAATATCAATTATACACCTACGTTTCTTTTTGTCTAGACTCTAGAGTTGTGCAAAACAAGTAATAGAATAACAAAAAATCAAATTTCCGGTTTCAGACGCCCACGTAAAGAACGAGATGAACGTGACGTGGTTTCCGAATGATCCGATCCGATTCAATCCGGAAATCGACCTGCCCGAATTCCACATCCGCGCTCTCGATAAGGACTACTGCAACGGCGTCTTCCTCTACACGCTCACTCACAATTCCTCGCGAGTTGGCGAGTTTAGTTGCTTGCTGGGAATGCTCAAATTGAAACGAGCGATCGGGTTCCATCTGGTGCAGAGCTACATCCCGACGGCGTTGATCGTCGCCATCTCGTGGGTCTCTTTCTGGATCGACAGACGGGCGGTGCCGGCCCGCGTCAGCCTCTCGTTCACCACGCTTTTGACGTTGAGCACTCAGGTGAGCACAGACCAATCTGCAAACAGAAGAGATCATGATTTCAGGGTAATGGTATCCGATACGCGTTGCCGGCTGTCTCCTACGCTAAGGCAATCGACTATTTCTACGGAGGTTTGTGCGCTCTTTTGCCTCTGAACTAAAGATAATACACTTGGGGAAAGTGCGCTCTATTTTTTTTTCCACACACATTTTCTTGGGATAGAGTGTTGTATACAAAAACATGTTGAAAAATTAGCTGCCGGTGCAGAGATGGGCGTCGATTGGCGGCCGGACGAGGCAACTTTCGAGGGAAAAGTTGCAGTACGCAGTTTGTCGTCAGTTGTGGCGCCCCGCGCCCTCTAACTGTCATTCACCATAGTTGCCACGGGCCGGGCCGGGCCGAAATTTCCAAAACTCCGGCCCGGCCCGGCCCGGCCCGGTCGGCCCGGTTCAAAAAGCGGGAATTCAAAATTTGAATTATTGATCGCATGAAGCCATTTTTTTGTAGAATTAGGGGTTTTTTGAAAGCATCGAACATTGAAAAACAAATGTATTTCTCATAAAAAAATTCATAATAGCAAGAAAACAAAGAAGAAACACTAAAACTTTAGTTCGAAAAATTTTTTTGTAATAACGAAAAATTTCCGCGAAAATTTGAATTCCCGCCTTTTTGAACCGGGCCGACCGGGCCGGGCCGAGCCGGCACTTCACCGACCCGGCCCGGCCCGGGCCGGCACTTTACCGGCCCGGCCCGCATGGCCGGCCCGAAATCTGGCAAGTCTGTCATTCACTCTCTCACTCTCTCGCTGTGCTACCGAATGGGAGAGAACAAGCATATTTCATGGGAAATAGGTGGCAAAATGCGAACCGCTGAGGAACACATATTCAACGCAATAGGGAGAGTTGGAATCTGAAACTTTTGCCATGCAAAATGGCTCCCAAATCCGTGAAAGTCAGGTGCATTTCTCGAATTGGCATACCGATTTCGGTCCAACCTTTTTTTTGTCAGCGCGTATTATTACGTAGAATCTGAATTTAAAAAGAACTCCTTGCACGCTAGTACTAACATTTTTCAGTATGACCAAAAAACCACAAAAAATTTTCTGAAGTTTGAAAAAAAATAAATTTTTTCTACCGCTTTCAGTTTGTATGCTGTTCATCTTCGGAGTTCTTTTGGAGTTTGCACTCGTCAACAGTTACATGCGACGAGCCAACAAGTACAATCATATGGCCGAAAAGATTCAGAGTGCATATGGCGGCAAGCCGATTATCGGTACGTCCTTTTGTGTGTAAACAATAGAGCGCATTTGCTTACTCGAAACAAAACGTTCCAAGTGTTTTTTTGGTTTTCAGCTGCCGATTACGATTCCGACTACGAGGAGGGACCCACAAAATACTATGGAAATCTCAACAAAAACTCGGCACATCTTATGTACAAGGCACTCAAATTCTCACGGAAAGCATTGTCAATCGATAAGGCGGCACGGTTCGCATTTCCATGTAAGTACCATAACTTCAAGACCATACATCTCAGCTGCCTGTAGAGATATCAAAAAACTGTCAACTCGTAAATTGTTCATAATAAGATTTCACTAATTTTATCAGTTGACAAGTTTCAGATATCTCCACAGACATCTGAGATACATAGTTTTGAAAAAAGGTTTGCAGGTGTATTCGCAATTTATAACGTTTTCTACTGGATGTATTATTTACGGGAACCGCCACTTCTCGAATGAGACGAAAAAGAAGAGAGAAAATAATTATTTCATTACCGCATTTCCTTCCTCTTCGGTTATTATATGAGTTTGTGAGGAGCGGGTTGTAGACTAAAACGGGTTCATGAACAAAAGGGACCATCGCGTTCCGGGCCGCCCCATCAGACTTTAGAATTAGTTCCGATTCAAATGTGATTGTCTAAATAGTTGTTCGCCTTCCTTTTCCTCTTTTCTCGACATTTGATCTCTTCCTCTTCCCCTTCTCCTCTCTGTTTATTCCCCTCACAATTGTTGAATGTTCTGTTTCTCGCGTTCTGGTTGAAATAAAAAAAGGGAACAACAAATGTGTATATATATATATATATATTTTAAACTCATTTTATCCAGAACAAAGCGACGAAGCCCTTGTGGATGAATAAAAACAGAGCGAAGGAAACGGATGCCAAAAAAAAAGTTCTCGAAGCTCCAGGGCTGCGAGAAGTGATGGTTTTTCCATTAGTTGTACACCGCCAACATCGTCAAATGGTTGCCTTCCAGCTGTTGGAACTTTGCCTTCTTCTGATCAGTCATGTCCTGTTTCTCTTTCGGCCAATAGAAGATGTTGTGCACGTTCAGCATCGCCACAATCGTCAGCACCTCCTCCGAACATTCGAAGTCGGTCGACATGATGATCAGCTTGGCGAGCGAAGGTTCCAGTGGAAATTCGGTCATCCGGGGTCACAACTTGGTCAGAAGACCGTATCCATCGAGGGCGGAGATCGTGTGCAGCGTGCTGATCGCCGTGATCATCGAGTCAAACGGCGGTGCGTCCATGAAGTCGAAGTCGATCAGATTGTTGAAATCAACGTGATCTTGTGCGATTCTTTGACGTCCTCCTTCGAATCGCCCTTTTTGATCTTCTTCTTTGTGCTGGACATGCTCTGAACTATGCGCAGCACTGTGGCGGTCAGCGAGTCGTCAAACTGCAAAAACGAGCGATTTTTTTGGGATTTTTGAGGTGTATATGTAGAAATGCAGTATTTCAGGAATTTTTGAGCATGAGAACGTAAAAATCTTGACAAAACTGCATGAATTCCATGAGAAACCGGTAAAAGCGAAAAAACGGGTTTTCCCCTTTTCTTAAACCGGTTGTGGACTGAAAATTCAGCGATTTTAGTGATTTTTCGAGCATTATCGCTGTTTCAACATGTGAGCTGTCTGAATATATTGCATCTTCGCTAAAATTTAGGCCTAGCTCCGAACCTCGATGACCAAATCGACAGATCGCAGTTTCCCCTCCATTCTCTTCAGCTGCACGGATATGTGCATCGGAAACCACTGCCGGTAGTCGTATTGTGGCGGCAATTGAAAAAAAATTGCGCATTTCTGGAACAATTCAACAAAAATGCATTGTTTGAGCGTGTTTACTGACCTGCCGTTGAGCAAACTTGCGCCGAACTGGAGAATAGACGTCTCGAGACGGACGACAGCATTTTTAACTGAAAACTTAGAAGAATAAGAAGAAGAATAGAAGAATAAGAATTTTCAAGCATTTTTTAACAGAATTTGATTTTTAGCAGATCATTCTATTTAGTAATTTTTCTAATCAAAATTGCTCAAAAACCCACAAAAATCCATTGAAAAAGCAAAAAAATCGGGGAATGGCCTAGAATCCAAGCGTGGCCTAGAAACGCAAAGAAACTAGTCCCCCTCTGCGGATTTTCCACGATCTCTTCGTCGTTTTCTTCTAAATCGCCCATCTGTTTTCAATTCGCCCGCGAGAGCCGATTCGTCGCCCGCAGGAGCTCGCCGAGCAGTGTAAAAACGCGCCGGCTCCACGGATTTTCCCCCTTTTTTCTCTTCTTTCGCCTCCTTCAAATTATCTGTTTTGCAGCCTCTCGGGCTCTCTAAAAATGTCAGTTTCGAGCAGTGATCAACACGAACGCAACGCAAAACATGTCGATATGTCACTTTATCCGCCTTTTATCAAACAGGTACTAATTTTATTTGTTTTTTTGTGGATGAGTCATGATTTTTTGTGGTTCAGAAGAAACACGGAAAAAAATCGTTTCTTTTTTCAAATTAAAATGTTTGCAGCTTGACGCAAAATTGCCGGATTACACAAGAGAGGGCGATATTGAGTATCCGTTCGAAGAGACCACCGGAGTCGGCGATGAAAATCGGATACGTGGTTGGTTTCGAAAAAAAGTTCCCTCTAAAACCAATTTTTTCAGGAAACTGGGGCAACAAATCAGATTATTTGCTAGCAGTTATCGGATTCACGGCCGGTGTCGGTAAGTTGGACAAGAAAAAACCAGTTCGACTAAGTAATCGATCTTCTCGATCGTAATGTCTTTTCTTCATCTAATTCTCGCTTCAAATTGATTTTCCCCTTCAAAAGGTGCTAAAAAAAGTTTTCCCTCACCCCCTAATCAGTCAATTTTCTGCGAAACGCTTCCAAAGTACGGCGGCGGGTCGAAGTCCTCGAATTAGAATATCAGCAGATCCATCTGACCACCTCATGAAGTGCGTGCGTTATGATAAATGATAAGAAAGTGAGAGAGTGAGAGAGAAAAGAAAAACGGAGGAGACGGAGAGAAAAAGAACTTTGGTCGGTTTGCAAACAGAAAAGTTGTGATACGATACGACAAGCAGCAAAGCAGAGTGTGTCAGAGGATCATCATTAATTTTTGTACTTTGTATCTGATTTTCTGGATGCTTTTTCAAAACGCGGCATTTACCTTTGAAAATTCATATCAAATGAGGTCAAGGTTTCACTTTTCACACAGATTACGAAAAAGTAGAAACGTAAAATTCGTTACTTGTTAGTGTTCGTTCCAACAACACTCCGCGCATGGCTGACAGAAAACAGTCGTCGGACCGCTCGCATCGAAAAAACAGCAAAGAGGAGAACAGAGGAGGACCGGCCGAGAATCGCATTTTTCGCGTTGCGCATGTGTGTGTTTTTAACACGAGAATAAATCGGAAACCCTGTATTTTCGCTGTTACCGTTTATTTTTTGAAGTTATATAATTGCCTGCTTGCAGGAAGTTTCTGGAAGTTTCCGTTCCTGGTGTTCCGACATGGCGGCGCCGCATTCCTCGTTCCCTACCTCGTCATGCTCTGTCTCGCCGCCCTGCCCATGTTCTTCATGGAATTGGTCCTCGGCCAGTTCTCCTCGCTGGCGGCGATCAGCGTCTGGAAAGTGGTCCCGCTGTTCAAGGGCATTGGATTCGCTCAAGTGACGCTCTCCGGCTTCTTCGCCGTCTTTTTCAATATTATTTCGGCGTGGACCCTTTTCTACCTGATCAACTCGTTCAGCTTCTCGATTCCGTGGTCGAATTGCGCCAATTCGTGGTCCGGAGAAAGTAGGTTTGTGTGAACATTTCGGGTCCTAAAAAGTTGTTGTCAGATTGCACACTCGGCACGCGGGTCCGTTGCAGCGAAATGAACGGAACATTGCTGGTGAACGGAAGTTGCATCATAGGACAAGAGGGAACCAACGAGACGTCCGTCATCACTTTGCACAACCTCGACTCGATTCCTAGCCTGAAATATTTTCAGTTAGTGAACATCTGGGCATCGGACCCAATCTTTGAAGGCTTTTTAGTCTTGGCCTGGAGTGTTTTGGTTCCAAGTTTAGTTTCGGACCGATTCGATCATCTAAATAATCCTCAGATATATAAGGAGTTAGGCTCGAAATCCACGAATCTTTAGGCCAAGTACATGAAGCCTGCAAAGTTTGGGCCCGGTCGGAATGTAGGCCATGGGTATAGAATATATTTAGTGAAAGTGAAAGTGTCAGAATTGCACTACAAAGTTGTTATATTTTGAGATTTTTAGTTGTGAACATCGTCCTTGCCCTCAGTGAACTTGATAACAAAACAACATTGTGTACAACTTGCATACTTTAGCTTCTCGTTTTCTATGTCAAAAACTTTAATATACAGTTTTTTCGAAGGCAGTATGCAAGTTGTACACAATTTAGCTTTGAGAACCATATCACAATCACGGAATGGACGTTCAAGTTCTGTACATACTTTGATACATTGATAACTTTCTGCAAACTCGTCTTTTGTAGCAATGACGTGTTGATGCTGTCGAACGGCGTGGACGACTTCGGAACCCTCAACTGGTACCTCGGATTGTGCGTGCTCGTCTGCTGGATCGCCGTCTTTCTTTGTCTGTTTCAGGGCGTCAAATCCAGTGGAAAAGTAGTATCCCCCTTTCCCTTTTTTTCAATTTTTCTCAAACTTTAGGTGGTCTACGTGGCGGTGATCGTTCCGTCGATCATCCTGACGGTGCTGCTCACGCGCCTACTCACTCTCGACGGTTCCATCGAAGCGGTTCTCTATTTTATGAACCCTCGATGGGAAATACTGAAAGATTTGAAAGTGTGGGGAGAGGCGGCCGTCCAGGCGTTCTACTCGGTCTCTTGCTGTTCTGGAGGACTCTTCACCATCGCCAGCTACTCACGATTTCATAATAATGTCTACAAGTTAGTTCTATCAGCTAATTTCAATCAAAGAGCCTGTAAAAACGATTCGAAATTTGCAGAGACATCTGGCTGGTGCTGTTCGTCGACGTGATCGTCTCGCTGATCGGATGCCTGCTCACGTTCTCGGCGATCGGCTTCACGTGCTTCGAATTCGCGATCGCCCTGGACAAGTTCCAGATCCGCGACGGCTTCCACCTCGTGTTCGTGTTCCTCGCGGAAGCACTGGCGGGTGTGCCAGTGGCCCCCCTCTACGTCGGCCTCTTCTTTGTCATGATCCTTCTCGTCGTGCATGCCACTCAAATATTCGTCGTCGAGACGATCGTCTCGTCGGTGTGCGACGAGTACCCGGAACGTCTGCGTCGGAACCGTCGCCACGTGCTCACGACCGTCTGCGCCCTCTTCATCCTCCTCTCCATTCCATTTTGCCTCTCCGCCGGCCTTTATTGGATGGAACTCCTGGCCCAATTCGTGCTCACGTGGCCATTAGTGGTCATTGCCTTCCTGGAATGCATGGCGATCAACTGGATCTACGGCGTCGATAATATGCTCGACAACGCGAAATGGATTGTGGGGCACTGGCCGCCGTGCTACATCTTCTGGAAGGTCCTCTTCAAATTCGTGTGCCCGATGGTTTACCTGGCGATCCTCTGCTTCCTCTGGTTAGATTGGCGCACGATAGAGTACGAATCGTACGAGTTCCCGTACTGGTCGGTGCTCGTCGCCTGGTCCGTCGCCGCCTTCCCCCTCCTGCTCATCCCCGTCGTCGGCGTCTGGCAGTACTGTACGGCTAAGGGAAATCTGACGCAAAAATGGTGGAGGGTACTGTACCCGGACGACGCGTGGGGACCCGCCCTGGCCATCCATCGAGCCGAGAAGTTTCCGCTGCAGATACCGGAGGCGCGGCGGCTTCTGTTGCCGCCAGAGGTCGAGATCGCATCGTCGAGGAGGGATTTGCAGGTATTTCGTGTTTCCTCGAAACTGACTGACGCTCTGATTTTTCAGGAAGAAGAGCTGCTCGGAATGAACGGACGACTGACGAGCGGCGGCCGTTCGTCAGAGTTTCTCGACGGCCGATCGGCAGTGGGCGGGGCCACAGACGCGCGGTCCGCCGCCGCCACGATCAACACGATTCCAAAGTTCGAACGCGAAACGGCAATTTAGGCATTTCTTTTCCATCTTTTCAAACGATACGTGTCTAGTCGCTTACCAATTGTTTCATTGTTCGCCTCCTCCCTCTTCTTCTTTTCTTCTTCTCCTCTCACCATTCCTTTCTTATCACACGCACACACACTTATGCCCAAAACTGCTGACGCCGGTACGAGAAAAAATCGAATTACGTGGAGATGCCGTTTTTTGCAAAATCGACAAATTTTTGTGTGAAATGCACAAAAATTCGTAGACTTTCGCATTTCTAGGCCGCCAAACTTGGATTTATCCGGGTTTTCGGGTAAGATCCAGTAGGACATCGAATTTTACGCGAAAAACGATAGAAAATCGGCTTTTGCGCTATATTGCGAGGCGTGAAAAAAAATTTTTGCACTGGGCCGTCAAACTTCAATTTTCGTGGTTTTCTCCATAAAAATCTGGTGCGAGCCCGATTTTTACGGAAAAAACGAAGGAAAGTCGACATTTTGACCTACAATTTGCAATTTTCCAAAGCTCCGCCCCTTTTCTCCCGTTTGACCTACCGATTGCGAATTTGATTGTCTGCCTTTTCACTGCACTCTCACCGCCCACTTAATCATTTTTCTTTCTCTCTAATTTTGCTTCCTTATCAATGTGTGTTTGATAATACGTTGCGTTCGACGCCGCCCCCCTCCTTTACCTTTACCCGATTTTCCCAATTTGTGTATTTTTCTTTCCCGAATAACCCAGTAATATTTGTGCGTGTGTGCCTAATAATAATGGCTCCTCATAATTTGCCGCGAAACCTTGGTGCTTTCCCTTTCATTGTTCAGTATTTTCAACGAGAAATACGCGGTATTCCAATTTTCGAGAACGAAATAAAATTGTATTTTTGTCTCAATGCTTTGTGAACATTCGTTTTTGTCGAAATCGTGTTGAAAAACTGAATATTTTTCCGTTACCTTTTATTTGAAAAGTTATTTTTTGAATAGATGGCCACCGAGAAGATCGACGAAGAATGGAAGAACATTCAGGAGGATTTTCAGAAGCTTGAGGTAATTTTTCAGAAAAATGTGCCAGCGCACAACCCGGGGATGCTCTTTTCAGCATTTCTAGGCCACCGAAGCGCGTGAAATTCAAAGTTTTCTTGCAAATTTGAGTGCGCGATTAGCATGAATGGATTTTGCAGAAACTGCACGAGGAGTACATTCAAAAGTCGCGACTAGTGAGCAAATGTCAGGAAACGGTCGGAAAAGCGATGAAACATCACAATTATCTGCTGAAAAACATGAAGGAAGCATTCAAACAGTCGGTTTTCAGAGAAAATTGACAAGATTTTCAATAAGTTTAAATTTTAGGACCACCCTGGCGGCCGAGAAGATGACGGACGAGGCGGAGCGCGAGCGAGTGCTGGAAAGAGTGAAAAAAGTGAAAGATGACGTGGCGGGCGTGAATTTGCGCATGAAAGACATGCAGGGAGAGCTGCCCGCACAGACCAACGGATTCTATCTCAATCTCATTCTGGGTACGGGATTGTTGAAGAAGTTTACCAGATTTTCGAACAAAAAGTCAATAATCTGCTAATTCAACGGGTCGTTTTTCTCAACTCGTAAATCCTGTTCATTGTGAGGCCCGGCATGCGCCCGAATTCTTTGAAGGCGCATGCTGGGTCTCGAAACGAACAGGCGTTACGAGCAAGAAAAAACCTTTTGCGGAGTTCTAGTTGACTTTTACCTGACCAATGTTTGCAGGCTCCAACCTCAACGTTTCGCTGCTCACCAAATCGGAAAAGTTCAAGTACAAACAGGTATTTAAAAAATACTCTGAAAATTTTGTTTCTTGAAAGTAGAAACGTAAGCGCTTTCCGGTTTTTCGAGCAATTTTCTAGAAATAAGACTGTACGAAACAGAGCGCGATGCGTAATTTTGGCTGTTTCTAGAAAAATTGCTCGATTTCCGCAGCAGCAAAAACTGTATAAGCTCGAGAATGTAATGGGGTAACTTGTGACTTCAGGAATACGAGGGCTTCAAATGGAACATCACAATCGTGATCTGCGTGCTGGCGGTCGTCTCGTGGGTGTGGCCGTTCCGCGTTCTCGACTCGATCCTCTGCTTCCTCATGGTCTGGTACTACTGTACTCTGACCATTCGCGAGTCGGTGCTGCGCGTGAACGGCTCGAAGATCAAGGGCTGGTGGCTGAGCCATCACTACCTCTCATGCGCCGTTCCAGGCATTGTGCTCACGTGGAAAGACGGAGTTTGCTATCAGGTTGGCGGAGAAGTTGGTGCATCGGCCGATTAACTTTGAGCACTATTATATAGGTTTAAGTTTCAGAGTCCGTTCGAGAAGAAATTTAGTCCGAAAATTCTCTGTGTGATGCGTTTCGGCCTGAATATCTGAACATCTGTCCCCCTTTTTTTATTTCAAAATCGTACATAGAACACATTTCTGAAGGGTTTCATAGAAAAACTGTCGAAAATCAGACCTTCTCAGTCTGCACTTTGAAAGAAAAGCGGAAGTCCGATTTTTCGACAGTTTTTCGATGAAACAAATTAGAAATGTGTTCTCCGTACGATTTTGAAACAGGAAAAGTGACTGACTGGCGTTTTTGATAAAATTTCAGTAAAAATGCATCTGGAGACGAAAAGAAAATAAGCAAAGTGCCGAGTGCAGTGGAGCGCGTTTGCTTAGTCCAGAATGATAGAATAGTGCAAATTTAGAGTGCTAATGAATAAAATTGGGTCCTACCACAACTAAATTCGAGTAATTTAAGGAGTTCCGCCCGCTGTTCCTCGTGTTCGTCTTCTACATTTCGCTCGTGCAACTCGCCCAGAACCAGTACCAATCGGGCTGTCTCCGTCGGCTCCACGCGCTCGGACAGGGTCATCAGATGGACATCACCGTCGAGGGATTCACTTCGTGGCAGTTCAAGGGACTCACCTTCCTCCTTCCGTTCCTCAGCGTCGGATATGTACGCGTGAAATGCATCGTTTCGTCGCAAAGTGCTCATTTTTCAGCTGTTCCAACTGTTCCTCGCCTTTAAACTGTACGGATTCACCTACACGGAGACTTGTGACGGATTGTGGCAGGTACGGGAATCGTTTTTTTGGCTTATGCGCTCTTTCTGTTGGAGAAGCGCCAAAACATTCTTCCGTGAAATTGAGTGTCTTAGCGCAAAAATCTGCAGATTTTTGCACATTCTGTCCAGAACGACAATATCTGCAGGTGTGGGCGCTCGCCGCGCTGCTCGGACTGATCGCCGGCGGCAACATTGTGACGACGTCGATGGTGTGTCTGCGGAAGCTCAAAACGACGCCCTCCTACACGAACATCGTGGCGATGACCCGGAAGTACAGTTCGCGCAACAAGATGAGCCAGTCGTCGGAGCAGGATCAAAAGTTCCGTGGAGCTCCGCCGGCGCCGACCAGCAAATTGCACATTCATTGAGCTCTTTGCAGTGTATTCGTTTATGCATAATCACCTCTTTTTCCCCACTTTTCATGTCCCAGTTTCCCCTTTTTCTATATGGGTTTCATCTACTTTTTCACTAGTTTGTCAGTGTGTGTGTGTGTGTAAATGTAAGCAAGTCTTTTTTTGTAAAAATTGAGAAACAACAATATAGGTTTAACAAAAAATTTCCAATTGTTAGGATGGGGGAGCTCCAGGCTTGTGGCCTCTTCCGCGACCTCTTCCGCCCCTGCGAAATCCTCTTCCGCGTCCCCGTCCGCCTCGTTCCGCGCGTCGTTCGACCACCCGGAACGGCACCGCCGGATTCGTGAAATCGGCGTACAAATTCGGATCGTCCAAGTCGATTGTTTTTGCCATTTTCGCGTGGTGCGTCTCGTCCTGACGGCGATCGAATTTCCGCTTCATATTGAACTTTTGACGTTGCAATTTGTCGCGGTTGTTGCGAGAGGGCAGCTGCAAAAATTGAAGTTTTGAGTAAAAAAGGAGCGGTTAGTGCAAAATTTCGCAAAGACTTTCAAAAACGAGCATTTTGAGCGCTCAAGCGACTGAGCGCACTCACGTTATCGATGAGCGGCGAATCCTTGGCGAGCAGCATGCGCGGCGCCCTTCCCTGCACAATCTGCCACTGGAGCGGCACGTCGGGCGAGAATCCATGGAAAAAGTCGTCGCCGACGGCGTCCGACGTCTTCTGCACGTCGTTCTCAGTGATTCTGAGCACGTCCGTCGAGACGGCCCCTTTCGTGTCCGATTCGCATTTTGCGACGAGTACGAGGGGTTTTTCGTGCTCCTGGAAGGCCAAATATTCGCCGGGCGGCACGGTTTCCAGACGGGCGATCAGGGATTCGAGCATCATCGTACGGGCGGACAGTCTGAAAAGAGGTTCGGCTTTTTCAATTTTCTTTCCAAACTCACATCGCGAGTGCATCGGGCGGCGGTTCCGAGAGATGAATGTTCATGGTGAGCGAGTCGACCTGCAGCAACTGCTCGATGCGGTAATCCGTGCGGTACAAAACGTGCGCGTCGCTCATCTTCAGCACTTGTTTCACATAGTTCCACACCCATTCGGCGGCGCCCAAATCCATGGCTCCGCCGTTCGGAAGGTACTCGACGCGCGGCTCGAAGCTCACTTTTTTGCCCGTCAACGTCGTGTGCTTTTTGTCTCCGATTTGAGAAACGGAGAGAGGCGGGCGCGATCGGATGAGCATTCGGGCGGCGCCGACTCGGAAAATCGCGTATTGAAAACCTCCGTCGGCTTCAGTCGCTTCTGGAGCGGAAGAGCTCTGAACAGCACAACTTTTCTTCATTCCCGACATAATTTCATCGAGAATACTCGTAGAAGACGTGGATTCTGTTGAGGTCGACGCCTCCGCGGCCTTGACTCTTTCGTATTCCTCTTTTTTCGCCGCCCGTCTATCTTTCCGTGTTTCTCCTGGTTTCCCCTCTGAAACTGTCTTCACAAAGTGCTTCTTTAGAATCTTTTTCATCGCCTTTCGTTGAAGCGTCGCTTTTGACATCTGTAATTGTTAGTTTAATTTTTCTTTTAAAGGAGGTATCCGCGAAGAAAAGTCCGATTTTCATTAGTTCTCCCATCCGACCCTGCCCTACCTGGCTAAAGGGATTCGGTTTTGACACGATCACCGTCTTCTTCCTGTCTCCGTTCGCCGCAAACGTGTCGTGAACCTCGACACGCATCCCAAAGTCGTACTGCCTCGATTCCCAGTTGGGAGCCAGAAGATGGGCGGCTGTCGTCGCGTCCATCATGACACTCGTGTCCGTGCACTGATTCAACAGCCTGCGGGCCAGTGGATCCGCCTCGATCGTCACTCGGACCGGCAGCCCCTTCGGCAGCGGTTTGTTCAGAGCACACTTCTTCGTGATATCCGGAATGACCAACTGATCGGCGCCGAATCTTTTCTTGAGAATTCTCTCGACTTTCGGAATGATCGCTTGCGATTCGGATCTGATTCCCGACGGAATCTCTCCAATTTCAATCGAGAATATCGGCGATTTGCAGAGGAAATTAGCCGAGGGCGGGGCTTTCATTCGGATCGAGTGCAGACAATACTTCATGGTCTTTTTGGTGAGGAAGTCGATCGGATGGCACGCTTCGGAGCGCGCGTGCTCTAGCGCCGCCGCCACAAGGGTGTCGTACTCCGCTTCGGACGCTTTTCGGATATCCTGAAAAATTAGAAAGTGCTCAATTATCACTGATTTTTTTCAACTTCCAACTCACTTTAAGCTCTCGTTTATTGGACAAGTGCTGGAAACCGCCGGCGTACATGAGATTCTGAAGCATTGCAATGATCCGCTTCTGCTCGGTGTGCTCGATGACGCTCCGCCCCTCGGAACAGAGCATATCGAACACGGAGGGGCACCACGGCATCTCCTTCTTTAAATTGAACACCTTTTCCGGTTTTCCCGGCTCTTCTTCTTCCTTTTCTTCTTCTTCTTCTTCTTCTTCCTCCGGCTCTTTCTCCCCCAGAACCTGTTCGAGAATCCTCTCTTCCTCTGTCATTTTCTCCAAATACTCCTCCCTCTCCTCGTTTTTCTGTTTTTTCGTCTCCTCGCTCTTCCGCTTCTCGTCGGCTTTCTTGAACCGTTCCGCCTCTTTCCGCGACTCTGCCTCCTTCTTCTCCCGCTCTTTTTCCAATTTTTCGCGCTCGGCCCTTAATTCTCGTTGTTTTTTTCGAATTTCGCGCACGAATTTCCACGCGGCGACCCGTTCCACTCGTTTGAATTTCGCAATCTCGTGGGCCATAAACTCGTCGCCCATGTCCGAATCGATCAGAAATTGCTCAAACTCTTCGGGCGTCATTTGCACGTGCACCTGCTTCTTTTGGTACTTTTTCCACGCTTGCGGATTCGCTTTTTCGGCTTCCGGGATCGCTGAAACAAATTTTTGAGGTCTATCGCAAACAAATGTTGAAGATGACTCTATTTCTGCTGTTCAAACTTGTAAAAGTGTGTTGTTTAACTTTTTCTCGGAATTCATAAAAACTTACTAATCCAAGGCGGTGGCCTGTCCGGAAACAGCATTTCCCGGCCTCCAAATCGCTTTTTCGGGTTTGTAATGCAATTGAGACACCCCGTGAGCACGTGGTCCACGATTTCTTCAAAAAAAAAGCGATTTGAAACTTTTTTTTCGTGAGAAACGCCTCACCATTGTACTTTTTCTCTTGTGTCAGCTTCCACATTGTATTGCACGCCACTTCTTCCGCGTCGACGCTCATTTTTTGCTGGAATTTGCGCTATTTCTGTGAGTTTCGAAAATGAGCGTCAAGCATAATGCAAAAAGGTGTGAGAAAACGAAAACGTGTTTGCAGAACTTCAGCGCTACAGAAGTAAATGATGAGAATTGTTTTTGTTCTCTGAAAATTGTTGAGTTTCAGCTGAATTTCAGCCAATTTTCTGTGAAAAAAGGACAATTTCGTCGTGGCCGCGCTAGCTGGCCTAGAAAACGCTGGCCGAGTTTTGCGGGGCTACACCGTGGAGGCGACTGACGTTTTCACTCGCATTTCGCCATTCGCACACCATTTTTCGTCGATGTTCAGCTCATTTAATTGTTTTTCACAATTGCAGAGAATGGATAATAACCAGCAAAAATCGGCGGAATCGCCGTACAGCTTCGGAAAATCGAAATCCGACGGCGGGCTCGATCCGCTGCTCTGCGGCTCTATCGGCGTTCTCGTGCTTGCGTAAGGACTTTATTTTGCGAATTGAAGGTGGAATAATGTAAAATTATCGATTTAGATTGACGTTAATCATCTGGAGACTTCTGAAAATGCAGAGCGATGAGAAAGAAGCTCGGAGACGGACGGAAATGTTGTTGGCGATGAATGAGGGCGCGAATGATGAGAGAAGAGGTGCCAATGGTGAGATTTAGCATAGAATTTCATCGAATTTCCATCGGTAAGCCAAAACACGACCAATTTTCATTACAGTGGCTGGTGGAATGCGTCGAAACGCGCGGCGCCGTGTGAATCGAGACGACGACGACAACGACGGCTTCGTCGAGCACATGATGAACGACGGAGAAGGAGCGGAGGATGCGGACGGCGATCAGTTCGAATACGACGCCGACGGAAAGAAGATTGGAAAGAGGAAGGCGGCGAAATTGGCGGCGAAGGAGGAGAAACGGCAGATGCGGGAGTACGAGCTTAGGGAACGGGAGGAGCGGAAACGGCGCGACGAGGAACGGGAGAAGAAGCGGGACGAGGAAAGGGCGAAGGAGCAGGCTGAGGAAGAGGAGGAGGCCGAGCGGTTGCGGCAGGAACGCGAGGAGCGGGAACGAAGGGAGCACGAGGAGTACCTCGCGGTTAGTAATTGACACTTTTAGCAGCCGGAAACTGATTTGCCCACATTTCAAGTGAAAAACTTCAAAGCTCACAGTTTCTAGTCATTTTTGCTCGTGTTATTGCTAAGAAACTGCGTGGCGAACGCAGCTGACATTCAAGAATTTCTATCAATGTTTGCAGATGAAAGCCTCGTTTGCGGTGGAGGAGGAGGGAACCGACGCGATCGAGGGCGAAGAGGCCGAAAATCTGATCCGCGACTTTGTGGAGTACGTGAAAAACAACAAAGTGGTGAACATCGACGAGCTGTCGGCGCACTTTGGCCTAAAATCCGAGGAGGCCGTCAACCGACTGCAGCACTTTATCGCCGAGGGACTAATTCAGGGAGTGATGGACGACCGCGGCAAATTTATATACATTTCCGACGAAGAATTCGCCGCAGGTACTTTTTTTTTGCATTGACAATGTGGCAAACGCGGCGCTTTTTAACGCGCTCTTTCGCTCTGGGCCGCCAAATTTGAATTGTTTCAAGTAAGACGTGTTTAATCATATTTTATTTTTGCAGTCGCCAAATTCATAAACCAGCGGGGACGAGTATCGATTCACGAGATTGCGGAACAGTCGAATCGACTGATCAGACTCGAAACGACCGTCGAATAATAATTTTTTTCGTTTTTTCCTCTTCCAAATCGATCTGTAAATGTATGTAACTGTTCAGGAAACAAAGCACTTTTTCCCGCCTTTTTTTTTTTTGGATTTGTTTTCTTCCGGGTTTTTAGCCCGTTCTGTGCCTTTTTTTCAAATCAATTTTCATGGAACAGGTAGAAAAAGAAACATTATAGAATGTATCAGCAACCGTATCCCGGACAGGGATACCCTCAGCAGCAACAACAGCCGTCTCCGCCACTCGGAGCGCCCGCCGGAATGTACGGTCAGCCACAGGCGCCGCCCCCTCGGCAGCCGTCGGATCGCGAGTCCTACCAGACGGTCCTTCCGCCGTCCGTCACTCCCGGATGGAACGATCCGCCGCCCACGCTCCCCTCAGGAACCACGCCGAACCGGCTCAACGCCATGAGAAGACGGCCCGTCGATCCGTCGATTTCGGTAGGGAAATAAGTGGAATGGTTGGCACGAAATTTGAAGAAAACGTTTTGTCGATCTTGATATTTGCTGTATCCAAATTCCTTCGCAATCAAACATGTTTGCAAATTTGAGCACGCATATTTAAAACTCCTTATAAAAGTCAGATATTCTGCCTACGCTGACCTAGTGAGAAAAACGCCGTGACGCACTTCTAAAACCTGCAGCTTTTCTATTTCTTCAGTAAAAAAACGTCATCTTTTTCAGGGAACCGGGGAAGTGGGCCCATCGGTCGGATACGGAGCCTCTCCGGCGTCAGGTCATCAGTACGGAGGAGGCTACGGTAGTCAACCACAGACACAGCAGCAATATCAACAACAATATCCGGCTTACGGTCAACAGCCGCAACAACAGAATTACCAGGCTTATGGTCAACAGCCGCAACAACAGAATTACCAGGCTTACGGCCAACAACAACAACAACAACAACAACAGTATCCGGGTGCTCCAGGAGCCTACGGAGGAGCTCCACAACAACATTATTGATTGATTCATTGATTTATTTATTCGTTGTTTCTAATTGCCTTTGTCCGCATCTTAATTCAGTCCATTATCTGTGATAAACCCCCTCTACGAAAAACGGATCGGGGGGTGTGAGAATAGTCTCACGACCCACATGATAGATTTTTAGGAGGTAAACATTGTGATAGTAAGAATTCTGAAGGAAAAAAACTTGTGTACGTGAAAAGGCGAAAAGCCGAAAGGTAGAAGAAACATGTGAGCCAGACACATTCAATCTTAATCTTATTGCTTTTCGTAGGAAAAAAGGGCTAACCAAAAAGGTTGAGGCTACTGAGAAATTACGAAACAACTTTTCGATTTGTTTATCAACTCCAAAGTATTCATATTTTTTTTTCAAACTCGTGTACTAACTAGAAAAATGTACGAAACTTGAATAGTTGGCATCAAGAACACAGGTAAAATACCAAGAAATCGGCGTCGAACACCCGAATTACTAATTTGAATCAGATCTTTTTTTTGCGTGTGCAAATTTTCGGGAAAACAAGGTTTTAGTGTTAGAATCTGCTGACACGACTTCAAAATTGAGTATAAAATCAGATTCTGACAACTCAGGCAAATCGTTATTAATCTAGCTAGACAATTCATGTTTGTAACAGGATTTAATTCGATTGAAAATTAATGATAAATTTTCTGAATCAAACTTCGGGCAAACCTATTTAGATGATGTTAAGATTGCAAAATCATCTAGCTAGATTAATAAATGGGCCTGTCTTAAACGAAAAAATTGTATGGTTTTAACTGAAAAATTATGACCAACAACAAGCATAAAATCGGATTCTGACAACGCCAACCTTTTGTGTGATTCCTAAACAAATTACCTAATGAGATCAGGTTCCAAGTGAGACTTTCTCACAAAAATTGGCAAAAACTGTTTGAAAACTCGTTTGAAATAGAAATTTGTTTTAATAGAATGCAATCGAGCTCCCAGAGAAGTAGTATCGCAGCACTGCGAAAAAGCTTGGCAAAGTGCCAGCCTGGGGAAAAACGATTAGACTAACAATCATTATCGCCAATTTATTATAGGGGCACCGCACAGAAATGGCGCTCTGTTGAGAAACTCTTTTTGCAGTGCAAATTGAGCGACCTCGGGGCCGAGTTTGAAAAGTTAGGCCACGTTTTCAGTGGAAAATTACTTCGCGGCCTAGAAATTCTGCCAGATTGCGAACAGTGCGCCCTTTCTGTCCGGTGCCCCTATAATAAATTAAATGCGATGGCGGAAATTAAAATTTTAGCGACACCCCGTTTATAAAGTCTAGTTAAGCAATTATTTCTCAAAGCTGTTAGTAAATACTTTTTTATACAAAAAAGAGGAGTACAATTAAAATCGAGCATTAAAGAGAAAGACGTCGTCGTCCGGCCGCTCGTTGTTCATGTCATTTCTCCCTTCCAACCAACCAACCGCCCAACCCAACAATCAATAGCTTCTGGTGATGTCGTCGGTTGGGTGCCACTCGGCCACCCCCAGGTGTCTCCACCACGAGCACATGTGAGAAAGAGAGAAAAAGCCGCGGCTCGCGCCTTTTTCGTTCGATTCTTATTCCGATTTTGCCCTCCCCGCGCGCAACTCTTTTTCGCTGAAAACAATGCGCTAAAGAAAAACGAAAATATCCCCTTTTTTCCCATGTAAATACGTCTAAATCTCTCTCGCCAAGCGTGTGTGACATTTCGCTGCAAACCACAACCCATAATTATCCGAAAGTTGTTCAATTTTGGCAAACATCAATTCGTGCGAATATTTTTCTTGTTGAAAAACAATTTGAATGCATTTCCTTGTGATTTTCGAAAATGTCTTAATTTCAGCGTTTCTAGCGCTCAAATTCCCAAAAAGCGGCCGCTCGTCTATTTTGCACAATTCTAGGCCATCGAACATCACGTATTCTGAATTTTGCTCTAAAAACTTGTCGCTGACTTGATTTTCTTGATGTTAAACGTAAGATTCGTGAAAAAATGGGTGAAAACCTTGCGAACTCTGAATTTTTTATCGAAAAAATCACCAAAACCCGTGCGCTTTTGTATGCTTTTGCAATGTTCATTTTAAAAAAAACCCCTTGTTTTCTGATAATGCTTCTTCAAAAGTTCAATAAAACCCTCTCGTAGCCTGGAAATTTCGAGTCGAGCGGCCGGGCGCGAATTCATCCAATTTCTGCTCAATACCGATTGCTAATCCCCGCCATTCTTGACTATATGGCGCGGGGATTACCTATTGAAAAACGAAAAAAGAAGAGATTATCCGCTTTCCGTCTCCGATTTTGCTCACGAAAGCAAACCAATACGGTGGTTGCCAATTTCAGTCGTAAAGATGATGTCCTCGATGAATAACGCTCAACACCACTCGGCCAATTTCTATGAGCACACTTTTCTGGGTGAGTACACATTATTTTCTGATTTGCGTCTCGTGTTTTTTCGAGTACAAAATGGATTTCTTTCGCGTATAAAATAGTCAGAAGTCTTATTTTTCTTCGCAGAATCCTCGTCGCACACGATGAACGAGAGGAACGGAAACGAGAGCATGTTCTATCGATCGAGACCGCAAACTTCGGGATCCGTCAAGAAAGACACGTTATCCGTGAGTTTTTAGACAATTTTTGATTGTTACATTGATCTTAAAGAGCAAAGGCTAGGCTTTTTGAGCTCTGGACTTTAGACCCCTTAGCATCTGTTCAATCGATAGGGCTCGGCACTTTTCAAACACTTGCAATGATCCAATCGGATCCGAACTTGGCAGGATTCTTGGACTTGGATTGAAGTATGTTAGGATCAAATTTCAAATCAATTCGATTATTTAGTCAGGAGATATACTGGCTTGAATCCTATGAGCGGTTCTTCCGCAAAAACACCATCAGTTTCAAACCGATGTATCTCAGGATCAAATAATCGGATCGGTCTGAAACTTGAGCCCAAAAAATTTCAATCCAAGTCCAAAAAGTCTGTAAAGTTTGGGTCCGATCGGAATATTTGAATTTGTGCCAACAGTCGAGTTTGCCTCGCGCCCTACCCTTTAAATTATTCGGCCAATCTCACTAGAGAGCATTTCCATTTACCGTAAGCACTGTTAATTAAAACCGATATATCTCAGCTGCCGGTTGAGATAACAAAATGTTGTCAACTGATAAATTGTTCTTGGAAATCTTGTGCACATTTTATCAGTTGACAACTTTTGTCGCTCTTTTACACTGCTTACGTTAGGCAGGTAAAACCCTGATTCAGACAAATTCGTGGCCGCCGTCCGAAATGCCGAAGCCGCCGGAACCGCCGACGGAGCTCAGTTTGCCCAACTACGTCGGCACGCCAAACGACGGAAAAGAAGTATGGGGACCGAAAGGGTAGGTGTTAAAAAACTCGGCCACGCGAATTGCGATCCTAGTACAATTTCTAAAAAAAACAAGTATGCTTGCAGAATGCCCAAAAAAGCGGCGGGCGATGTGTCGTTGAGCGGGAAACAATTGGTGCCGTTTCTGATAAAAGCCACGTCGTTTTTACCTTCCGTTAGTTTTTTAAAGCACTTTTTGATTAAAACAAAATGTTAATTGAGGTGAAAGCGGAAGGCGTTCAGTTGCGAATCCGACAATTGGAGCAACAAATCGAGGAGCAGAGCATTTCGGAAATGTGCATCAAGAAGTTGAATTTCGTTGTGGATGGTAACAAATTTTAAGTCAATTATTTATATTTTTCATAAACATATTTCAGCAATCGATCGTGGCGACTACCGAGAAGCGTGGGATTACTACGAGGCTTTGCAAGAAACGTATAAAGAAGAGGTTGGTATGCAGACGCGCTCTATCGCTCTACGCCCGGCCTGCCGGGCTCAGTCACCTCATTTCACCTGATTTTTAGACCCTATATTGTTTTTTACAGATCTCCTGTCAAAACTGGCTCAACGGACTGCGATTACTGATTCTCGAGCTGATTCCACGTCAGAGACCGCCGAGAATCGCGTCGGCCGGTCAAATTCGTAGCTGACAATGTTTTCTAACACACTTTTTAGCCTAATTTCGTGTCATTTAGGCCCAAGTATCTTATTTTTTCTCAATTTTTTACAATGTCAAATTTCAAATTCGCAACGACACTCCGAAATTCCGCCCCTCTCGCCTTGTTTATCGTAAATCGACACCAGCAATAATTCTCCTCATTTTTGCTCAACTCCCCTCGTTTTTCTCTCAAATAAACGCTTTTTTCTCCTATTTTTCGATCGACATTTCGAATATTATGCATTTCAGATGCATTTGAGTCGAGCTCTCGCCCGAAATCTCAACACGCGCCACTGGAATCGTCGCGTTTGGGAGGTCGGCTATCGCGGACCGATTTTGCCGCAACAAAAAGCGTAAGTCAATTAAAATCACCTGCGAAAAGCTAAATTATCAATTTTTCAGCACCGGCCGGCCGGATTACCCAATTTCGGCGAATCGTGTCAATATTTTGCGCGAACGACTTGCCCGCGAGCAAATTGTCATGAATTTGCTCACTCGTCCCTACTCCACGGCGGTAATTCGTCAAAAGTCAGTAAAATGAGTTCATTTTCATGTTCAGGAAGCCGAACAAACATATTTGGAGACGGAAAAGGCGGTCGGCTCGCTGTCGGAGCTCCGTGCGCGGGAATTCGAGCAGTTGGAAGCGAGCCGAATGCCGGGAACGGCGAAAAACACGGACGGCTCGAAGGCGGTGGTCAGACGACGTGCGAACGTCGGAAATCTTTTGCACACACATCAGACGGTCGAGGATTCGCTTGCCGCGTTGGCGAATCGAAAACGATGGGATTGAATGCAATAATTTACTCTTTTTTGTATAGTTTTCTGGTTTTTTAGTGAAAAAAATCAACAATTTTAAACGAAACGAAAATCCTAATTCTTGAGCACATTTAAAAACGCTTCTTTGGGAATTTGCACATTTCCGAGCATCTTCATCCGCTCCTTTCCCTTCTTCTGATGGCTCAGCTTCTTGTTCAGTCGTTCCATTCCGCCGCCGCCGAAATTTCCCTTCAGAAGTTGCGAAAAGTCGCGTTTCATCGGCTGGATCACAATTTGCGAGAGCGCCTTCGTCGACGATCCGATGCACGCCTTGATCGTCACCTCGAACTGCTGACGTGGAATTTCGCGTTTCAGCCGTTGTACGAGGGTCTTGGCACGATCGCGGGCCATCGCGGCGGGCAGGATTTGAGAGAATTCACTGACCTGCAAGAAATGGTAAAATGCGATTGCTTGATAACTCAAAAAGTAGTGCTCACACCTCCTTCCCGTTAATTAAAATGGCGAGTTTGACGAGTCGCGTCTCCTGCCAGCCGTCTGGTTCGTAGTCGAATGACGCGTATCCGCTGGTCAACTTCTTGAGCCGCTCGAAGAAATCGACGGCGATTTCGGCGAGCGGAAGGCGCCAAAGGATCATGAGTCGGGTGGAGTCGATCGAAGAGATCTCTCCGCGCTCGCCCCGACACTCGGAGCACAGGCCGTTCACCGTGCCCATCATCTCGTTCGGCACTATCATTCGGACCTTTACCATCGGCTCCAGAAACTTTTCGACGTCGCTCTCCTCGGGAAACCGACTCGGATCCAGAATCCGCACTTCTTCCTGCCCCTCGTACCGTCGTTTCCGAATACTTTCATTGTCCTGAAAGAGGGGAAATCACTATACTTTGAAAATATTTCACAAACCTTGATAATGGCCCTGTACTCGACACTCGGCTGACAAAGGATGACACTGGCGTCGTACTCCTGCGAGAGCCGTGCTCCGAACACCTCCATGTGCAGCACGCCCAGGAATCCGATCCTCCAGCCGAGGCCCAAGGCCTTACTGGAGTCGGGAGTCACCGTCACGGAGGGATCGTTGAGGCACAGCCGTTCGACCGCCTGTTTCAGACTCTCGTAGTCGGACGTTTCCACTGGAAACAAGCCCGCATAGACCGTCGGCTTCACTCCTTTTATTTCCGCGAACGTTTGCACCGATTCGCGCGCAGTCTCCGCCGAGAATAACGTTTCTCCCACTACTGCTTCCTGAAAATATTGTTTCTGAGTATATTGACATATTTTTTAAAACTTTGCACAAATCAATCGATACAGTGTTCGGTAACTCTGGAAACTCGATTGCAATCTAATTAGAAGAGTTTGCATCTAATAAGAAAAAGCTCTATTTCGCAATCTAATCAGATTTAATTGAAGTTCCAGTAAAATCGTATTAGATTACAATATGTTTTTCCTGAATTGCAATCTAATAAGAGAAAATTGCAATCTAATTAGAAAACATTGCAATCTAATTAGAAAAATTTCAGTGATTGCAATCTAATTAGAAGATTTTGCAATCTAATTGAAGCAAATTCTATTTCAAACGAGTTCGTATTAGATTGCGAAGTTTTCTAATTAGATTGCGATCGAGTTCCCAGAGAAGTTTAAACTTTTTTTCAAAAATACCTGCACAGTCCGCATATTGCACACCAAATATCCGACTTGTCCGGCGCGTAATTCCGTGCATTTGACCATTTCCGGCCGCATTATTCCAATCTCCGCCACGTCATAATATTTGTCGTTTTGCCACGAACGAATTCGATCGCCCTTTTTAATGGTGCCGTCTTTGACGAGAATACAGGCAATTGCGCCGCGGAAATGATCGAAATATGAGTCGAAAATTAGGGCGCTGTAGAAATTTGAAAAATCGTAATAAAGCAAATGCGATCTACCGAAATGGTGCCTGTGGATCTGCGATCGGCGGCGGTACTCGATCAATGATCGCTTCGAGCACTTTTTCCACGTTCAGACCACTTTTGGCGGAAATTTGAAGCGATTCGGAGGCGTTGAATTCGAATAGAGTTTTGAGTTGGGTCTCGACCTAGAAATAAAGAATAAAAACTAGGTCACGGCCGCCAAGTGTGCAAACCGCTTTCAGATCGGCGCCGGGCAAATCGATTTTGTTGATGACCGGTATCATTTGAATATTTTTCTCGAACGCCAACCAAAAATTGGCGATCGTCTGCGCCTGCACGCCTTGATTCGCGGCCACGAGCAGCAGAATTCCGTCGCAAACGGCGAGACTCCGCGAAACTTCCGCCGAGAAATCCACGTGGCCGGGCGTGTCGATCAGGTTCAGCAAATGGCCTTTGTAGCGGAGCGCCGCCGTTTGCGCCTTCACAGTGATCCCGCGCTCTTTTTCTACCTAAAATCGACATTTGTTGAAGCTGATATTGAGTTTATCGTCATACCTGCAATTTATCGAGCATTTGCTGCTGTCCGGGCGGGACGGCTCCGCACAACTCCAAAAGTCGATCGGCCAGCGTCGATTTACCGTGATCCACGTGCGCCACAATTCTAAAGTTCAGAATAGAAAGTTGAAGTGCTATCTATACACGGCGAGTTGAAGCGTATTTGCTGCAAAGTGTTCTCCATTGAAACTGCGTATCACGTTGAAATGTTATTTACGCACATACGTTTCAGCCAGCACGCCCTGAAAAAGGTTTTTCGTACGTACCCGAAATTGCGAATTTTGTCGGGCGTGAATTCGACGAGGTTCACCAGTTTTGTCGGGTCGCCGGCCGTCGAGTAAAGTCGCCGATAGACAAGACGCATCAATCGGCGTCTGTTCATTTTTAATCTGGAAAAAAGGTGAATATTGCAAAAAATGTTTCGAGGACGTAAGAGTGATGGAATTCTAGGCGATTGAGAGGAAATTTTTATGATTCTCGCTCTGAATCGATAATTGTTCAACAGAAAACTCAGGTCAAAAGCCTATTTTTTAGCCAAAATCTAAAACTATCGCATTTTTTCACAAAATACTTTATTCGGAACGCTATTTCAAAAGTGCAAAATGCTGAAGGGTATTCAAAAGTACATCAACTGTTGTGTGTGTGTGTGGAAGGGAACGTCTGGATTTGGACAGCATCGCGACGGAATTATCAGTGATTTAGAATGGGGTCATTCAGTCTGTTTTTCCTTTGTTTTACATCGAAAAAAACACACGGAACAACGGCATAATTGAGAGACGACGATAGTGAATGGAGAAATGTGGATTTTGGGGAAATGAAAAGACACTTTAGTTAGTAAAACTGGGTTCGATTATTTGTAGTCAGAAAAGAACATTGAGAATGAAGGGACAGATGTGGAGATTGAGAGCTTAGGGATGAAAATTAACACTTTTTTGGGGGATTTTTAGAAGTTTAGAAGGGGAGCATTTAAATTAAATTAAATCAATCCAGAACAATCGGCTCCTCGTCGTTTTGTCCGCTGAGACGATGTTGTTCGACGGGCGCCTCAGCCGCCTGCGAAGCGCTGTTATCGACGGGAAGCTCGATTATTTCGACCTCCTGAACCAATTATATATTTTACCGACGAACTGTAAAAAGTTTAAACAGTTTTCCTCCACCTCCCCGCTATTTGAAAGCGCGCTCTATCGACAATTTGCTCACGGTCTTCAGAGCTCACAAATCGAATCCATATTTTACAGGATTTTCTGACTTGGATTGAAGTATATTGGGTCCAAGTTTCAGACTGATCAAGCCCGCGCTTTCGGCTATATCTTGAGACCAGATGATCGGATCGGCCTGAAACTTGGATCCAATAGACTTCACACCAAGTCCGAAAAGCCGGCAATGTTTGGGTCCGATCTGAACATTGCAATTAGTTCAAAAGTCCAGACCTACTTTTGTCCACAAAAATCATGAAAGCGCCACTACAAGCTCTGTAAACCGTGTGCTCGAAATTATCGATTGATTGGCGTGAGGCTGTTCCTAGTTTAGTAGTGTCTTACCGAGTCGTTCTGAGCAGAAGAAGCAGCGGCCGGCGGAGTAATCTCTCTCTCCTCCTCGACTCCGTCTTCTTGTTCCTCCTCCTCCTCGACCACCTCATCCTGCTTGATCTCTAGGATCTCCTGCTCTTCGACTTTGTCCACCGCCGGCGCTTCTTCCTCTTCTTCTTCTTGCTCTTCCTCCTCGTCCTCCGGCTCCTCGGCCACCGTCTTCTTCTTCTTGATCACCGGCTGCGAGTCCTCCTCTTCTTCTTCCTCTTCCTCTTCGATTCCCTCCTCGATCGGCTTCTCTACCTCCTTCTCCTCCTTCTGTTTCTTCGCCGCAACCACCGGCTCCTCGTCGCTATCGCTGTCCGGACGGATGTCTCCGCCCGCCAATCTTTGCCGCTTCGGAGGCGACTTTGCCTTCCGTCCGCGTCCTCCTTTTGGAGGACGTCCTGGCGGCCTCGGGGTGGCGCCCGAAGCTGAAGACGAGGAAGAGGAAGCGGCCGCTTTCAGCTTATCCTTCTTCGCTTTGATTTCCGCTTTCCGCTGCTCTTCGCGGCGGAAAAAGCTTTCTATCAGAGTCGGATCGACAATGTTCTCCTTCGGTTCCCAGCTGTTGTGCCTGAAAATGCGACTTTCAGTGCGTTTTCAGCGCCAAGCAGGAAAATTTGAAGCCCAGCCAATAATGTTTTGCTAAACAATACTTTTTTTTCAAAAATCTGATTCTCAGGCACAATTTGAACAAAAAGGTAAGGAAGATCCTTCGAAAGACGGTCGTTTCAGAAACTTTTAAAACTCTAGTGTGTTTAAAGTCACTGTCTAAGAATTTTGCCTTGATTCATATGCAAATATCAAATTTCAAGGTCTAGCTGAATCAGATTTCATTTTTTTGTCGTATTCAACCGTAATTTCTCCCTAATAGTAAGCATTTGGGGTTTTTTTGATTATGAGAAAAAGGTTTGAACTCTTGGCCTATATCTCCAGAGTAAACAATCCGATTGGTCTGAAACTTGGACCCGAAATACTCAAATCAAAGTCCAAAGAGTCTGCAAGTTTGGGCCGGGCTCAAAGTTCAGCCGTCAGCACTTTTTAAATAGATGTCAAAAAGTCTCAAGAAGAGTTTTGGCAAGCTTTGCAGCGTATTGCCTTTTGCGAATGCTTATGGGCATATATCATTAGGGATAAATTAGAGAAACTTCGTGTAAAGTAATATTCAATGATTCAATAATTTCACTTCAATAAATGATCTAGTCCCATTCCCGCCAACTCACGTATGATCGTATCCGAGCCATTTGATGTAGAACTCGCTCTTTCCCTGCAACAAAATGATGATTATTTGTATGCAAATGCGAGTTTTCTGCGTCTCTAAGGTTCCCCACGCTCTTTTTGCGTCAGAGTGGCCGTGAACAGATCGGCTGCGCCAAAAGAGCGCTTTTTTCTCGTTCTCTCTCTCTACTCTGCGTCTCCGCGTGTGCTATCGATCTCGTGCCTGGCGTCGTGCCAATTTATTATTACTTGTGGGTGTGAACGCGTTTTTTCGAGACATTTCGAAATGTGAGAACGAAAATGAAAATCGTTACCTTTCGCTTTCGATGCTCCAAAATCGATTCGACCGTGTACAGCTCATTGCTCATCGTCACTTGTCGAGTTCGATACCTGAAAAACAAGACAGTTTACAAAAATTGACGAAAAATTTCAGACTATTTCAGCGTTTTCAGAGTCAATGTTGATTTAGGTATAGCATATAGCGATGAGAGAGAGAGAAAATTGATGAAAAAGGCAAAGAAAGAGGAAGACAGAGAGGGAGAGAGAGAGAGAAGTGTGGTGTGGAGGCCCGCCCGGACCGGCCGCCTCCCTCTCCGTCCGCTCCGATCTCTGACCTTGCTCTCGTCGTCCTTCTCCCTCTTCTTCTCATGCTGGCCTTGCTCGCTTTCGTCTCCGGCCGACCGACCCGCCAGCATATTTCTTTCGCACTGCTTAGAGGCACATCAGGAGAGACGGAAAAGAAGAAGAAGAAGAAGAAGTAGAAGGAGAGGGAGAAGGAGAAGAAGGTGATGAGTAAGAGTGCAATAAAGAAACGGAGAACCCAAACAAATGTCGTTCTTCTTCTTCTTATTTGTTGGTGCCAAAATCGAAAAACTTTAAAAAAATTGGCTTCTAGTGTTTTGAATACAGTGCGATGAGACATTTATTAATTGTGTAATTTAGTCTAAATTATTTAGAACATTTAAAATAGGTCTTCCAGCTTGGTACAAAGGAAATTTTTTGTGTGAGACATTGACAATTTAGCAGGATGAAAAAATTAGTGAGAGACGCGTACGTTTGACAAAAAATATGACAACAATGAAAGCATTACGAGACAATGTTGAACTTTGTTGATTTTATCATCCCTTCACCGCTCCTGCCCCAAATAGCGCGCGCAGTTTTCGCAACGGTGCCGCACACATTCACCTGAACACCGAATTCTTGAAAATTAAAGCAGAAAATTATTTTTTTGTTATCAGAACGTATTCTGTCGCCTTGTTGCATCTTCTTTTCGGAAAAAATACACTAAAAACCGACAACGAAAGTGCTTTCACTTGTTTTTTCACTGTCGAACTGAAGAGCAAAATGCGTGCGGCACCTTTGCGAAAACTGCGCGCGCTACTGGGGGGCTTTTCTCAGAGGGCAGGAGCGGTGAAGTGATGATACAAAAATAATGCTAGTGCGCACTGACAAGTTTGAATTTTTCAGTTAACTGAAAAATTCGCGTAATTTCGCTCGCAATAGAGCGCGTTTGCATTATCTTTTGCTAATACCGACAGATCGCTTCGAAAAATTCAATATTTCAAAATTCAAATTTCCTCGGAAATAATACAAAAGTGCACTCGTTGGGCCGACTGATAAGAATTTCGACAATTTGAAATTTAAAATTGCCCGCCGCCTGCAAACGTCGCTCTTATCAGTTGGCTGCTGATTTCATTAAAACGAGTGTGGCATCCATTCTTTATTTAAACAGAGATTTTTCGGAAATGAAAACGGAAACATAAACAAAAACACCGAACTGCGGTAGATCTGATACGGTTTGTCAAATTAAAAGCGGGGGCGGGGGGTGACGGGACTAGTGTAGTCCATACAACGTAAAATTGAGGACAAAACAAACAAAAATCTAACAAAACAATTCAATTATTCATCCAGTCGAATCGGGTTGTCCCTGGAGCCAGCGTGTTCTTCGGCGGACGCCATTTCCGGCGATTGCGGCGGGATCGGAGCTTGCGGCCGTTGGATTTGATTCTGAAATAAAAATAAATGTTACTAGTACACGGAATACTATTCGAAAAATTGAACCAACTCACGGTCTCCCCTTCGGCGAATGAGATTTTCGTCGCGCGCTTTTTTATGCTGCTTGCGGCTCTCAGTGTCGATTTATGGGGAGATTTTTTTGGGAATATGAACAGTGTCCACCACTCAAAACTTTCGTCTCACCGTTGTTCCCCTGAGAAATTTCAGACCTACTTTTGCTCTCAACGACAGTTCGTTCTAACGCGGCGACGCCGACTTTTTCACTCGCCGTCGGGGAGACAGTGCCTACTCCGGGTGTCAAGCGTTCCTCCTCGTATGTGGCTTCCGACGACGTCGGCGAATTGTCGTCGTTCTGCCGATTCGATCCGTCGCGTTCGATGGTGCACGCCCGCGGTTCTTGCCTATTCTCGAGGATCATCGTGAGCTCACGTCGACCCACGTTCGTCGCGTTTCCGGATGCGGGGGGTCTTGGCGGTGGAACGCGGAGAATCGGTCGGGTTCTCGCTGACGTTCCCTCTTCTTCCGGGTCCGGAGTTGCAGATTCTGACCGATCCTCCAGAGCTAGCGCTTTAATCGCATCCACCGCTTGATCCGATGACGCCCCAGCATCTGGAGCCGGAGCCGGAGCAGGAGGCGGAGAGGGCGGTGACGGTGCGACGGTCGAGGACGGAGAAGCTGGAGCAGATTCAGATCCAGAGCCCTGGGCTACAAGTGGCGGAGCCGGAGACGCCGCCGCCGACTCTCGAGCAGAATCGGAAGGCTCATTTTCTGGCTCGGGCTCTGGTTCCAGTACCGGAGCCGGTGAGACCGATCGGGACGGAGATGGCTCTCGAGGAACGGCCTTTAAGATGGCGGCGACTCTCTCCTCGGGCGGCGTTCGGTTCGTATTCGTACGGAACCATTTCATGATCGTGTAGAATATGCGCAACTTTTCAAAGTTTCTCTCGTCGGCGTCCAGATTCAGCGAGAAGAGTTGCACTTGCTCGTGAGCCTCCAACTTCGGAATGACGACTGCGCTAATGTCGCACCGACGTCGCGACGCGTGCAGATTGTAGTCGATGATGGAGAGCGGCGTGCCGAAGCCCGGATCCACTTCGGCCAAATGATAATAGTCCAAGAAGTGGGCGGGGTCGGTCTTTCGGAATCGGCACAGCTGAATGTACTCGAAGACTGCCGTCAGAGAGTTGGTCGAGTCGACTTTCTGAAAAAAAAAAGACAATGTTGGAGAATGACTAGAAAAACGTTCAGACACGTACCGGACCCCTCTTCATGAACGGATACAGATTCCAGCAGATGACATTGTCCGGATGATTGGGCCGCGGAATCGACACGAATCGGTTCTTGCGGTTCGGCGTCGCCGGAAATTGGAACCAGCACGGATCGTCGTTGAGGCCGGCCAGCGGATTCACGGGCTGTCTGTGGAGAATCCGAGGCACCGGACCGGGCACTCGCATGTTCGGCGCCGCACGCGCGTTGATCATGTTGACGGGCACGAGACGGTTGAGGATCCCCTGCTGATCACCGCCCACACCCATGATCCGCGCCCGCTGGAGGTTCTGCAGGTTCGGACCGCCTTGCTGGACCACCGAGACCGGGTAGCGGACGGGCGGTGGCCGGAGTGGAGGTTGAGATTGCGGCGGGAGGGCCATCGGAAAGCTGCGCTGAAATTTGATTATTGTTAGACTCGATGTTGGAACTTTCAAGTTTCAAGTGCGCTCTACTGCACTTTCAAAAAAAAAACAATTATTTTTTCATCAAATTCACCAAAAACTTACGGGCAAAATAGGCTGAACTCTGCGTGGCATCTGATTGGACACTCGCGCCATCTCGTGCTGCTGCTGCATTTGAATCGCAGCCATCCGCTTGTGCATCGCACTAAACTGCTGATTCTGCACAATGTGCTCGGTGGCGATGCGTCCGAACAGTCGATCGAGGTCCTCGTCGCTCATCCGCGACACCTCCTCTAGCGATTTTTCGATGCGCGGCGCGACGACTTTGATTTTCTCCTCGCGCGGAACCATCGTTTCGATGCGGATGCCCGGACCGGTGTACGTCGGCAGTGGAATGTATTGGGTGGTGTCTCCGGGCGGCGCACGCGGACCTCTCCTCGGGCGCGGACGTTGTTGTGGTTGCGGCGGGTAGGGCTGGAATCGGGTTGAACCAAAGGATCCAGAGGAGCCAGTCGCCATAGGGGCTGATATTGGGGCCAGGCCGCGAGGAGCGTTGACTGGAGCCAGGCCAGGAGGAGTGTTCACTGGAGCCAGGCCAGGAGGAGCGCTTAGAGGAGCCAGGCCAGGAGGAGCGTTTACGTGAAGTTGCTGGGCTGGAGGAGCCGATGTTGAAGGCCCGGGGTCAGACGCGGACTTAGACTGAGACTGCACAACTTCCGCAGATTTTTGTTTGACCGGACGCTCCTCTTCGTCCTCTTCATGCTCACCTTCGAGCACGTAGACCTCGGGACTTTTCGCAGGCTCATTCGGAGCCACAGGCTTCGGAGAAGGTCCTGGCTCGGATTCCGCAGCAGGCTCCTCCTGAGCGGGCGGCTGCTTCGGCTTCGCCCTCGATTTCCTGCGTCGAACTTTGTGCAGCGGCGGCGGTAGAGGCGGTAGATCGGAGCAATAGAGGCATGCCATCCGGTACTCCTCCTCGAAATCGCCGTCCTCTTCCTCGTCGAGACCGCCCAAAATGCGTTTACGCGTCCACACAATCTCCTGTACCCGATCGCGCATTCGTCGTTTCATCTCCTCCGTCGGCACAAACTTCATCTCGAACACCACCTCGTCGAGACCGTCCGCGTGGATTTTATAGGCAATGTCGCGGAGCACCGTGTCCGGCGGCAGCAGCTGCTTCCTCCTGCCGCCATACAATTCGGGTCGCATCATAGTTCCATCCACGGTCGACTTTGCGGAAAAGTAATCGATGAGCTTTTGGACGGTGAGCCGCGAGTCGACGGTGAACAATCTTTCCTCGTAGTTGGTCCCATCGTTGCCGCTCAACGGCTCCGCCAAGTTCATGTTGATGCGAATCGCCAGTGTGATCATGTCATCTCGTCCGTATCCGGCGGCCAACGCTTCTCTGCAAAATACATAGAAACATTCACTTTTCCGCTCATTTCTCCGCAGATTTTGCACATTCTTGACCGTTTTCGGACGACAAAATTGGCGTTTTTTTATGAAATGACCGCTTTTTCTGCTTCAAAATGTCGTTGTGTGCGGCGAAGCGCGCAAATTTTTCTTTTTCGCCAAAATCGTGACTTTTTGTAAGCTTGAATTCGCAAAATACGTTTTTCGGCGTGTTTCAGCTGATTTCATAGAGTAAATGAGTAGTTTTCCGAGTGAAAAATCAGAAAAATCGAGACTTTTTTCATTCCGTGCCGATTTTCGACAAAAATAACTTTTTCCGTTTCAATTTTTTTAAATAGCAAAACTCACTTATATCTTTCTGTGCTGCGGCAATCGGTGAACAGATAGTCGGCCAGTTTTCGCGGAACAATGAATTTGGGCCCGCTGAGTCGGTGCGCCGGCAGAATGCTCTTGAACGCCGGCGGTGTTCCCTCGTAAATCTCGCGAACACTCTGGTTCACCTCTTCGATTTCCGGAAGCGTTCCCTTCGGTCGTGCACTTTTTCTCGGCATCTGAAAGTGTGTGCGCGCATTAATTGCGGTGGTTACGGTAGACATTCGGAGAAAATCGGGCAAGGTTTACTATATTGATGGGAAGTTTGGCGGTATCAACTCAAAAGTGGTGCAAAATCGGCGAGAAATAGTGAGAGGAGCGTGGTGGGCGCAGGAAAAGAGAAAAAGAGAGAAGGGGCGAAAAGGACCGGCGGAGCGTTGTGTACGACTTTCCTCGTTTCGCCTCGCTTGGCTTCCCGCCGGCAACCAATCAGCGTAGGCCACGCCCACTTTTCCGGGGGACGTTCACCGTAGTAGACGTGGAGAGCGAGAGGGGCAAGAAGAGAAAGAGTGTCTTTCGGCGACACAATCGATCCATTGTGTTGTCCAGAGTGGTCGGGGCGCTCGACACACACACACACACACTCATACTCACACGGCTCGTCGCCTCCACCCCGCTCGCCGTCGCGCTTCGAAGAGACACGCGACGCGACCGCTTCGCCCCCCTAAACTACCGTACCCTTGTGTTTATGTTGGTCGTGTTGTCCGCTCGACGAAATAAAGAGGGAGAGAAAGAAGGAGCGAGAAGCGAGCGAGCGAGAGAAAGAGCGGAGTGTAAATAGATGTTGAGAGACGGCGGAAAGGGGCGCACCACACGCTCATATCTTTTTATTTTGTGTCCCTCAGCAGCGACGAGAGAGGAAGCGAGAGAGAGAGAGAGAGAGAGAGAGAGAGAGAGAGAGAGAGAGAGACGAAGAGAGAAAGAGAGAAAGAGAGAGGGATTTGACGGGAAGCGGCGCGCATGAGAAAGGAGGCTGAGTGGATAATTGAATGGGCAGCAGAAGGGATACTGTAATTGGGTTAGAAGAAGAAGAAGAAGACGGAGAAGGTCTTCTTTTTTCAATGCCACGTCATAGAAAAGGCATTCAAGGAAGCTGGAAGAGTGGGGGAAAGTACAATAGTTACAGTGCTGGACCGTAACTACAGTACACTACACTACAGTAGGCCGAATTGTCCAAAACTACAGAAACTACTGCTACAGAAGCCTTCGACCAATTGATGGAAGAAAAAAGTGACGTCATCCGTGTGAGCACCTTTTTTTAGATAGTGAAAAGTTTCAGATTATCCTTCAGAACTCTTAGACGAACTTTTGAAACCGGAAATCTCGAAACTGGTACATTATGAGAAGAAGTTGTCAACTAGAAAATTGTGGCGATTGTCGTGCCGAACAAATTCGCAGTTGATAGATTTACTCGAAAACGTGTCACATTTGAGCTATGCCTCTCCGAATTTTCTAGGCACTTTTCCGTTTCTTTATCCGGTCTAAGAGGCACGAATATACTAGGAAGGTGTAAAATTCTACTTTGAAAATGCGTATTATCAGTTTTCGCGAGAGCCGTCGTTTGGCCTAATGACTGGTTGCGAAAAGGTGACACTCTCGTGTGGTGTGTACTAGTCACTCGTGACCCATTCTTGGCTAACGAGCTCGGGGAGTTGTCTATCAGTCTATCAATTCCCACCAGTTCTTCTCAACAACTTTTGACTTCACACGTGCGCGGTGACTCTGACTCATGTTTTTTTTGAACAAATGTACTTTGTGAAACGATAAAAGTACCTTATAAGTACACTGGTTGCGTCGGAAACCTTTCTCCGACTCGAAGAAGAAGAAGAAGAATTATTATGACAGCTGTGGTATTGTGCATCTTCTGAATGAATTGACACGTGTGAAAAAGCAATTCAAAGCATGCACTGTCTCCCCTTCGGCGAAAAAAAAATTTTCGCGCGCTTTTTTGCGTGCGGCTCTCAGTGTCGATTTACGGGATACGTTTTTTCAACTGAAAATGATGTTTTTCCGAGTTTTTCGGATTATGCACAGTTTTCATTCAAAACTTTTGCCTCACGTTTGTCCTCATATGACCGATAGCTACAAAATGATCGCAGAGTGCTCGTGTAAAAGTGAAAATTCGAAGAGTAATTTCGTTTTTTTTTAAATTTGGCTTGAAAAAACAACCTTTCGGAAATTTTGAGGAAACAGTTGACAGAATCGGAAAACAGTTGCCTCACGATTGTTCAGCAGACAAAGGCGATCATTTTGAGCACAGAGACGGCCCATAAAATGCAAAAATGACTGAGAAATTTCAGTTGTTGAGGTTCAGAACTTTCATGAAATTCACAGAAAAATGAAAAAATGCGCGCTTTCTTGTGGGCAAAACGCTAATTTCAGCACACAGCTGTTATAGACTATTCTGACAATCCCTGTTTTACCTAATTGTCCTCATTTTGGCATGAAATTTCGGGTTTTCGCAAAAAATCCAGAAATTTCTTATGGGGCTATTCAGCGTATGTTTGTTTTCCGTTTTTTTCGTTTTTTCTACATCGCTGAATTGGATTTTTTGACGTAAAAAAACAAAAAAAACGGAACACAATCATTTTTTTCACAGCCTGAATAACCCCATTATTATAGGGGCACCGCACAGAAATGGCGCTCTGTTGAGAAACTCGTTTTGCAGTGCAAATTGAGCGACCTCGGGGCCGAGTTTGAAAAGTTAGGCCACATTTTCAGTGGAAAATTACTTCGCGGTCTAGAAATTCGGCCAGATTGCGAACAGCGCGCCCTTTCTGTCCGGCGCCCCAATAATACCTGCGTTTGTTTTCAACGACACTCCGTTTTAACGGGGCGCTCAATTTAGCATTAGCCATTGGGGAGACAGTGAAGTACAAGCTCGAGAAAATACACCGAACATGATATATATATATATATATCGAATACACTTTAAACGAAACGTGTTTTCGTAAACTTTAAAAGTCAAATGCTGCAGTACAAAACATCATTACTAGAGTGACGTGTCGACACGAAAATCGAGGAAATGTCGGGTCGATTATCGAAGGGGATGATCGACAAAAATAATGTCGATCGACAAAAAATGCGCGGACTGTCGACAAATTATCGATCGACAACACTTGCCCAATTTACTTGTCGACAGAATGTCGATAGTCGACAAAATATTTTTTGTCGACAATCGACAATGTCGATAATCGACAATCGCTCATTGTCGATAGTCGACAAACTGTCGACAATTTGTCGACAATTTGTCGACATTCCCGTGGCCTAGAAAACATCACGTGTAGTCCGAGAGGACAATAAATTATCATCATTTTTCGAAACTTTTTTTCTGTGTTTATTACTTTTTTTGTACATATGACAATTGTTATACTGTTGAAAAAAAAAAGTTTCGACATTAGAATCGAAGCTGGCAGCGTGCCAAGGCCCGGCCTCCCAAACGCATATGCTGCGCGGGGTTGTTGCAACATTGCCGCACGCTTTATTGTTCTTCGTTTTTGTCTTTATTTTTCGGCTAAAAATCAGCAGAAATTTGGTTTTTTCCCATTTTTTACCCCTATTTATTCATTTCAATCGGCTTTTGCTATAAAAAATCAACTTTGAAAACAGATTTATCGATTTTTAGCTTGAATTTTCGAACATTTCTTGATTTTGTGTTTTTCTCCTTTCGATTTCGGTGAATTTGAGAATTTTCAGGATTTCCACCTACGGAAAAGTCGAACAAGCAACAAAAGGGCATGGATTTCTTCTTTTCGTGTTAGTTTTTGACGTAACAATAATTTTCTCTCCGATCAACGTTTACAGACTTCACTCCTCCGCCGTCTTCTCCACTCCGCCGTCAGCACACAACGGAAAGTTGAAGAAGCATCTCCCGTTGGATGATTGGCACTAATAACAATTATTTTAGATGTATTTATAACGTTCTCCAATAAATTAAATGACATGACAAGTGTAAGAATGTTATTATCAGTGATATTCAATTTTCTTCTCCTTTTTTCCGGATTGAAGCGTCCACGGACTTTGGAAAAACGGTCGGAGAGAAAATATCTTCGTTCCTCTTCAAACTAATACGACAAGTTTGTATACCGTTGTGTGCTGACGGCGGAGTGGAGAAGACGGCGGAGGAGTGAAGTCTGTAAACGTTGATCGGAGAGAAAATTATTGTTACGTCAAAAACTAACACGAAAAGAAGAAATCCATGCCCTTTTGTTGCTTGTTCGACTTTTCCGTAGGTGGAAATCCTGAAAATTCTCAAATTCACCGAAATCGAAAGGAGAAAAACACAAAATCAAGAAATGTTCGAAAATTCAAGCTAAAAATCGATAAATCTGTTTTCAAAGTTGATTTTTTATAGCAAAAGCCGATTGAAATGAATAAATAGGGGTAAAAAATGGGAAAAAACCAAATTTCTGCTGATTTTTAGCCGAAAAATAAAGACAAAAACGAAGAACAATAAAGCGTGCGGCAATGTTGCAACAATGGCGCGCAGCATATGCGTTTGGGAGGCCGGGCCTTGGCACGCTGCCAGCTTCGATTCCAATGTCGAAACTTTTTTTTTTCAACAGTAACTAGGGGCCACAACGGGTTTCACGAAACTCAAAAATTCTAAAAAAAATTTTGCTGGAATGTGTTCCCCTACTCTATATGAGTACGCTCCCAATTTTTTTTCCAAAATTTTTGGTACATCCCGAGTTACGCCCATTCAAAGTTGGCCTGTTTTCTCCCGGTCGGCGGCAGAGGAGGGGGCGGAGTCTCGCCTGCAAGTCCGCCGCACGCGTTTTTCGCCTCTGTTTGGTGGCTGAAACCAAAGAGGCAACATATAAATTGAAGAAAAATGATGTTCTAAAAAAGCAAAACATCTTTCAAGGTCAAAAGTTTCGAACCCGACACCTCCAGACTGCCGAGTGAGCACTCTGCCACTGCGCCAAACGGGCGGGGGCGCGCCGACCACCAATGGCAATGAGAACGTCGGTTTGCGCGGCCCCCTTCCAGGCCACGGGAATGTCGACAAATTGTCGACAAATTGTCGACAGTTTATCGACTATCGACAATGAGCGATTGTCGACAATCGACATTGTCGATTGTCGACAAAAAATATTTTGTCGACTATCGACATTCTGTCGACAAGTAAATTGGGCAAGTGTTGTCGATCGATAATTTGTCGACAGTCCGCTGTAGGCTGGTCGAACAGGCGAAAACAGGCGCCTGCGCCTGTTTTTTCAGGCGCCTGTTTTTTCAGGCGCCTGTTTTTCAGGCGCCTGTTTTTTCAGGCGCCTGTTTTTTCAACGCGCCGCTGCATCCCTGCGTTGAGAAAACAGGCGCCTGAAAAAACAGGCGCCTGAAAAACAGGCGCCTGAAAAAAAAGGCGCCTGAAAAACAGGCGCCTGAAAAAAAAGGCGCCTGTTCGACCAGCCTAGTCCGCTGTCGATCGACATTACTTTTGTCGATACTGTCGACATAAATTTCCTCGACTTTTATCGACTTTTCGACAAACTCTCATGTCGACACGTCACTCTAATCATTACCGTACTTGACTATGCAAATTCATATAAAAAGTGGTGACACCCGTCTGCAACTCCTTAGGCAAATGCTTGTTTATCTAGCTAGCCAATTCGCGTTCCTAACCCCGACACTAGTTAGATTGCTATTGAAAACTACATGATTTTGCAATCTTATCATTATCTAGCTAGATTTGACCAAAGTGTTTATCTATTTCGCATTGTCATTCTACACGGCGACCAAAAGTGTAGAAAGGGGGGGCGTGGCCTAATCTGAGACGCGTTTTCTGAAAATTGCCGCAATTCCAGCACTTTTCCGATATTTTTGTGTGGTGATATCGACGAAAGAAGAGACATTAAAGAGAGAAAACATTGAAATTTTCGTGAAAACGCCGCGTTTGAGACGTTTTTGCTTTTGTCTCGGATGAGTCACACCAACATCTTTTTGTTTCGCAACTTCCGTTTTCTCTCCATCCGAGTCCATTTCGCAACTGGGGCAAGCGAGAAGAATTCGGTTGCAAACTGTCCTCTTGTTTTTTCTTCTTTTTCTCTTTCCGCTCTCTCTCTCTCTCTCGCCGTTTTCTCCATAAATGGTATGTGGTTGAGCGGTGCCAGGGGGCTGTCATTTGCGGCAGTTAAAACGGAACGGGCGGCCAAATGACAATGACTCATCGGACATTTTGTAGCAGGCCAAATGTTCATTGAACACAGGAAAACTGATATCGCGCTCCATCGCTTTAGTTTCCGCAATTCTAGGCCACAAAAGCCCGCGACATTTAGATATTTCTTGAGAAAACGCATGTGATAGACGAGCTTTTGTGGCCTAAAATTGTGCGATGGAGCACGTTTGCAACAACCGAATCAAAAAGGGGCAATACAGATCAAGTATACAGAAAAGAACGGAAAAAAATAAATTATTTCTTAGAAGAGCCCTCTCGTCACACCGTCCGGAATCTCATTCTTGTGATCTTTGAGCTGCGCACGAGACTCGTACGTCGCAATTGCAATCTGAAAATTGGAAAAAGTGTAATTTGTGTGAAAACTAGGCCAGCGTACCCTCTGCCGGAACTCGTGCTGAAATTCTCCGCGCAGTCCGATATAGTACACCTTTGTGGTTTCCTCGCCAAAGTTGGCCGAAACGAGCACACTCAAATGGTGCACATTTGCGAATTTCGACGCCTTCAGCGGATAGTCGACAAGTCCGAGCGGGTCCTGTTTCAGATCAATCTCCTGGTCCGCTTCGATCGAACAGTTGTCGAAGGACATCTGCAATTACAGGAGGAGGTTTCGGGAGGCGACCGGTTATTTTGGAAAAATAGTGGAAAGCCTTTGGTTTGCAGGCTTTTCGGGTCTAAACCTTTACTGTTCAGTCAAGACGATGTATCTCAGAAGCCGGTGAAGATATCCAAAAGTTGTCAATTGATAAAATGTTCAAAATTTCCTAGTAATTATTTTATCAGTTGACAACTTTGCGACATCTCAACCGGCAACTGAGATATACCGTTTCGAATATACGGTAGTAATCTGTTCGTAATAACAAGTGAGATAATCGATAATGTGCGAACCGCCTCTCGATCCTTGAAAATGCGAATTTTGGCGGGATGCGTGCCGTCCTCGTCGCCGATAATCGAAATGCCGGCGAGACGGACGTGTCCGGTGAACGGAATGTTGAACAGAAGCTCCGGATCGCAGTCCGACTCGACGAATTCGCTTCTGAAATGTTTTGCGCTCTTTCAGATTCAGATTTTGCTTCAAGAGTTACAAAGCAATCACTAAAGCTAAAAGTGCGACGGAGCGCACTTACACGCACCGATCGTCGCGTCTCTCCATCACTTTGAACACTTTCCGGCCGTCGCCGTCGACGGATTCGTTCAGCGTCGTCACTTTTTCCAAATCAATGTAGCTGACCATGTCGTATCGCTGGACATCGTCGCCGGAAACTTCCGGAATGTGCTCGGCGCCGCAATTATTGTGCGAGTGTCCGTGAGAGCACATTTTAGGCCTAAAAATTTAAAAATCTAGCTGCAAGAATTTTCTTTTATTGCCACATACACTGTCCGAGTCCCAACTCTCCCGAATGCCTAAAAACGGAACAGCGCGCAGTGTTAAAGTTGTGGCCTAGAAAACTCTGGTGTGTAAACTCATCCCTGCTGATATCATGACACTCTTGCATTTTGACAATCTGTTAATCCGAGGATTGCGGCAAATACAAAAGATCCCGTCGTCTAGGAGTTTTCTAGGCCACGGCCACAACTTTAACTGTGTGCTGTTCCGTTTATAGGCATTTACAATGGGGTTATTCAGGCTGTGAAAAAAATGATTTTTTTTCCGTTTTTGACCGCTAGCGGTGTAAAAAACGAAAAAAACGGAAAACAAACATACGCTGAATAGCCCCATAAGAGTAAGAGACAATTCAGAAGAAAGGCACATGAACTCGCAAAAATATTGGTTTTGAACCGTTTTTTCCCCCGAAAATGTTCAATTCAAAACAATTTTATTGTGATTTTTTGGTGAAGAAAATGGGAGAACATGTCAAAAAGTGGGGGGGGGGGTCTCAACGATATTCAATCGATAATACTTTAAACGAAGAACTTTTTGGGGGAGGGGTGAATGAGATTTTCGAGAGTTAGTTGAGAGAAAATCAGAAAATACAACAAAAATACAAGCACGACGAGACAGGGGGAAGAAGAGAGAAAAAGAAAGGAAAAAATAGCCGTAACAGGGTTAAAACGATAAGGGAACACTTATTATGCAAAAGCGGGAAAGCGAAAGGCATTTTTGGAGAGAGAGAGAGAGAGAAATTGCGAAAAATGATGGGATGGTCAGAAAAAGGGTTGTTGGTCCACTTGCAATGGTCCGATCGGGCCCAAACATCGCAGGCTTTTTGGACTTGGCTTGAAGTGTATTGGGTCCAAGTTTCAGACCGATCCGATCAGCAGACTGAAGCTTGAACCCAAAATACTTTAAGCCAAGTCTAAAACGCCTGCAAAGTTTGAGCCCTATCGGACCATTGCAAGTGAGCCAAAAGTCCAGGCCGGCCTTTTGTGCAGCTCTGGAAAAACATGGAAATAAGTTAGTCAGGACCGGGCAACCAGAAATGAGAGCGAATGCAATATTTTAAAGTAATGCAATCAAACTTTCAGGAGCCGATCGGATGATCCTAATAGATGGTCCCAAAGCCCGTCCCTGATTAGACATACGTTAGACATACGAAAGTGCAATGAAAACAACTAGAGAGAAATCATGAAAGAACGGCGGGGTGCTCAAAAACAAGATGCTCCGCGGAGACGGCTCTTTTCGGCGCGCCCGATTGCACTTTGTCCTCGAAGACTCGACTCAGCGCCTGAAAAATTGGGTTTTCGACGACTTGTCGAAGAAAAAAGTTCGTTTTATGGATTTGTCGTCCATTTCGTTCGCAGTAGAGCGCATTTCCGACTTTTTCGGAAAAATTCAAGCCTACCTCTAATCGCTTGGCGCGTTCTTTGTACAACGGCTGAATGGGCAGCTGAAGGTCGTTTGCGAGCGCCAGTGTTCGCAAATCGAAATAATATTTCGCATAGACCGACGAGGGCACCTCAATGTTGAAATCTAGGCACTCCAGGAATCGACGCTCCAGTTCGTTCCTGCAAAAGTAGCAACAAATTGCAAAGAATTTCCGGTGAAAAACAAACATATCGTCGACGTTGGTGTCTCTGAGAATCTGACAATAGTCGACATTCCAGACGGCCTGATCGTCCCACACTTTCGACGCCAACATTATCGATCCGAGCACGACGCGGCGCCAGTTCGACGGGCACAGATCCATTTCGGCGTAGTTTAGGAGGCGTTCGATGTACACCTGAAGAAAATGTGTTTTTCTCACACGAATCACTGAAAAGATCCCGATAAAAAGATCAAAATTCAAAATTCGTGCGTTTTGTGCGACGGAGCGCGATTGCACACCCACCAGTGTGATAATCGCACATTCGGCGGTCAATTGAGCGGAACTGAACAAATTCCGAACAAATCGATAAATGTTGCGGTGATCCGGATCGCGAGTCATTTGTTCCGGAGGAATTGGATCTCTCTGAAACGAAAACTTTCAGAGAATTTGAATGAAAATCATTGACAACGAACAAAAATGGGATGAAGTCGTTCCTCGAAAATCTCCATGAGTCGTTCGTGTCCGCGATTTTTGCGATTCGAAATGTGATAGTAAATCGCCAGCGAAATGCATTTTATCGTGTTTTTCAGGTGCGGTTGGCTTACTGTCGAGTCGTCTGCAATTGTTGACAATTTTAAACGAAGAAAGCCCGAATTTTGCAGAAAAATGGAAAAGCTCCACTCACCGATATAAATGGTGCTGCAACTGGAGGATTTTCGCAAACTTCTCGGCAAAACTCCGGGATGATGCCCTCCGGCGGCCAGCACGTCCAGCATGTAGCACGAACGTCGGTTGTCTTTCACTGAAGACAAAAACATGTTTTAATTATCGACTTATGTGAGCACGAACATTTCATCTCGCTTTTGCTTCTCTCCATGAATGTTGGCCGCGCCGTCGGATTCGTCGATGGATCTTCTTCATAGCCTGTAACTTTTTTGGGTCAGCAAGTGTGGTTTCTCGCTATTTTTCACTCCAAGATAATTTGAAGATTGTTTCACTCATTTTTGCATAGAAATTCGTAGCATAGCTTTAAAAAAAGTTCTCCACTATTTCAAGAGCAAAAATCACAAAAACAACACAATTTTCTTCAGAGTTACCTTCGGTGGCTTCCCGTTCGCTGATATGTGGCAAAAAGTTGGTGGAGGTCTCATCGCGTGGAAACACTTGATTTACGTACTGGAACTGCAATAATCTCTTTCCATTTATTATCATTATCATTTTCGTGTGCGTACCTCCACCTGATTGGTTCTGATGTACTGTCCGTCGTTGTTGTACGTCTTGTCTTCGCCGCTGGATGACCTAGTTCGCAGGCAACACGACGAATTTCCCATTGCGCCTGCAGAAATCGCGTTTTTTTCGTAATGTCACCCCTAAAAACTACTTACAGAGCACAAGATCGATCACGATTATCGCATTGGTCGGCGCGGCGGACCTGGAATCGCGATAATTGCAAAAATTGAAACGGATGGAAAATCGATAGAGTTGCGGTGAGCTCGAGCGCAAAACGACGGTTAAGGTGAGTGGGGGGCAATTTGGAAAGGTTCTGAGCACACGAAAAGACTGGAATTAACCGGAAAGCTCGAAATACCAGCTGAAAATCTCAAAATTCTGCCGATTTCTGTCAATTTCACGGGGGCGAGGCGAAAAGTGGGCGGAGCCTAGTTGTGGGCGGAGTCGGTGAAGGCAACTGCCGCACGCGTGTCTCTCGCCACTACGTTTCCGATCAATTTTCAGCCACGTTAAATTTTTCGGCTAAAAATTGAGCATTTTCAAGTTCAAGGCTCAGTCAAAGGCTACTTTCTTCGCGTTTATCTAGAGAATCATCTTTAAAATTGAGTTTTGCAGAGGAAAATGCAGTGGTTTCCGGGAAGTGTGGAGACGGCGATCCAGATTTCGCAAAAAAACGAAGCATTGCTCATCGTGTACATCACGAACGACTTGCCCGACGGAAAACTGCTCGACTCGTTCTGGGAACGCGTCGAGGCCAACTCTTTGGGCGTGCCGACCGTCGGAATACGGCTCCTCGAGAGCGACACGGCCGCGAAGCAGTTTAGAGAGTGCTGTGAGTTTTGGGGCGCTTTTTGTTAAGGGTTTTAGCATTTATTTAGCAAGATGCATCGATTTTGCTTGTTTGTTTCCGTATTTTTACGGAAAGCGAACAGAGTAGAGTGCTGGAATTTAGTGCGTGCTACCATGGGTGCAGTTCACTGCAATCGCACTCTGCAATTACATGGGGGGACAGTTTGAACGAAAAATGCATTATTTACGCTATTTCAGACCCGACTCCGATCATCCCGGCCGTCTACATGATCGATCAGCACGGAAAACCGGTGGCCGTGGTCACGACGCTCGTCGGGCGAAATTTCGACAGCTTCTTTGACAATCTCTACAAAGGCGCCTCGTTCTTCGCGAGTCGCTCGCCCAAGTGCGGCGGAACAGAGGCGCCGCGGTCGATTCCGTTCCCGCCGCCCGGATCGGATCCCTCCGAATTTGAGAATGCGATCCGAGAGGCGGCGGAGGCCCGCGTGGCCGAGCAAGCCGCCGAAAAAGCACTCAAAGTGGAGCGGGCGAAGAAGTTTATGGAGATGAGAAAGGCGCGCGATGAGGAGAACAAACGGATATTCCAGCAGAAAGTTCAGCAATTGAAAGTGGAACATGAGTTGCGCAAAAAGGATGAGCGAATAAAAATGTCAGCGAAAGTCACGGTCAACGAGGAGAAGGATCGCATTCTCGCGAAGATCAAAGCCGACAGGTACGATTTTCGCACGTTTTTGGGTGAAATTGAACATTCAGGGAGAATCGTGAAAAACGCTGCAACAACGCGACAACTGCAGCTGCTGGCGGTAACTTTGAGAAGAAAGAGCAAAAAGAGAACAAGGAGGAGAAAGAGCAAAAGCCGACGGAAACGAAGACCGTCCAGTCGGACAGGTAAGAAACAGCGATACTTGAAGCGGCCCGGAACGGGTTGAATTGAATATTCATTTTTCCGGTTCCAACTATCCTAGATGCGCTTTTTGTACTATCAGGACAAGTGAATGCGCTCTGTTGAAATTGTGATCTCTTTGAAACTCGTTTCGCGGCTGCAAAAGTAGGCCCTCCGCGCAAAAACAGAGCACATTCACTTTTAAATGCCCCGATAGTAGTAAACCGGCCGGGCTCTTGTCTTACACCTTTCCAAAATTTCAGATGTCGTCTGCAAGTGCGTCTTCCGGACGGCACCACGTTCATCGAGGAATTCCCGTCGAACGACGTGCTCAACTCGCTCGTCGCCATCATTCAGCAAAAGATCTCTGGGAGCTTTGAGATCACTCAAACGTATCCGAGACGCGTGTTCACTGTCGACGACTACAACAAGACGTACCTCGAGAATCAGCTGACACCATCCACCGCTCTGATCGTCATTGCTGTAAGATAGGCTTCTAGGACTTGGGTTGAAGTATCTCGAGTCCAAATTTCAGACCGATCCGATTACTTATCTAGTCCCGATTAGGAGGAGTTTTCGGGCTTTTCGGGCGCGGGACTAGATAATCGGATCGGTATAAAACTTGAGCTCAAAATACTTCAATCCAAGTCCAAGTTGCCCAAAAAAAAACCGCCGAAATTCCAGAAGCCCTCGAAGATCTCCTCGGCGATCATCGCTCCCAGCGCCTCGATTTTCTCGCTCATCCTCTCGCCCGTCTGTATGTTGTGGAGCTGGTTCGTCGGAATGTTCAAAGGACGTAAAGATCCGAAAAATGAGAAGAAGAAGAACGAGGGTCCGGGAGCGTCTGGAGCACAGCCGAGACCACGTGGAATGCCGAGAAGCGCAGAAGTGCGTCGACGCGGCAACGTGGCCGGCCTCGTGAATCCGAACGACGACGATCCGGAAGAGCAGGCCAGCTTCAACGGAAATTCGACGCAATTTATGTGAATTTTGTATCAATGCCGCCATTTTTTCGTTTTTTCTGTCCATTTGATGTGCATTCCCCCCAAATCTATACCAAATAAGCTTTGAATACTCTCTCCCCCGGTAGTTTCTAGTTTTATCGAAAAAAAAACTGACACAACAATTGATAATACTCATTGGAATCAACAACGAAACAAATAAAGACACTAGTGGATTTGTTTCGGTTTTTTGTTGTGAATAGGAACTGAACCATATTCCCATATCTTGTCGCTTGTTTTGCTTGTTAATTTTCCCAGTTAATCGATATTCAGATGTCGGAGAACGTAACGGAAGAGCCGCAGTATATCAACGTGGAGATATGCGTTGATAACATGGAATCGGCGGACGCCGCAGTAGCCGGAGGAGCCGATCGGCTCGAAGTTTGCTCCGCACTTCAGCTCGGCGGCCTCACACCGACTGTCGGTAAGCAAACTATTGATTTTTCCGACTTTTTACAGAGCTTTTCCACCCGGGTTTTTGTGTTCGATTAGTGGGAAGAACTAGAGAAAATCGAAAAACGGAAGCAAAAAACTCGTTTTCTAGGACAAGAATACGGTATTATTCCAAGGTCACAATTTTTTCTACGGCCCAGCCCAAGCCGCCCGGAAATCGCAACTATGTGAGACATTGCAGGATTCGTGTCGGCGATCCGTTACAAGTACCCAGACGTGCCGTTATTCTGTATGATTCGTCAGCGGGCCGGCAACTTTGTGTACACGGCCGACGAGATGGAGACGAATGTGGAGGACGTGCAGTGGCTGATTAAGGCCGGCGCCACCGGATTCGTGTTCGGCGCGTTGACAATGTCAGTTCAAAGATTTTTTTATTATTATTATTATTTATTTACGTTTATTAGCGTGGAGAAGGAGAAAAAAAGAGGGGGAGGAGATGTGGGGGAGTTGGGGGAAAAAAAGATATCGTTTTTCTAAAACCCGACTCCCTCTTTTCCAGACAAGGCATCGTGGACCACAATGCTTGTCAGCAAGTAATCGAGGCGGCGCGCCCGTTCCCGGTCACGTTCCACCGCGCGATCGACGTGACGTTCGACTGGAGATGCTCACTGGAGGACGCGATCGAGCTCGGCTTCAAAGCGGTGCTGACGAGCGGACAGGAGCCGACCGCACTCGACGGAGTGCACATTATCAAGGAGATGCAGGAGAAGTACAAGGACCGCATCGACATTCTCGTCGGCTGTGGGGTGAACAGCTCGAACGTCGCGAATCTGGTCGAATGGACCACTTGCAAGTGGTACCACGCCTCCGCGTCCTTCCCCAGGAACTTCAAGGTAATTTTTTAGCCAAAAAAAACATTTCTGTCGGTTTTTCAGTTAAGCAAAGTGCAAATGGGCAAACAAGACAACCAACCGATGCGCGTCACCTCGCTGGACGAGGTCAGAATGCTCAAATCGACCGTCGCCTACGGATTCTACTAAATACTCACTTTTTTTTTGAAAAAAAAATTATATTGCATGCTTGAGAATTGGAAATTCATAATATTTGTATTGTATTTGAATTTTGTGTGATAGAGCGCGATTTCTCCATCAATAGATAGTATTTCGACTTAGAATTTTTTTGTGTGTGATATGTGATTTTCCCCTCCCCTCCATTCAAATCTAGTTATTTTCTTTTCGCTCAAAACATAGTCTACGGGATTTTGCTTGGTTTTTTGGAATTTGTGCTTGTGATTGTCATTTTTGTTTTGCGTTACGGTAGAGATTAAAGGCGCACGCTTCGATAAGTTTGGCAAGTCCGCAAACACGGCGCCAAAAATTGTCGTGAAGAACGGCGCGAACACACTCACTCACTGCAAAATATCATCATTTTTCGCAATTGTTTGCATTTCTCTCTCGTTTCTCCTCCTTTTTTCTGTCGCCTTTACTGATAAACCGTTTATTTGGCTATCGCGTACATTTTCCCACCTCCGCCGCTACAAATGATCAGGTTGTTTTCCAGGTTTTTGAGCCAAAATGGCACAGATCGCCGTTCGGAATGGAATGCAGGCGGTCGGAGAGGGACTCACGAGTCTCGTGATCGTCGGAAAGCGCAGTGCCCTTCAGGCAGTCGCTTTCGACGCAAAACTGCAAAAAGTCGTCGGGAAATTCGTGGAAGGTTCGCGTTTTTCGTAAAGATTTGATTTTATTGAATGAATTCACGTAAAAGTGAAGAAGAAAGCGCATTTTCGTGAAGAAAATCATAAAAATGATTCGGGAAAATCGAAAAAAAAACAGTGAGAGCTTTCTTGCAGACAGTGCGACGTGGAGCAACCTCCAATCACGGATCCCCTCATCGGGACGTCTTCCGTTGCACTACGACCTGGCGCACGTCATCTCGGTCTCCGACTCAGCTTCCCGCCACAACACCCCCTCCAATGCGCATGCGCTCTACCGCGACTTCAAATCGGTCACTTTTCCGGAAGACGTCAAAAATGTGCACATTGTCCTCTTCGCCGACTACTCGGACGTTTTGCCGCAAGTCTCGGCGATCGCGCGCACGTTTTTCAAGTTTTCGATGAAAACGACGGGGCTCCGCGAGCTCGCCGTCAACATCGACGTCGTTTGTCCGAAGGTACGGCTGATTCATTGATCTTTCTCCGCTTATCGCAAAATGACAGGCAGCAGACACCATGTGCGCTATCTGCAAAAATGTAGAAATGGAAGTGTTTGGGCGATTACATCATTCCCCTGGAGACGGTTTGAGAGAGAGCTTCACGACAGTTTCTAGTGATAACGGCCGGAATTCTTTGAGAAAAAATGGGGAAGAAGTGGGGTGACGCTAGGAAGAGGAAATTCCGGGCCGGGCGGTTGCAAGTCTGCATAGTTTTTTTTATCAATCACTTACAATTGGCACAGGTATCCAAACAGTTGGGGGCGAAGGGAACCACAGGTCCCCATTCCATGCAACACTTCATTTGGTACCACGAGACGGGACCACCCCCGTCCCATGCCGTTCGGATACCTGCAATTATCAGGCTTAGAGTGTGTTCAGTGAAAATGGTTGATTAGAGCTGGCTCAAAAGTAGTTTGAAAGTTTGAAGTACAATTTCCCATTTCCAGCTGACGAATGAAGATGCACAATACCTGGGCGATTTGTGCGAATCGATCCGCGAGACTGCCCGTCTGGTGGACACGCCCGCCAACATTTTGACGACCGACGCCCTACTCGAGGAGGCGCTCAGAGTGGGACGGGCGGTCGGAGCCAAGACGACCGTCATCCGCGGCGAGGAACTTTTGAAGGCCGGCTTCGGAGGCATCTATCACGTCGGAAAAGCCGGTCCCACCCCGCCGTCTTTTGTGGTTCTCTCGCACGAGGTGCCCGGATCGGAAGAGAACATCGCACTGGTCGGAAAGGGAGTCGTTTACGATACGGGCGGCATGCAGATCAAGGGAAAGACCGGAATGCCCAGTGAGCAAAATTTTGGTTTTGCTTCAATTATTGAATTTGTAATATTCAGACATGAAAAGAGACATGGGCGGTGCGGCAGGAATGCTCGAAACGTTTGGAGCGCTCGTAAAGAACGGATTCGGACAGACGCTCCACGCGTGTCTTTGCATTGTCGAAAATCACGTCAGCCCGATTGCCAAGTACGTTTCAACGGGTTTTTTTTTCAGTTAATCTCCAGAAATCGAATATAGACTTCTCTGTTGCTTTAGATAAAAGTTCGATTGTATTATGTTCTTCGAAATGAGCCAGTAAATGTAAGGTTTCTGTGGGAAATTGTAGCATCGGTGGAAATTGTGAACCTGTAACTTTTTACAGAAACCTTTAGTTTGAAGAACAGGACACAATTGAACTTTTATCAGAAAACAGATATCTCTATGTTCTACTTCTGGAGATAAATTGATAAAAGCGCTCGTCGCATGTGGTGGTCAATTACTATTGTTTTCCAGCAAACCAGACGACGTGATCCGAATGCTGAGCGGAAAAACGGTAGAGATCAACAATACGGACGCGGAGGGCCGTCTGATTCTGGCGGACGGAGTGTACTACGCGAAAGAGACACTGAAGGCGAGCACGATCATCGACATGGCCACGTTGACGGGCGCGCAGGCGTATCTCTCGGGCCGTCTACACGCGGCCGCAATGACGAACGACGAGCAGCTCGAGCAGCAGATCATCCGCGCAGGAAGACAGTCCGGAGACCTCGTCGCGCCAATGCTCTTCGCGCCCGATCTGTTCTTTTCCGATCTGAAGTCGCCGATCGCTGATATGCGCAATTCAAACCTCGGCAAAATGGAAGGACCCCCGTCGGCGATCGCAGGACTCTTCATCGGAGCGCACATTGGCTTCGGAGACGGTGTCCGCTGGCTTCATCTGGATATTGCGGCTCCGGCGGAAAGTGGAGATCGGGCCACTGGATACGGTCCCGCCCTCTTCTCGGCTCTGTTCGGAAGGTACACAAAGATCCCGATTCTTCAGCAATATCAACAGTGATTTCGCTTGATTGTCATTATCATTATCATTATTTTTATTTCGTTGAATGTATAAAAAAATCATTGACGATTACGAGCAGACCACACACATCCGGCGAGGCAAGCGCAGAGGCAGACGAAGAAGCCGATGATGAAGATGACGATGAACACGCTGGGTTTGGTTTGAATATATTGTTTAAGGAAGGAAGGGACTTACACGACCCAAGTCTCGAGTTGGATGCAACACTCGTACGGACTGTAATCGCAACAACGCCAGCGGTAGAGGATGTTGTCGGCGCCGCACCGTCTGAAAATGGGACATGGTTGCGAAATCTCCGGTTGCGAAACGGCAACTCACCCGTAACCACCGTAGCCGCCGCCGTATCCACCTCCTCCGGCCAAGCCGAGCACCGATCCGAGAATTCCACCGCCGCACCCACCGTAACCACCGTAATAGGACATTTGGAGAAGGAGGAGGAGGAGGAGGAGGAAAAGTCTGAAAAAGAAGACAAAAAGTGGGGGGAAAACAGTATGTGTGTGTGTGTTTCGGCGCTGAACAGAAAAATGTGAAAGATGACCTGACTGAAGTATCGCACGCTTTGTCAACAATCCGGAAAGGCGGCAGACGGACATGAGTAATCGCGCGCAGACGTTCCGATGGCCGAAAGGACAACAAATAGATGGCAGAACACTTTTAGTTTTACATCGGGTCCGGCCGAGTTGAGCGTTCTATCGAAAATTAACTATGAACAGTCGACGGTCTCCAGAGCTGACAATGGGCGCAAGTGCGCCCCACATTGGGGCGAATTTCAAATTTTAACTGCAAAATTTGTGTTTTTTGCCAGATTAGCCACGAAAAACCGATAATTTCTCATTTGTCTCTCGATAGACCGATTATATAGGCCATTACGAATTTTTTAAGCGCAAGAGCGTTGAATTTGGTCAAGTCGTAAATGACATTTATCCGTTTGAAGGTTTTTCGCTGAAACTGCGTGAATTTCAGTTGCTTTTCGGTAATTTTCGCGGTTCGAGCGCTCAAAATGCTTGTATTTACGTGATTTATCATTCTCAAAACCAATTCTGTCTGAAAACGGACAAGAAAGCGCAAAATCAGAAGTGCGGTCTTTAGGCGGCGATCGGCGGCGAAGGCGAAAAAGCAAAATCCACGAAAAATGCGCCAAAACGTCATTAATTCTGTGAGAATTAGTGTGTTTTCATGTCGAACAATCATTTGACATCGCCTTTGAGCACAAAAATCAGAGAAAACCTGCCCAATTCATGAAAACGCCATTTGGCCGCCGAGGCCACGCCCATATTGTAGCTCTGGAGACCGTGCAGTCTCTAATGGCTCTAATGGTCGATTGACTTCGGACTTATAAAGCTTTGAAAAGCGTCCGGTTAAGATATCAAAAAGTTGTCGACAGATACATTGTTCGCCAAGCAATTTTGCACATTTTCTCAGTTGACCGCTTTTTGATATCTCCACGGGCGTATCGGGGAGGATGAATGAAATGTTTCCCCAAGAAGATGCGACTCTCGAAAGTTGTCTTGACGAAAAGCGAAAAGCGAAAAGCGAAAAATGAAAACCAATTTCTCGCCTCGTTCACTTTTCTTGAATGGTGCCTGCGCCGCCCACTTTTTTGTACAACTTTTCTCGTCATCGACACACACACACACACTCGTGGTTGTATTCATTTTTGCACAAACATTCGCCGAACCAAAAACATGTAAACGGTCACTTGAATGGCCACTCCCGAAATATGTGTGTGTGTGTGTGTGATTCTGGAGTAGGAAAATTCGAGAAATAACAACAGAGTTTTGTGTTTGCCATCAAGGTGTGATGCATTCATTGCTTTCTTTGAGGAAATGGTATTTTTTTGGCAGACTTCTCTTGCCAATTCCAGGATTTTTATCAGATCGAATAGTCTGGACACGGCCCGGCAATTCATACAATGGCCGAGAAAAATGCGTGGATTAAATACTCAGCCCAGCGATTTCGCTGCTGTGGACTTGTGTACAACGGAAAAATATGCGGCAAATTGAAAAAAAAAACTGCTGAAAGTACAGAAAAAGCCGAAGAAAGACTGAAAAATGTGCTAATATCATTTTAGAATTCAACAAAGAAAAACTTACACTTGGCAGCAACAGCATCGGTGAAGTAGAATTCCCACTTTCAGGTTACTGTAGTTATAGTCGATACCAGGGCGGGGATTTTACCAGTATGAATTGCCGGGGACCGTGTGCAGTACTTGAAGAATATTGTGAAACTTTCAGTATTATTACCATCCCTTACGATGCTCTTCTTGCTCTTCTGAAAGTTTTTGAGCAATTTCACAATATCTGCTGGTCAATGTACCTGCATAATCCTATTTTGAGAAAATAGAGAAATCGGAACTAAAAGCGGAGACGTCGCAGACTGTGAACAAAAGGAAAGGGACTCACAATACTGGGAAATGTGAATCACCTATTCCTCCGTCCGTCAGTAGACCGACATCTTAAAGAGGACAATAATGCGGGAAGAGAACAGCGCCACAAACTTGATCTACCGTGTAGTCAATGGAAAATTATTGATTGATATTCTAAAACCAGCTTTTTGTGCTTTTTTGCGAACATTGTGAAATTGAAACTGAAAAACCGCATCCAAACCTGTTTTTTTTCCAGGCAAAGCTCGAGAAATGAGCGTCTTGCTCACAATTCTGTTGAGAATTGCCGCCGAGGCAAACGGGCTATTGAGAAGGGTGGCGCATCGCGGCCGGCGCCATAGTCTTCTGGAGCGCACTTTCGAGCTCCAGGAGAACCCTTTGGAGCCGCACGGATACGAGGACCGGCGGTGGCCGCAAAGGCCGGGGGAGGCGACGGAGGAGGGGCGACGAGCTGACGTGCTGGTGAGTTTCTTGAAAGAAAAATATTTTTAAAAAAAAGTAAAGCTGTCGGTACCCAGAAGTCCCTTTGATCTGCTGCATAGTGGAACAAGGACCATTTTGCTCAAAACTCTAATCAAACAGATTTCTGAGACCGGAAGACGGTCCGACCAAACAAGAGGGTCGTACTCCAGCTCCACAGGGCCGTTTTATGTGAGACTCGGACAGTCTCATGTAAAACGGACGTCTGAAGACGGAATACTGTCCAGCTGGAGCGGACCAGAAGGATGCCACCCCAAAAAGAATCTGTCGAACTGGAACTCTGTTCCGATAGTTTCCCATTTGGTGGGGCACCGTGAAAAAGAGACTTACGACTGACCGATCGCTTTGCAGGAGTCGACGTTCGAGGAGCAGGAGTGGCAGTGCGGGTGCTGCTCGGCTCGGATCGTCGACGAACCGGAGGGGATCGTGGCGCACATGCTGGAGCCCCAGGAGACCGCCGCCGTTCTCCACTCGTTCATAATGGAGTTCATGACGAGGGAGAACGGGCGGCGCGGCGGTTTCCATTAACTCCACCGCGTGATGCACGGTCTCACACGGCAGCACGGGCGCAGTTGTTCTTCCGACGTGAGTGCCTGAAAATAGAGATTTTGTAGGAACAAGCAAAAAAGTTATGCATTTTGGAGAGAGCGAGATGAAAAGAAACTGATCAGAATCCGATCCGGAAGAGGCGGAAACTCCGAGAGACGGGCAGTCTGACGAGCAGCTCACTCAGATCCCGGACGAGGCGGAGCCAATGGAGGAGGAGCAGGCGCCAGGGCCGATGGAGGACCGTCAGGAGACCCAGGACGAGCGCATGGAGCAGCAGGCTCGTGGATCAACGGCGCGGGAGGAGTACTCAGAGTCGGCGATGGAGCAAGAGAGAGAGGAGCCGCGGAGAGCTCAGGAGGAGCAACGGCGCGGAGAAGAAGCTCAGGAGGAGCAGGCGCGGGAAGCGGGAGCGTCAGGAGGAGGCGATGACGGGGACGAGAGCGAGGAAGACTCTGCATGCTCACCGAAAAGGCGTCGGAGCAACGAGTCCGAGAACCCGGATACAGTGGGCACACCACAACACCCACGCCGTGTGTCCGACCTCGATTATGACTCAGGCTTCCACACGCCACCGTCTCCACAGTCGCCGCCGTCAAGACCAAGCTGCGGGAGGACACCGTCGCCGCTGGCCCCAGCACTCACAAACAATTCGCTGCGGTCGACGGCGACGGTGTACAATCTGAGGGATCTTGTTCGACCAACTCTGCTGAATGTCGGAGTCCCGAACAGGACGAACCGGAAGAGGGTAGCAATGCCGATACCGGAATTTCGAGCTGAAATTTTTGTTTTTTTAGAAGAGAACCCGATGCTCGGCGCCAGCGCCCGGTCGGCAGCAGATCGTGTTCGGGAACCTTGAGTTCCAAATCGATCCGTCGGACGACGAGTTCCGAGCACGAATCGGCGACATACTGGGCCGACTTGAGTAAGATTTCATGATTTCAAGCGCCAAAAACTGACTAAACACTCATTATTTATAGAATCGATTTGGATTGGGACGCGGCAACGTTCCCGAACGCCTCGCGGGGACGGCAACACCCGATCTCTCCAATCTTCTGGACCATCGTGGAGGTTCCGAAAGCAGTGGCGGAGGAGATCGGGCGGGCCGTCGCAGAACACCTGGACAGCTTCAATCAGCTGGAGTACGGCAATAACGTAGAGGTTTGTTTATTTTTCGAAAAGAGAATGTCAGTTTTTGACCACGAAGCATTGCAGAAGTACGTCATTGTCGAGCTCCACGACACAAAGGAGTCGCGGACCAGGGACGCATTTCTGCACGCCGCCGCCAGCAACTTCAGGATGATGTACCGTCACGACCGAAACTGCTCCGTCACCGTCTGCCACAAACATCTACTGGTGACGAGAGACGGTTCAGTCCTCGAGAGGCTGTCCGTGAAGGACATCAAGGACAAGTTCGCGGCCAACTTCGATGCGATCATGCGGAGCATCCACCCAACCCAGAGGTCAGGTGTCAAAATGCTCCTCCAATGAGAGGATTCGCCTCGCTATTTTTTAATCATTCTGGAATATATTGATTTTTGAAAGTTTTATCGTTTAATGAATGTTTTATGAGTCAGACTCCGTACTCATCGCATTCTCACGTTGAAAGCTCATGGCACCGCAACGCAAAAAGAACACGAAAAATTATAAGGAAACCGGAAAAAACGAAAGTTACTTCTGAAATTAATGCGATTGAATTGAAAGAGATTCGAGATAGACAACAACTGTTTTCAAGAAAAAAAAGAGATGAAATATCGAATTTGACGACGCGTTTGTTCAATATCTGGCGGAAATCGAGTGGAAAAGTGATCGAAATGAACGGAAAAGTAAATTTTTGGAATTTTTGGGGCCAAATTTAAATGCGGGAGAAGTCAGAAAATAAAAGAGAATGGGGAATATCGAGTCACCGATTCTTCGGTCCTCAAGTTTTCGGAAAACAAGTTAGTGAAAAAATGAAAAATTGAAAAGAGTGAAGCGAAAATCGAAAGATGCCGGGTGGAGGTCGAAGACTCTTTGGAAATGCGCCTTTAAAAAGACCTACTGTAGAAGCTGGCAATTGCAAACTTATTGAACACTTTTTCAGCGCAAATTCACAATTCTATTTGCATTTGTTAATTTTTTCCAGAAAACCGTTCAAACGTCATCAATTTTCATCAAATGCTTGATAACTACAGCCAACTAACACGAAATGTGAGTCAATTTCCTTGTAAAATGTATCTCACGGTCTCCAGAGCTGACAAAATGGGCGTGGCCTCGGCCAAATGGCGTTTTCATGAATTAAGCAGGTTTTCCCTGATTTTTGTGGTCAAAGGCGATGAAAAATGATTGTTCGACATGAAAACACACTAATTCTCAGAATTAATGACGTTTTGGCGCATTTTTCGCGGACTTTGCCTTTTCGCCTTCGCCGCCGATAGCCGCCGATCGTTACCTCAAAACCGCACTTCTCATTTTGCGCTTTCTTGACCGTTTTCAGACAGAATTGGTTTTGAGAATGATAAATCACGTAAATACAAGCATTTTGAGCGCTCGAACCGCGAAGACTACCGAAAAGCAACTGAAATTCACGCAGTTTTAACCAAAAACCTTCAAACGGATAAATGTGATTTGCGGCTAGACCAAATTTAACGTTCTTGCTCTTTAAAAAATTCCTAATAGCCTATACAATCGGTCTATCGAGAGACAAAGAGAAATTATCAGTTTTTCGTGGCTAATCTGGCAAAAAACACAAATTTTGCTGTTAAAATTTGAATTTCGCGTATCGCTCTATTGGACGGGACGCACTTGCGCCCATTGTCAGCTCTGGAGGCCGTATATCTGTGCAGATTTTGTGGCATTTTGAACATTTCAAACTTTTCAGTTATTCCCAAAATTCCGACGAAGTTTCGCGTATTCTGTTGGGTCCTTCCCAGAAAACTCACACCAACACTAAGAATTTCGAGTCTCGTGACGACGAAATTTAGGCCCAGGGGCCAGGAGCAAATCCGGTGCCGAAGAATCTAATGTTCCGGCGTTCCGGATATTCATCCGCCCAACGAAACCGTTAAAAGCGAAACAAAACGGGTTTTTCCCCTACTTTTTGGTTTTAGGCGACAAAATTGGGGGACAGTTCGAGGTACGACACTCCAGATGACTTTTTTCACTGAAATTAAGCTTCTCATCCGTTTACACGTCATCAATTTGCATCAACTTTCTTCAGGCACATAATCGAATTGCACTGTACGTCTCCACCGAATCGGCGGTGAGAAAATTGATCGAGAAATTGTTGGCGAACCGAAAAACCGACAGACTCATTCATCAGCGGTAGCCGACTAACAGAATGACTATGGAAAAGCCCAAAAGTTCCGCTGAATAAGCGTCTTGGTGAGTCGACTGTTCTCTCTGCAGGAATTTTCAATATTCGTGAAATCAATCGAGGAGAATGCATGCTTCTGAAGTGAGCAGAGTGGATCACAAGAAAGTCTGCTGAAAAAGAAGCTTCCCTGGATCTCGATCGATGAAGGCAGTTCATCCATCCGTGACGCACCTCACATATCGAGTAGACCTAACAGACTACACACTCATAATCCTAACAGACTACACACTCATAATCCTAACAGACTACACACAGAAACGGAGAGAAAGGGCCGTTTTGATCTACTCGATATGTGAGGAGTAAGTATAAAAGGGCCCCCGTGGGAAAGAATAGCCATTCATTCGGACATACCGACTTGGCGGACGGTCGGATCGTCTCGTTCTTCCCGCGTTTTGGGCGGGCGGACTTTCCAGACCCTCTGCTAATCGATATCGATCCGATATTTTTCCACCTGTTCTTTCTCCCCTTTCTCTCCGTTACTTCATTTTCTCTTTCATATGTCAAGTCCATACGGAAGTGAAGTGCACTCTATTCCGAAGCTATTTCAGCTGTGATCTCTGTAAAGTTCCTTTCTTATCCGACAAAAGTTGCATAAATTTCATTTTGCTTCTAAATGCTCACAGGATATCACATTTGGGAGAGATTCTGAAAAAACTGCGCTGAACTCTCGGATGCCTCTATATGTAGTAGAAACAAACCGTCCTGTTATTCCTATGTATTTTGTGACACTATGTTTTCAAAATCCCCTGTTTCAGGTGCAAGATTCGGGTCGAATGAAGCAGTTGCTGGTGAAAGACCAGGCGGCGAAGGAAATCAAGCCGCTGACGGACCGCGTCAACATGGAGCTGACGACGTTGAAGAATCTGACGACGTTGAAGGATCTTCGGAAGGCGAAGAGGCCTCAAGAAACCTCCCGCTCTTGATGCAAGCAGTGACTGTCGCTTTTCGAAGTGTCAGTCACTAGGATCTGATAGAGTAGGAGGGAGGCGCATTCCGCCGAGCACTTTGTGAGTTTGCAAGCAGAATTAGAACCATAACAATTGAATCTTTCAGACGTGCACATCCGTCGAGGACCGCATGAACCAGGCGACAAGCCTGCTCAACGCCCACCTCGACGAGTGCGGACCCAAGATCCGGCACTTCAAGGAGGGCATCTACAACATCGTGCGCGAGTTCAACGTCGCCGAGATCGCGTCGCAAAACGATCAGTTGTCCGATCACGACCTGCTGAATCACATTCGCATCGGCGTTTCGAAGCTTTTCTCCGAGTATTCGGCCGCCAAGGAGACGAGCAACGCCGCCGAGCAGGAAGCCGAAGTCAAGTTGGCCGCTGACGTGGCCAGAGTCGAGTCCGGACAGGTAAGATTTGGATGGAAAAGTGGGCAAACTTGCAGCTGTTCTTCTATTTTCACATTTCTAGATCACGAAATTAGTCAAAGCTCGAGTTTTTGTGAATAACGCGAAAGTCTAGCGACATTTGACTTTCCGACACTATGTTTTCAAAATCCACTGTTTCAGGTGCAAGATTCGGGTCGAATGAAGCAGTTGCTGGTGAAAGACCAGGCGGCGAAGGAAATCAAGCCGCTGACGGACCGCGTCAACATGGAGCTGACGACGTTGAAGAATCTGACGACGTTGAAGGATCTTCGGAAGGCGAAGAGGCCTCAAGAAACCTCCCGCTCTTGATGCAAGCAGTGACTGTCGCTTTTCGAAGTGTCAGTCACTAGGATCTGATAGAGTAGGAGGGAGGCGCATTCCGCCGAGCACTTTGTGAGTTTGCAAGCAGAATAAGAACCATAACAATTGAATCTTTCAGACGTGCGCATCCGAAAACAAATCGGAATCGTCATCTCGGCGCTGGCCGAAGGAACCAAGTCGCACGTGCCGTACCGTGACTCGAAACTGACGCGCATTCTTCAAGAGTCGCTCGGAGGAAACTCGCGGACTACGGTCATAATTTGCGCGTCGCCGTCGCACTTCAACAGCATCCGAAAAAATGTGACTTTATGTGACTACAATAGCTTAGAAGAGGTGTTTTCTTGGGGAGTATCCGTCTGTACGTCCTTCTCTGAGTAGGGCCACAGCGGTGACCTTCGTGACGTGATTTGCCCCGTCACGGAGGAAAAATCACCGCCCCCACCTTACACGTGGCGTGGTTGACCCCCTTCTCTACGGGGCGGCGGCTCTGCGGACCGTGGGTACTTGATGCGGACTTGCACGGTCCTTACGGATCAGATCCCTTCAAGTGACCCTAACGATAACTTCTTGAAGGAAGCCTGAGATGAGAGGGATGTGGGCAGACAGAGACGGGCACTCTTTGGGGTTAACCTCTTGCGCGCGTGACTTACATGTTAGAACGAGGATATTCGGAAGGCGAAGAGGCCTCAAGAAACCTCCCGCTCTTGATGCAAGCAGTGACTGTCGCTTTTCGAAGTGTCAGTCATTAGGATCTGATAGAGTAGGAGGGAGGCGCTTAGCTTAGAAGAGGTGTATTCTTCGGGAGTATCCGTCTGTACGTCCTTCTCTGAGTAGGGCCACAGCGGTGACCTTCGTGACGTGATTTGCCCCGTCACGGAGGAAAAATCACCGCCCCCACCTTACACGTGGCGTGGTTGACCCCCTTCTCTACGGGGCGGCGGCTCTGCGGACCGTGGGTACTTGATGCGGACTTGCACGGTCCTTACGGATCAGATCCCTTCAAGTGACCCTAACGATAACTTCTTGAAGGAAGCCTGAGATGAGAGGGATGTGGGCAGACAGAGACGGGCACTCTTTGGGGTTAACCTCTTGCGCGCATGACTTACATGTTAGAACGAGGATATTCGGAAGGCGAAGAGGCCTCAAGAAACCTCCCGCTCTTGATGCAAGCAGTGACTGTCGCTTTTCGAAGTGTCAGTCATTAGGATCTGATAGAGTAGGAGGGAGGCGCATTCCGCCGAGCACTTTGTGAGTTTGCAAGCAGAATAAGAACCATAACAATTGAATCTTTCAGACGTGCGCATCCGAAAACAAATCGGAATCGTCATCTCGGCGCTGGCCGAAGGAACCAAGTCGCACGTGCCGTACCGTGACTCGAAACTGACGCGCATTCTTCAAGAGTCGCTCGGAGGAAACTCGCGGACTACGGTCATAATTTGCGCGTCGCCGTCGCACTTCAACGAGGCGGAGACCAAGTCGACGCTGCTTTTCGGACAGAGAGCCAAGACGATCAAGAATGTGGTGCAGGTGAACGAGGAGCTGACGGCCGAGGAGTGGATGCGCCGATACGAGAAGGAGCGCGAGAAGGTACGCTTTTTTTTAAAATGTAATTGCCCTTTTGGACAAGAAAATTTTTTCAAGTGATTTTGTGTAAAATGAATGATTTTAGGTGACCCGCCTGTCAACCCTCCTCCAAACAGCCGCCCTGGAACTCTCACGCTGGAGAGCCGGCGAATCATTGTCCGAATTGGAATGGATCAACCTGTCGGAGACGGCGCAGATGGCAGTCTCGGAAGTGTCGGGCGGTTCCACTCCACTTATGGAAAGAAAGAATCCGCTGACGGACCGCGTCAACATGGAGCTGACGATGTTGAAGAATCTGACGACGTTGAAGGATCTTCGGAAGGCGAAGAGGCCTCAAGAAACCTCCCGCTCTTGATGCAAGCAGTGACTGTCGCTTTTCGAAGTGTCAGTCACTAGGATCTGATAGAGTAGGAGGGAGGCGCATTCCGCCGAGCACTTTGTGAGTTTACGCTTTTTTTTTAAATGTAATTGCCCTTTTTGGACAAGAAAAATTTTTTTCAAGTGATTTTGTGTAAAATGAATGATTTTTAGGTGACCCGCCTGTCAACCCTCCTCCAAACAGCCGCCCTGGAACTCTCACGCTGGAGAGCCGGCGAATCATTGTCCGAATTGGAATGGATCAACCTGTCGGAGACGGCGCAGATGGCAGTCTCGGAAGTGTCGGGCGGTTCCACTCCACTTATGGAAAGAAAGAATCCGCTGACGGACCGCGTCAACATGGAGCTGACGATGTTGAAGAATCTGACGACGTTGAAGGATCTTCGGAAGGCGAAGAGGCCTCAAGAAACCTCCCGCTCTTGATGCAAGCAGTGACTGTCGCTTTTCGAAGTGTCAGTCACTAGGATCTGATAGAGTAGGAGGGAGGCGCATTCCGCCGAGCACTTTGTGAGTTTACGCTTTTTTTAATGTAATTGCCCTTTTGGACAAGAAAAATTTTTTTTCAAGTGATTTTTGTGTAAAAATGAATGATTTTAGGTGACCCGCCTGTCAACCCTCCTCCAAACAGCCGCCCTGGAACTCTCACGCTGGAGAGCCGGCGAATCATTGTCCGAATTGGAATGGATCAACCTGTCGGAGACGGCGCAGATGGCAGTCTCGGAAGTGTCGGGCGGTTCCACTCCACTTATGGAAAGAAAGAATCCGCTGACGGACCGCGTCAACATGGAGCTGACGATGTTGAAGAATCTGACGACGTTGAAGGATCTTCGGAAGGCGAAGAGGCCTCAAGAAACCTCCCGCTCTTGATGCAAGCAGTGACTGTCGCTTTTCGAAGTGTCAGTCACTAGGATCTGATAGAGTAGGAGGGAGGCGCATTCCGCCGAGCACTTTGTGAGTTTACGCTTTTTTTTAAATGTAATTGCCCTTTTGGACAAGAAAATTTTTTCAAGTGATTTTGTGTAAAATGAATGATTTTAGGTGACCCGCCTGTCAACCCTCCTCCAAACAGCCGCCCTGGAACTCTCACGCTGGAGAGCCGGCGAATCATTGTCCGAATTGGAATGGATCAACCTGTCGGAGACGGCGCAGATGGCAGTCTCGGAAGTGTCGGGCGGTTCCACTCCACTTATGGAAAGAAAGAATCCGCTGACGGACCGCGTCAACATGGAGCTGACGATGTTGAAGAATCTGACGACGTTGAAGGATCTTCGGAAGGCGAAGAGGCCTCAAGAAACCTCCCGCTCTTGATGCAAGCAGTGACTGTCGCTTTTCGAAGTGTCAGTCACTAGGATCTGATAGAGTAGGAGGGAGGCGCATTCCGCCGAGCACTTTGTGAGTTTACGCTTTTTTTTAAATGTAATTGCCCTTTTTGGACAAGAAAAATTTTTTTCAAGTGATTTTTGTGTAAAATGAATGATTTTAGGTGACCCGCCTGTCAACCCTCCTCCAAACAGCCGCCCTGGAACTCTCACGCTGGAGAGCCGGCGAATCATTGTCCGAATTGGAATGGATCAACCTGTCGGAGACGGCGCAGATGGCAGTCTCGGAAGTGTCGGGCGGTTCCACTCCACTTATGGAAAGAAAGAATCCGCTGACGGACCGCGTCAACATGGAGCTGACGATGTTGAAGAATCTGACGACGTTGAAGGATCTTCGGAAGGCGAAGAGGCCTCAAGAAACCTCCCGCTCTTGATGCAAGCAGTGACTGTCGCTTTTCGAAGTGTCAGTCACTAGGGATCTGATAGAGTAGGAGGGAGGCGCATTCCGCCGAGCACTTTGTGAGTTTACGCTTTTTTTTTAATGTAATTGCCCTTTTGGACAAGAAAATTTTTTCAAGTGATTTTGTGTAAAATGAATGATTTTAGGTGACCCGCCTGTCAACCCTCCTCCAAACAGCCGCCCTGGAACTCTCACGCTGGAGAGCCGGCGAATCATTGTCCGAATTGGAATGGATCAACCTGTCGGAGACGGCGCAGATGGCAGTCTCGGAAGTGTCGGGCGGTTCCACTCCACTTATGGAAAGAAAGAATCCGCTGACGGACCGCGTCAACATGGAGCTGACGATGTTGAAGAATCTGACGACGTTGAAGGATCTTCGGAAGGCGAAGAGGCCTCAAGAAACCTCCCGCTCTTGATGCAAGCAGTGACTGTCGCTTTTCGAAGTGTCAGTCACTAGGATCTGATAGAGTAGGAGGGAGGCGCATTCCGCCGAGCACTTTGTGAGTTTACGCTTTTTTTAATGTAATTGCCCTTTTGGACAAGAAAATTTTTTCAAGTGATTTTGTGTAAAATGAATGATTTTAGGTGACCCGCCTGTCAACCCTCCTCCAAACAGCCGCCCTGGAACTCTCACGCTGGAGAGCCGGCGAATCATTGTCCGAATTGGAATGGATCAACCTGTCGGAGACGGCGCAGATGGCAGTCTCGGAAGTGTCGGGCGGTTCCACTCCACTTATGGAAAGAAAGAAGCCGCTGACGGACCGCGTCAACATGGAGCTGACGATGTTGAAGAATCTGACGACGTTGAAGGATCTTCGGAAGGCGAAGAGGCCTCAAGAAACCTCCCGCTCTTGATGCAAGCAGTGACTGTCGCTTTTCGAAGTGTCAGTCACTAGGATCTGATAGAGTAGGAGGGAGGCGCATTCCGCCGAGCACTTTGTGAGTTTACGCTTTTTTTAATGTAATTGCCCTTTTGGACAAGAAAATTTTTTCAAGTGATTTTGTGTAAAATGAATGATTTTAGGTGACCCGCCTGTCAACCCTCCTCCAAACAGCCGCCCTGGAACTCTCACGCTGGAGAGCCGGCGAATCATTGTCCGAATTGGAATGGATCAACCTGTCGGAGACGGCGCAGATGGCAGTCTCGGAAGTGTCGGGCGGTTCCACTCCACTTATGGAAAGAAAGAAGCCGCTGACGGACCGCGTCAACATGGAGCTGA